TCTGCCCCAGGCCTCTGTTTCTCTCTTTTTTTTTTCCTTAACCTCTGTGAAGAAAGGGTTTCCTTTTTTTCTCCCATTTTAAATTTCTATATTTCTTTTTAAAACTTGTATTTATTTATTTACAAAGCTGTTCATGACTGGATTTCATACAGTATTCCAACACCCATCCCTCCCTCAGTGTACATTTCCCAGCACGGGTGTCCCCGGGTTCCTCCCATCACCCCCCCGCCCCACCCCTTCCCTGTTTCTTAACGAGCTGGTTCAGCCACAAGCAGATGACGAGTGCACGCACAGCGGGCGGCTAACCAAGTGGAGCTGAGGCGCTTGCACATAGACTGGAGAATAATCGAGAACTTGGCTACGTAGACTTTGCTGCTCCTTTAACCTGGAAAGTTTCTATGCGACCCCTGGTAGACAGCTATCTAAAACAGGTACACAAACCAAACATTTACTGATAATAGACCACAAATTACTTTTAGAAGGGTTTTTTTTTTTTTTTTTGGCCAATCCGAGTTCGATTCCTCCACCCCTCTCAGAGAGCCCGGCAAACTACCGAGAGTATCTCGCCCACACGGCAAAGCCTGGCAAGCTCCCTATGGTGTATTCGATATGCCAAACACAGTAACAAGAAGTCTCACAATGGAGACATTACTGGGCCCGCTCGAGCAAATCGATGAACACTGGGAGGACAGTGCTGCAGTGCTACAGTTTTTTTTTACTTGGGGACCACGTCCTACTCTGCTCAAGTCTTACTCCTGGCTCCCTGCTCAGGGATCTGTCCGAGGGTGCTTGGGGAGGCAAGAGGTGTAACCCCTGTGCTGTCTCTCTGGCCCCTAACAAATTTAAGGAAAAAAAATTTAAAAAGCTATGGCTCCAAATGGGGTTTCCACCCACTGTTTCAAAAGCTAGGATGGGCTGGAGAGAGAGTAGAGGGGTTAAAGTGCTTGCCCAGATTGCGGCTGGCTGAGCCTGGTTTCATCATCTAGCCCCCTGAGCACTGTCAGGAGTGATTCCTGAGCACTGCTGGATGTGACCCGAGCTACCGAGAGTATCTCACCCACACGGCAAAGCCTGGCAAGCTACCCGTGACATATTCAATATGCCAAACACAGTAACAACAAGTCTCAGGATGGAGACATTACTGGGCCCACGCGATCAAAGAACAATGGGAGGACAGTGCTACAATGTTATTATTACTATTATTATTTTTTGCTTTTTGGGTCACACCCAGCGATGCTCAGGGGTTACTCCTGGCTCTGCACTAAGGAATCACTCCTGGTGGTGCTTGGGGGACCATATGGGATTTGGGGGATTAAACCTGGGTTGGCCATGTGCAAGGCTGTCTACGGTTCAGTATATCAGCAGCTTCTATGCCAGCTGTCTTTCCGGAGAGGAGTCCTATTGGTGGATACAGTTCACGGCAGCAGTGGAGTTCATTAAAACCATCGATGACCGCAAGTGACCCAGTGCCAGGGCCGCAGAGGCAGCTCCAGACTGTGGGGCCGGGGCCATCTCAGAGAGGATATACCAGCTACGGGAGGCTGAAGCTCCCTCGTGTATGATACTGTACAGCATTCAGACATTTCCAACAGATCTTTACTAAACAGATTAATGAGCTAACAAGCAGGTTCTCTTTCCTCTGGGCTCTGTTCCTTTCTGAGTTGCATATTTTATTTTCTTGTCCCCAAGTAGAGACCAAATCCTGCAAAAAGGGACCACATTTTTCAGGTATTTTGAAATACTAATAAAACAAAACATTAAAAAAATTCTTGTAGAAAATTCTTAGATCTGAGTTCATGGATAACCAGACTTGACTTTTATTTTTTAAAAAAGGATAGGACACCTCTTTTCAGATGCTGGCTGATCGTATCTGCATCTAATGGAAGGAAAATGCCAATTGCACTGAGGATTAGAATAGAGATGACGTTAGTGGCATTACCTATAAATACACTCATCTAAATTGGAAAGCTAAGAAGGAAATGTAAATATAATATATATTTATATTTGATGTAATATGGACATCTTCAGATTCTAATAAATAAGGAATATTACGAATTGTAAAAAAAAAAAGTGACCCTGGCACTGGGTCGCTTGCGGTCATCATGCCTGCACCCTTCATACAGCCAGGAGTGCTATCACCCACTTTGAATCCCACTAACTAGATCCTCTCCTGGGTGGTGGGAAAGGGGTAGCCAGGCTCGGGGGAGAAACGGCTGGGCCCCCACTACTAACTTCTGCAGGTGGAGAACAGTCTGGCTGCGTGGGAGAAAATAACCAAGAACCGTTATGCAAATATGAGAAAGGGCTAAATCGGCATCTATGTCCCTTCAATCTCTCGCTTTAACTTTGTGAAGCAGGACACATCAGCCCCGTTTGAAGGTTTGTATCTGCAGGGGAAAAAGTCACAGGGAGGCAAGAACTTTGGAAGACACAGAGGAGGCTAATTAAGTGCAAACTATTAAATGATGTAATATATGCAATATACGTGTGTGTGCGTGTGTGCGTGTGTGCGTGTGCGTGTGTGTGTGTGTGTGTGTCCTGCCTAAGGATTACTCAGAAGTCCGTTCTTGACTCCCTGACTCTTCCAACAGAGAACTCTTTGGGATATGATCATTTTCACTTTCTCTCCTAGACAAGAATCAAAGCGCATTTCTCAGATGCTGCAGCTCTCCCAGGAGCAGCTCCTGCAGAGATTCCTGTGGTCTGGCACCACCCGACGCTTTCTGCTTCCCTTCAGCTAAGTGCGAAGTTTGAAAAGGTCGAGGTTTGGGAAACGAGGGAAGCACTTCACGATCTGGCTTTGACCTCACAGGATGCTTAGAAGCGGAACAAAGGAGCAGGCACTGCTGCTCCCGAGGTGAATTTCAGGAAAGCCCTCTTGGGTGCCAGATAGGCGGGTATAAAAACGAAAACAAAAGTCGCCTGAGTGAGGTCCTTAGACGACTCCCTTCACTCAAGACGGTCCTCTCTGCCCACCGAGACAGGTTGGTTTGGGGGTTTCATTTCTTTTACTTTCTTTTCATTTTATTCTTTTCTTTTCTTTCATTTGTCTGACTTGGAAATGATGTTATGTTTAAGCCCAGAGACTATCCGTATATTTATTGAGCTAAAAAGTTTGAACATTTCTACATGCAAAAAAAAAAAAAGTTCTTTGGAAACAGCTGTATGCTTTAACCTTAAACATCTGCATATAACCGGGAGAATTATTTATAATGCCATTACACGCTTATAAAGCCTGGTTAATGAGATAACACGTTTGACTCTATCATTTTGGGGGGAGGGAGCGGCTTCTTTTACAAGCACTAATTTTTCTGTTCTTGGTATCATCATAAAGGCATTAGAACGTGTATCTTCCGGGAGGGTCTTTTCTGCAAAGAGTCTGCATTGCTCTTCACTCCTGTTTGAAGTGGAATTCTCCAGTTCTTTTTTTTAATTAAAAAAATTAAATTTTTTTAATTTTTCAGAAGTCTTTTTAATTAAAAAATTTTAATTAAAATTTAAAAAAAAACTTCCTGAATGTCTTTGTATCACTGGGCCAGATTATTCCTTATCAGATTCCAGGGATTGCAGTAAAAGAGAAGGGTAGAGTTCAGACTGTGTTAATCATTAATGCATAAGAAAAGGGAGCTCAGAGGCAGCTTCTGCTTTGGAGCGTGTCAGCTAATCCCAGGGTGGAAAATGTGCCATAAAAAAAAAATGTGCCTTGAGTCTATCTGATACACTGAAGGCAGTTCTGTGGGGTAGCCTCCCTTTTGGGGTCAGGGGAAGGGGGGGGTCCTCCTTGGCTTACTCATCCAAAAGTAGTGAACAAATCTAAATACTCTTTTTTTTTTATTTGGAGGGGGGGATCCCCCAGCAGGGCCAGAGGGGATGGCAAAGCATGCACTCCATCCCACTGAGCCCTCTCCCTGGCGCTGGAAGATATATTTGGCTTTTTGGGTCACAACTGGCAATCCTCAGGAGTTATTCCTGGCTTTGCACTCAGGAATTACTCCTGGCAGTGCTCAGGGGACCATAAGGGATGCTGGGAATCAAAACCGGGTTGGCCGCATGCAAGGCAAATGCCCTACCCACAGTACTATCGCTCCAGCCCTGGAAGAATATTCTTCTGAAAGTGTAGCCACCATTCTGAAAGCAGTCATTTCATGAAAGACTTTAGAAAGCTAGCTCAGATCCTTCCGAGGACTAAAATATCCCAAGGGAGACAGGAAGGCTAAGGGGAAAGCAAGCCAAGACTCATGATGAAGGCTGACATGGGTCCGTGTGGGAACAGCCGTGTGAACAGACGTGTGGTCTGTGTGCCAGCTTATCACGCTTAATTCTTCACGATGGAGCCAAAGGACTCCACAGTGAAAGACAAGACTCCTGGCACCACACTTGTCCATTCTAGAGCAACGGCTGGCAGAGCTTTAGCTAGACAAATATGTACTGAGTACCGTGGTGGGCAGTCTGAGGCAGTAATGTCAAACATCAGCTCCTGGGGTGGATACACTCTGAAGGAATGTAAGAGCGTACCAGGGAAAGACAGTCAGGAAGCATCTCTCCCAAAGCAGCGGGTTGGTTGTGGCTGGAACAATTGCACAGCGGGTAGGGCATTTGCCTTGCCGACCCGGGTTCGATTCCGAGATCCCATATGGTCCCCTGAGCACCGCCAGGGATAATTCCTGAGTGCAGAGTCAGGAGTAACCCCTGTGCGTTGCCAGGTGTGACCCCTCCCCCATCAAAAAAAAAAAAAAACCAGAGCAGCGGGTTGGTGCTTTGAGCTGCCCAGGCAATAATTACAGGGCCAGGAGGAGCCGCCCTTTAAGGGAAGGGCAGGAACTGTCAGATAAAGGAAGGGAATGAGGGACGTGCAGGCCAGTGCTGCAGTCTGGTGCTGGCTACTGAATCCCATTCCTGCCTGTGGTGCTGGAAGAGGTCACAGACGGCCTGGCAGGGTCTCTCTCGAGCAGAGAAGGGTCTTCCAGGTGACAGCAGCAGAGGCGTGCCAGGTGACACTGTGGAGCCCCAGCACTGTGGTGGCCGTGAGGAGAGTGTCTGGGACAAGGAAGGAGGAAAGTGAGGACGGCAGGAGAGAGTCGGGGAGGTACCCAGGTGGGCCAGGGAAGGGGAATGAGGGTGGGACTGTGGGACTGTGCTCAAGAAAGCAGATTCGAAGGAGGAGGTGACGGGCCAGAGAGCTCACGGTGGGTTTCACACGGGCTGGATGGATGGATCCTGGCTGGAGCCCGGGCACCACAGGGTGCCCCAGGTACCACTGAGAATGAACCCGGAGCCGGGAGTAGCCCCAGCATCACTGAGCACGGCCACACACACACACTCATGCACACACTCACCCTCACACAATCACACACACTTATGCACACACTCACACTCAAAATCACACACACTCACACACACTCACACACATACTCACATATACATACTCACACTCACACACATACAAACTCACATACTCATGCATACACTCACACTCACAATCACACACACTCACTCACATACATATTCATACACACACTCACACACACTCATGCACACACGCATACTCACAATCACACACACTCACTCACCCTCACTGACACTCACACACATACTCACATACACATACTCACACACATACACACACTCATGCACACACTCACACTCACAATCACACACTCACATTCATACACACTCACACACATACACACACTCATGTATACACTCACAATCACACACACTCACACACATACATACACATTCACATACACTCACACGCATACACACACTCACACATTCATGCACACACTCACAATCACAACCACACACTCATATTCATACACGCACTCACACATACATACACACTCACACAATCACACACACAATCACACACACTCACACACACACTCACACACGAGATTTGGGACTTCCTTGGGATGTTCAATCACAATTTAGGAACAAGGAAATCGAGGATGAAGTCGGAGGAAAGTTAACCGTGGCCTGGCTGAGGTGTGGGAGGAAGAAGCCAAGGAGCGAGGGAATGCAACATTGAGCGTCACATTTATGATACATGTATAAGCAACTTAGCATAGAAAAGAAGTTGATTTTTTAAACAATGGACTTTCATCTGCATTGTCAATGTACTGCCTGGAACCACAAAAGAGGGATTAAAAGATTTCCCTTTCTTTTGTAGTTGAGATCTATCTTCTCATATTAAGGTTTTTGTTTTTGGTTTTTTTTTTTAAAGGGCTGGGGAGATGGCTCAAATGGCTGGAGTGGACGCTTTGTATGCAGAGACCCAGGCTCAAATCCTGGCACTTAATGATCCCCAGATACCACCGAGAATGACCCCTAAGCACCAACTCAAGAAAAATCCCGAAGAGCCACTTAATTTCTTTTGGGAAGGGGTGGATTTTAGGCCACACCCAGCAATGCTCAAGGGTCCCTCCTGGCTCTACACTCAGGAATCACTCTTGGTGGTCCTCAGGGGACCTTTTGGGATGCTGGGGATCAAATCTAGGTCAGCTGTGTGCAAGTCAAGTGCTCTACCAGCTGTACTCTCTCTCTCTCTGGCCCCAGTGCCACTTAATTTGACAAGTTAATTTTAACACATTTGGCAAATCAATTAAAAGTTAACGACTACAGACACAGTATAGTACATACGTGGTAAATAATGTGGTATCACTGTATCACTGTCATCCCGTTGTTCACCGATTTGCTCGAGCAGGTGCCAGTAACATCTCCATTCATCCCAGCCCTGAGATTTTAGCAGCCTCTCCTTACTCGTCCTTCCCAATGGTGCCTTATTGGAGGTTCTTTCAGGGTCAGGGGAATGAGACCCGTTATTGTTACTGTTTTTGGCATATCGAATACGCCACAGGGAGCTTGCCAAGCTCTGCCTTATGGGTGGGATACTCTCGGAAGCTTGCCAGGCTCTCCGAGAGGGAAATAATGTGGTAAAATGAACAATTGAGGGAAATAGAGCTACTCAGGCATAGCGTGTACCTCCCCTCCACAACACCCCCTCCAAACCTCACAGAGCAATAAAATTAAATTTGTTTGTTTGGTTTTTTCTTTTTGGGTCACACCCGGTGATGCTCAGGGGTTACTCTTGGCTCTGCACTCAGGAATGACTCCTGGCAGTGCTCGGGAGACCATACAGGATGCTGGGGATTGAACCTGGGTCAGCCGCGTATGCAAGGCAAAAACCTAAACCTTAGGGTATTTGGGGGGGACTTACCCCCTTGGTGCTCTGGGGCTGCTCCTTACTTGGGGGAAGGGCTGCTCCCAGTGCTTGGGGTGCTGGGCGTCGCCTGAAGCGAGGGCTCCCACACACCAAGCACGCTCTCCAGCCCTCTGAGAGCTGGTCCAGGTCTGCAGGGTTTCATTTTCCTCTTCCCTGTGTCAATCCCCGCTCCTGCACACGGACCTGTAGAAACAGGAGCAGGAGAAGCTCCTCTTGGGGACAGACTCTGTGCGGCTTCCATGAGTGAGTCTGTGGGGGCTGATTTAGGCTCTCCTGCATCAGAGCAGCAATCTGTTCTCTAGTAAGAGAATCAAACATGTACTAGACTTCAAAAAGCGGGGCCAGAGGGATAGTACAACAGGTAGGGCATTTGCCTTTCACACAGCTGACCCGGGTTCAATTCCCGGCATCCCATATGGCACCTCCAGGAGTAATTCCTGAATGCAGAGGCAGAAAGTAGCCCCTGAGCATCCCTGGGTGTGGCCCCCAAACAAAGACAAACAAGCAAAAAGTGTTCCGTTTGAGGGACCAGAGAAATAGTCCAGCAGGTAGGCATTTGCCTTGCACGCGGTCAACCTTGGTTCTATACCCAGCACCATTTATGGTTCCCCAAGCCCAGCCAGGAGTGATCCCAGAGTGCAGAGCCAGGAGTAAGCCCTGAGCACTGCCAGCTGCATTCCCCACCCCCCCACCCAAACAAACAAAAAGTATTCTTTTTGAGGCACGAGTGAAGTGACTCTCCTGGGTCCTTTTGCCACTCAGATCTGAGCCATGGCTCTGGAACACAACCAGTCGGCCGACTACGACTACGACGAGCACGAGCTGAATGGGACTCATGACTACAGCCAGTACGAGCTGATCTGCATCAAGGAGGAGGTCCGGAGCTTTGCCAGGATCTTCCTGCCCACCTTCTTCGCCATCACGTTCGTCGTGGGGCTGGTGGGCAACTCCGTGGTGGTGGCCACCTACGCCTTTCACAAGAAACAGAAAACCAAGACCGACGTGTACATCCTCAACCTGGCCGTGGCCGACCTGCTCCTGCTCTTCACGCTGCCCTTCTGGGCCGTGAACGCAGCGCACGGGTGGGTCTTGGGGAAAGCCATGTGCAAAGTCACGTCAGCCTTGTACACCATCAACTTCGTCTCTGGCATGCAGTTCCTGGCTTGTATCAGCATCGACAGACACTCGGCAGTGACCCGCATCCCGGGCCCAGCGGACGTGGGGAGAAGGGGCCGGCTACTCTGCTTCTGTGTCTGGGCGGCAGCCATCCTGCTGAGCATCCCGCAGTTGGTGTTCTACAACGTCAACCACAAGGACAGGTGCGTGCCCATCTTCCCCTACCACCTGGGCACGTCGGTGAAGGCATCCATCCAGATGCTGGAGATCTTCCTGGGCTTCATCGTGCCCTTGCTGATCATGGCCGTGTGTTACTTCCTCATAGCCCGCACGCTCCTCAGGACCCCCAACATTAAGAAATCTCGCCCCCTCAAGGTGGTCCTGGCCGTGGTGGTGGTTTTCATTGCCACCCAGCTGCCTTACAACATCGTCAAGTTCTGCCAGGCCATCGACATCATCTACGCCCTGATCACGGACTGTGACCTGAGCAAACGCATGGACGTGGCCATCCAGGTGACAGAGAGCGTGGCGCTGTTCCACAGCTGCCTCAACCCCGTCCTATACGTCTTCATGGGGGCCTCCTTCAGGAGTCACCTCCTGAAGGCCGTCAAGAAATATGGGCCCTGGCGACCGCAGAGACCCCCTGTGGAGGAGATTCCTTTCGATTCAGAAAATCCCACCGAGCCCACCAGCACGTTCAGTATTTAAAGGCCAACCCGCTCTGCCTCTCTCTGAGAGACCATCTGCATCATTCTGAAGCTCAAACCTCAAACTTTGCGCTCGCAACTTATCACAGAGAAGGTGTCGAAGGGGGCCCGGGGGTAGACATCAAGGGCAGGCAATAAAGTAATAAGTGCATCAAGCAGAGGGTTGGAGAGGTAGTCCTGCACAAAAACTGTGCACCTGCATGCAGCTAGGCATAGTTGGATCTTCTGCCCCACCTATGGTCCCCTGAGCACCTCCAAGAGTCACTCCAGAGCACAGAGCCAGGAATAAGCCCTGAGCACCTGCAGGTTTGGCCCCAACCCTCCCCCCTCACCAATCCCCCAATGTATAAAGCATTAAAATAAACAGCTTAGAGAAACAGAGCTAGTAATAGGAATAAATAACAGTACGCTATGAATTCAGGCTATCTAAAGGAGATTAATAAGATTTATTATCACTGTATCACTGTCATCCCATTGATCGTTGAATTACTCAAGCGGGCACCAGTAACATCTCTATTCCTCCCAGTACTGAGATTTTAGCAGCCTCTTCTTACTCGTCTTTTCCCAACGATTGGAGGCTCTTTCAGGGTCAGGGGAATGAGACCTATTGTCGTTACTGTATTTGGCATATCGAACACACCATGAGGAGCTTGCCAGACTCTGCCCATGCTGGTGGGATACTCTCAGTAACTTGCCGGGCTCTCCGAGAGGCATAAATGGATAGGAAGTGTCTTATTAAAGGCACTATAATTATTTCAAGAGATCAAAATTTGAAGAAATTTAGGGCTTAACTAGCAAAAGTTTAGTATTTAAGTAACTGTCTATAAAATCCTCCATCATTTTTGTATTTAAATACCTATCTAGGAAAATGTGTCTTTATCCATCCACACCTCCTTTTTCTTAATTTGTAAGGGATTTTTGTAAGAACCCAGAAAAACGAATGAAGAACAACAGAAAATACATAAAAAAGCATGTTAGGCCCTTTTGATAAATTCCTGGTAAGTGTCTATATTTATCAGCTTTCTTTAGTAACAAGTTAGAATGCTGAAAAGTGTTAGCAGTTATTACATAAACTCTAGAAACAATCCTCAAGTCATCCTTGGTTCTATTTTTTGTGCTTTGTTTTTGTTTTAGTCTTTATTTTAGTTTGTAAGACATACTCGGAAGTGCTCAGGAGTGACTCCTGGCGGTAGTGAGTGGACCATATATAGGGGTCAGTAGGATGTAAGTAAGGCAAGTAAGGCAAGTGTGTCCCCTGTGTTCTCCTCTCTCTCTCTCTCTCTCTCTCTCTCTCTCTCTCTCTCTCTCTCTCCTCCCTCCCTCTCTTTCCCTCTCTCTCCCAAAGATCTTGTTTTTATAACTTCCTAAAGTCTTCACCCACTTATGAGACTTTGTTACTGAGCGTTGACTAAACAATAAATTGTCTGTGTACAAAGCATCTTGTTTTTCACTTAAATTTTGGACTTTTAGACAACAAAAATCTAACACAAGAAATTATTCCTAATACCATAGACAGCTTCTCTTTGAAAAATAATTATATGTACATTATGGTAGTCTGTGTACTATTCGCTTATTCAAATTTAATTTTGATAGAAATTACAAAAGTTAAAAATAGTGTGTATTCCTGACCCCTGTTGGCAAGGAGGGAGCCTGCCCTTGCCTCCGGAGCAATACTTGGGAAGCCCCTGAGGCTAACCCTAGCACTCAAGCCAGGCTCTGCGCCTCCTGGTCTCCTTGTGGTCTCTCCAGGACAGGCCCAGGGCCTCTGCTTGTCCACGTCACCGAATACCTTTGACAGTGTTGGTTCAGCTGCGCGGATCCGGCCACAGCACCTGCTGGGCCAGCCTCTCCAGCCCCGGGCCCACAGCTCAGGGGGCCCATGTAAATATGTACATTTCTCAGGCCAGGGCCGGCAAGGGCTGCCCCAGGCCCGTTTTTCATGCGCTAACTTGTACAATTATCTTTTCAAAGGTACTTGGATAATAATAAAGATTTTTTTGACCTTCAAAAAATAGTGTGTATTCATATTAGTTTTACATCTTACAAACTGTAGCACTGTCCTCCCATTGTTCATCGATTTGCTCGAGTGGGCACCAGTAACATCTCACAACAAATTGTGAGACTTGTTGTGACTGTGTTTGGCATATTGAATACGTCACGGGTAGCTTGCCAGGCTTTGCCATGCAGGCGAGATACTTTTGGTAGCTTGCTGGGCTCTCCTAGAGGGGCGGAGGAATCGAACCAGGTTGGCCATATTGGCCACATGCAAGGCAAATGCCTTACCCGCTGTGCTATTGCTCCAACCCATCTCACAAACTGTTAAAAAAAATTTTTTTTAGCTTCTAAAATTAACATCAGGAAGGTCAGAGCAGCGGGAAGGGTGTTTGCCTGGCTCTTGGTCCACTCAGGTCCAGACCCCCATTCCACATATGTTAGCCTGAGACCATTAGGAGTGACCCCTGAGCACAGAGCCAGGTGTGGCTCCCAAACCAAATAAAATTTAATTAGTCTTTTTTTTTTCTTTTTGGGTCACAACCGGTGATGCTCAGGGGTTCCTCCTGGTTCTGCACTTAGGAATCACTCCTGGCGGTGCTCAGGAGACCATATGGGATGCTGAGAATCAAACCTGGGTTGGTCAAGTGCAAGGCAAACGCCCTACCTACTGTGCTATTGCCCCAGCCCCAAATTTAGTTAGTCTTGAGGGGCCCTGGGAGATAACTTAAAGTGCTCAACGTAAGCTTTGCATTCAGGAGACCCAGTTTTGATCCCTAGCACCTCAGGGCTCTCTCAGAACCTCTGCAAACAACCTCTAAGCACCAAACAGGGATTCACTTCCATCACCACTGGGTATGGCCCAAACATAAGAATAAACATAACAACATAATAAAACAAAATAACAACATAAAACATAACAAACATTCAGCACAGTGGCTGGAATGCATGTTTTGCAAGCAGGAAGCCCAGATTTGATCCCCGCTATTCCCTGCCCCCCCTCAGCACCACCAGGAGTGACCCGCGAGCACTGGATTAGGAGTAGACCTTAAGTACTGCTGGGTGTGGCTTCCCGAACAAATTTAATAGTGGTAAGGAGCATGTCTTTCGTATGTGAGATCCTTCATCGAATCTTTCGTGCCACCAAAAATATAAATTACAAACATTACCTAATCAAGAATATTTTGAAATTAATCTTTTAAAAATTTTACTGTAGTTTCAGTAACATGGTTATAACAGTGTTAATATGAATGGTTTTGATGTATAAATTTACAGCATCCTCACCATCATCAAAGTGTCCAAGTCTCTCTACACTGTTCTTTTTCTGTTGGTTGGTTGTTTGTTTGTTTGGTTTTTTTTTGCTTTTTAGGTCACACCCAGTGATGCTCAGGGGTTCCTCCGGCTCTGCACTCAGGAATTACTCCTGGCAGTCCTCGGGGATCATGTGGGATGCTGGGGATCGAACCTAGGTCTGCCACGTGCAAGGCGAAAACCTTACCTGCTGTGCTATCGCTCCACCCCTCCCCCACACAGTGTTCTTAAATGTTACTTCTGGTCTTCCTCTTACTTTCCCTTACTCTCTCTCCGCCTCCCTCCATTCCACCCACTGCTTGATCATCTCAGTCTCGTGATCAAAGGCCAAGGATTCGCCATCATTTAATTCTGTCTAGTCCTTTGTTTTATTTCTCTCTCTACCTCAGAGCTCATCCAGCATTTCTCCTTCTCCCTGACTTATTTCACTTAACATGATGCCTTCCCATCTGATCCAAGTTGCACTGAACTGCAAGGCTGAAATGCCTTTCTTTTATTGCTTATTTCTGAATTTGAAGATGCTTCCAATTTAACGATCTGGGATCATGCATCACAGACACAAATAGTATCTCTCACTTCCGGACAACACATGACACAGGACTGACTGGACACTTACCGCTGCTCCACCATTTCTTGCCATGAACCACATAGCTATCTCCATCTCGTTGGATGCTGCATTCAATATTGGTGGCATCACTTGAAGCTACTCCCGGTTCTACAAAGAAGCAAAGGATGAGTTTGCAAGCAGGCAAGTAACTATCAGTTCACAAGAGAGTTAGATTAGAGGAGGGTGAACTCTTTGGGGTCAGAGCCATCCTCATCTTTGTGGTCCATTGTTCTTCAACCCGTTTCACCCTGGTCCTCCCATAACCTGAACCTAGTAGGAATTCAATCACTGTGCATTGGAAGAATGAATGAATGAAGCTCAAAGCTCAATTGAGAACTCTAGGAATCAACAATTTGTTTTTGAATTCTTGACTTCCTTGTTGATATGGGGCTTGGGATACCGTGACTTAATCTTTCCTCCCGACATGGGAAAGAGCTGAGGAAAGATTGTTCTTTAGTCCCTGCCAGGTAAGCCTCTCCTAAATATTTGCAAACCAGCCCTCCCCACCCTTAAACAGTTTCTAACTGAGCCTTATAAATTCTGCCAGGAATGCATTCACAGGTCTGATAATTTACATTCTTTAGATTCTTTGAAGGCTGGCCTACATGATCTCCTGGAAGTTTTCCATAAACATCTATAACCACGGTTGAATGCTCGGCCTTCCCAAGCTGACAGGCTAGTTCTTGTCACACTGCTCTGCGCTTGTCAAAACTGAAGACTATTCCCGGGGTTCTTCTCCTCAGAGCAGGCAGTCCTGCCGCACGTGTGTGTTCTGAGTACTTGTTGAGGGACAGGGGTGCAGCTTTCTCTGTTGGGAGGAGCTCTTAAAGGGGTTCCTGGGTCATCACAAGCTTAGTGCTGTCTCCACAGAGAGAAGACAAGCGTTAGGCGACCTGACAGTGGTTCCAAACACAGACAGGCCTGACACAGGGCAGACACTTACTAAGTCAGTACTGAGCGCATCAGTGCTGTTCCATTTGGAGTCTCAGATGTAGCCGTAAGATGGTGCATAGAATGAGCCTGCTATTTGTAGTTAAAAATCAAAGTAACAAAACGGCTGCATTACATGTTGTTTAAGAAAATAAGAGCAGAGGGTGCAGGAACTGGGGGTGGGGTATGCCTAGAAAGGGGAAATCTGGAATGGAGCGATAGTACAGAGGGGAGGGTGTTTGCCTTGTACATGGCCGACCCAGGTTCAATCCCCAGCATCCAATGGAGCCCCCTGAGCACCGCCAGGAGTAATTCCTGAGTGCAGAGCCAGGAGTAACCCCTGAGCATCACTGGGTGTAACCCCAAAAGCAAAACAAAAAAAAAAGGAAGGGGGGAATCTTATCATGGGAATGGTGTTAAAACTATTACGGGAAGCTCTAGAACCAATGGCGCTAGAACCAATGGTGCTAGAAGAATGGGAATGGTGTCAGAACCGTTATGTGCTGTTTAAGAAAATAAGAGCAGAGGGGGTGTGAGCTGGGCATGGAGTAAGCCTAGGAAGGGTGAATCCAATAATGGGAATGGTGCTCCAACTTCAGTAGCAGGTATGGGAGGCTTATGCATATAGAGGCACAAATTCACAAATTCATGCTCCTGAAATACAGATTCAGCTGTAAACCAATGCTTGGTGCAAAAAAAGTTTATTTAATTAAAAAAACTTTTTTTTACTTTTGGGCACACCTGGTTGTGCTTAGGGTTTGTTCCTAGATCTGTGCTCAGGAATCACTCCTGGCAGCCTCGAAAGACCCTGTATGGTGCCAGGGATCTAACTCAGGTCAGCCACATGCAAAGCCAGCGCCCTCCCCACTATACTAATGCTCCGGCCCAGCTCATGGAGTTTTAAAGGAGAAAAACAAAAGGGTCCTTCTGCTCTTGCACAAGTCTGAGCTCTAAGGACAACATTTAAAAGTGGACTCAGAACAGTTACCTTTCTTTGTTTGTTTGTTTGTTTGTTTTTTGAAAGCTTTTCTTATTGAATCACCATGAGATTTCATTCATTTCATTCATCATCCTGTTATTCGTCGATTGCCTCGAGCAGGCCCCAGTAACGTCTCTTTCATCCTAGCCCTGAGATTATATTCAAGGCTCTTTAGGAGAATGAGATCCATCATTGTTACTGGTATTTGGCATATTGGGTACGCCACGGGGAGTTTGCCAGACTCTGCCCTGTGGGCAGGCTACATTCGATAGCCTGCAAGTTTGTCCAAAGTAGAAATGAGATAATAAGATGTCATAAAAAGAGGTCTTGAGAGAAAGACACCATGAGATAAAGTTACAAAACTTTCATGTTTGAGTTTCAATAATCAAACACCCATTCCTCCAACAGTGCATGTTCCCCACTACCAATGTCCCCAGTATATCCCCCCTTCCCAATCTTCCTCCTGCCTCTATGACAGACAATTTCGCCCATACTCTCTCTCTCTCTATTTTGGGGCATTATGGTTTGCAATATAGATACTGAGAGGCTATCACATTTGGTCCTTTCTCTACTTTCAGCACACGTCTCCCATCCCGAACAATTCCTCCAACCATTTTCTTTTTGGCTTTTTGGGTCACACCCAGTGATGCACAGGAGTTACCTCTGGCTCGTGCACTCAGGAATCACTCCTGGCAGTACTCAGGGGACCATATAGGATGCTGGGAATCGAACCCAGGTCGGCCACATGCAAGGCAAACGCCTTACCCACTGTGCTATCGCTCCAGCCCCTCCTCCAAGCATTAGTGATCCCTTCTCTATCCCAGCTGCCTTCTCCCCCAGTTCGTGAGGCAGGCTCCCAACCATGGAGCAATCTTCCTGGCCCTTGTGTCTACTGTCCTTGGGTGTCAGTCTCATATTAATAACAGTCACCTTTCTGGCCAGGGACAGATGTGTCTGAACCTCGAATCCTCCTCCCATGTGCCCCCGGATCCTCCCCAGCGCTGGGGATGGGGTGGGCTTTCACCTGTCATGCAGAAGCAAGAGGAGATGCTTCCTTGGAGAAGAGGTTCCAGCCACTGCTGCTTCTGCGCCTGGTTTCCGTACAGGTGGAGCACCTCCATGTTCCCCGTGTCTGCATCACAAGAAAAAAGGCTTTTGCATTTTCGATTCTTTTCCCTTACCTGCAGGCTGCACAAAGAGAGGATGCCACACGACTTTCCAAAGCAATTGTTGGATACCGAGAGTATGAGAAACACAGAACCAGGAGGAATCCTCAGTGGTGGGGCTTCGCAAGTCCATGCACATGTGTCTCTGTGGACATCCACCTCTGTCTGCTCTGGAGAAGCCTGTGTTCTCTCTTGAACGTGTACTTCTCCCTCCCTCTCTCTCTCCCTCTCTCTCTCCCTCTCCGTCTCTCTCTCTCTCCCTCCCTCTCCGTCTCTCTCTCTCTCTCTCTCTCTCTCTCTCTCTCTCTCTCTCTCTCTCTCTCTCTCTCTCCTCACACCTTTCTAAATCCTTCTAAAAATTTGTAAACTCTCTAAACGTCTTTCTAAAACATTTCAATAAAAACTTTATCGCTTCACCAAAAACAAACAAATCACAACAATTTGTTATGTTGTTAAGCCAATGACGGTGAGTGGTGACACGGTTTTGGGTATGTGTCCAACCTGCTGGGAATCACAGACTCTCTTGCCCGTTTGTCCCAGTGCAATTTGGCTGACTGAGATCAAACTCAACCGAGACTAAGGGAAGCGACGTCCAGGCTAACCCCGCCGGCTGCTGTCAAAGGCACTTCTCACAGGCAACAACCGACTCCTGGAGGACAACTCACATGGCCCGGCCCACTGAGACACCCACCCGGAAGTCAAGCTGCTGTTTCTCCCAGGCATCCCATGCTTTCTGATTCTGAGGAGTTTCCTTGGGCCAGGTCTACCCTCTGGTGAAATTATCCTTCATTCCTTCATTCCCAAGTAAATTTCTCTCAAGGAGCCACTGCTTAATACCTTCCTGACTGAGCTCCCGCGACAGGTAGGACTGTCCCTTGGCCTCTGGTGTTGCGCTTACTTTGTGTGCTCTAGACCATCTGGAAAAAGCGCAAAGTCACAGCTCAAGATGCAGAGCACAGTATCCCGGTGCAGGGACGCAAGTGACACGGGAGACTTGAGAGCAAGCCCCTCCCTAGGAGAACTCGCAGGACCTGACACTCTGAAGGATCCTCCAGGGAAGATGTTTTTGTGTCTGCCACAGAGCAAAGGCTCTGGGTGTCTTCCTCCAAATTTTATTCACATTAAATATCTTTTTCCTTCTTTTATTCTGGTTTTTGAGCCACATCAAACAGTACTCGGGGCTTGCTCCTGACTCTGCACTAAGGAATCCCTCTGGGCAGGTTCAGGGAACCATATGGGATGCCGGGGCTCGAACCCAGGTCAGCTGCATACAAGGCAAGTGCCCTACCTGCTGTACCATCTCTCCAGTACTATCTCTTTCATCCAATTCATTGTATATGTGTATTATTTATTTATTTATTTTCATTGAACCACTGTGAGTTACAAAGTTGTTCATGATTGGGTGTCAGTCATACAATGTTCCAACACCTGTCCCTTCACCAGTGTACATTTCCCACCACCAATGTCCCTGGGTTCCCTCTCGCCACCCCCCATATCCCACCCTGACTCTACAGCAGATACTTTTCTTCTTTCTCTCCCTCCCCCCTCCCCCTTTTAGGCATTTCCCATCAAATTTCTAAATATACCATCTAAAAGATGTTTTTTCCCTTGAGTATCAATGACTCGAAGATTTCAAAGAAGTTTTCAATATCGCAACAACTTTAAGGATAGACACGAAAATGCCTACAGACATTGAGTTAAGCCAAAATTAGTATGTTTGTACTCTGTTCAGACATTCAACAGAGCCAACGTTACATTAAAAACATACAGGATTGGGGCCGGAGCGATAGCACAGAGGGTAGGGTGTTTGCCTTGCACGCGGCCGACCCGGATTCGATCCCCTGCATACCATATGGTCCCCTGAGCACCACCAGGAGAGGTTCCTGAGTGCAGAGCCAGGACTGACCCCTGAGCATTGCTGGGTGTGACTCAAAAAGGCAAAAAAAAAAAAAATTACAGGATTTCAAGGAGATTAACATAAGCTTAGAATTCTATTGGATAAAATGAGTCCTAAGTTATAATTAATAAAACTCTTTGTATTTGTTTGTTTAAAATTCACTGTTTCTTATGGTTCAAATGAGGTTAAATAATGAGTAATGTTTTTCTGAAAGTTAACAGTTTGCTCTGAGAGTCTGAGGCTAGGGAGGAAAGCCCAGATAAATTACTTAGACAAAAATATTTTCCAGAGGACAGGGAGATAACTCAATGGGGCTGAGCGCATGCTCTGAATGCAGGAGGCCCGGGTTCTATCCTTGGCACATCCAGATCCCCCGAGCACTGTCAGAAGAGAGCCTCAGGTGCCAAGAGGGAGAAGCCCTTGGGCATAGGCAGGGGTGGCCGCCAAACCCAACCCCGAACAAAAATGTTTCTATTTAAAACTGGAATTGGGGGGTGGAGAGACAGCACAGTGGGCAGGGTGCTTGCCTTGAGTGGGGCCACCTGGGTTCAAGCCTCAAGCCCTGCCCAGAGTGACCCCCGAGACCGGAGCCTTTACTGTGGTGACGGCTGTCATTCCTGCACTCTGTCACCCGTGCAGACTTGCTTCCAAAGTGGTATGACTTGGAGCCCCCCGACAGAAAGCACATGGGGTGATCATTTTTCTTAAGCTAATTTAGTTCTCTAAAGGCAAAGAGCAAGAAGGGAAATAAGACCTCGACATGCACAGCAGCAAGGAATAAATAACACCTAAGTTCTTCCAGATGTTCTTATGTGCATGGACGGGTGCAGAAGGAGGAGAGGTGGGGGGGGGGTTCAGGTCCAAGGCATGTGCCCTACCACTGAGCTGGATCTCTGGCCCCAACTTTTTTTTTTTAAGGGACAGATCCCTGAGAACAGAATCAGGAGTAAGCCTTCAACACTGACGATGTGGCCCCAAAATAAAACACAAAAGAGGGGCTGGAGCAATAGCACAGTGGGTAGGGCATTTGCCTTGCACTCATCTGACCGGGTTCGATTCTCAGCATCCCATATGGTCCCCTGAGCACCGCCAGGGGTAGTTCCTGAGTGCAGAGCCAGGAGTGATCCCTGTGCATCGGCCAGGTATGACCCAAAAAGCAAAAAATAAACAAACAAATAAATAAATAAAACACAGAAGAACTGGGCCAGGGAAATAGCATAGCAGGTTTATCCTGGTACTGCATATGGTCCCCTCCACACTGCTAGGTATGGCCCAAAACAGTGAGGTAAAGGGAGGGGAGGGGGGGGAGTAAAGAGGAAGGGAGGAAGGAGGGGAGGAGGGAAAAGAAAAAAAATGTTCAGAACAGGGTTTGCAGGTCTATCCCTTTTTCTCTATTTGACCTGGGAATACAGTTTTCACATTGGATCCGAGGTTTTACTCTAGTTTCAAAATTTCAGAAGTTTTCCAATGACACCAAATAGTGGGAATGACTTCGTTGGTCAGGTGAGTGCATTTTCTTGGTTCAAAATTTGGTCAGCCTATGGGGCTGGAGCGACAGCACAGAGGGTAGGGCGTTTGCCTTACACGCATCCAACCTGGATTTTATTCCAAGCATCCCATGTGGTCCCCTGAGCACCGCCAGGAGTAATTCCTGAGTGCAGAGCCAGGAGGAACCTTTGGCATCGCCGAGTGTGACCCAAAAACAACAACAAAAAAAAATGGTCAGCTTCTCTCCTCGGGCACCGAGACGTGAGGAGCTGAGCAGAAACACGGCGTTTGCTCTGGGTGCAGGCTTGTAGCTGGGGCGTGGGGCATGGGGTGTGGGGCGTGGGGCCATTCCACAGCAGAGACGGCAGCCGATGCCGTGCCAGGCCCCTGCAGCCTCCTGAGTGTGAAAGATGAATTCTACCATGGTCACATAAATCATTCCCCAAAGAGTTAAGAATGTTTATGGGGAAGACAACAAGTCTTCCCATTTACTCTTCAGTAACTCATACGATATTGTACACTGAAAGAGCAGAGATAGGAATTTCATTCTCGTCGATTTTGGAGGCCTCCCGAGCACAGCTCAGTGGCCCTGGAGTTCCTCTCCACGATTCCCAGACCACTGGCCGTGTGCCTAACACAGGGCCTGAGTCTATGGTACTGTGCAGGCCCTGCAGTGCCCGGGATCAGCTGGGCAACCATGGCAGTGCTCGGGACCACCTAGGGCCACACCCAGCAGTGCTCTGGGACAGTTGGGTGGCAGAGAGTGAAATGGGTGAGCCAGGTCAGCAAGGTGTGTACTTTAACCCTTGTATCATCTCTCTACTGCACCCTCTGCCCAATAGCCATTTTTATTTTAAAGGTATCACTGGAAAATTTGAAAACAATTTTTTTTTTATGTAGGAGTACTGATATTTATTCAGCCACTGATTAGCTGATTGAATTGTGCATGAACTCCACCCTACTATTTTTTTTTTCATTTTTTATCAACAACCACAACCACCCTGTTATTCGTCGATTGCCTCGAGCAGACCCCAGTAATATCTCCTTCGTCCTAGCCCTGAGATTTTTTTAAAAAGTGCCATATTCAAGGCTCTTTCAGAGTTAGGAGAATGAGACCCTTCATTGTTATTGGTATTTGGCATATTGGGTACGCCACGGGGAGTTTGCCAGACCCTGCCGTGTGGGCAGGCTACATTCGGTAGCCTGCCAGTTTGTCCAAGTAGGAATGAGATGATAAGATGCCACGCGCCCGCGCGCTTCCGCGAGCTGGGTTTTATAGCCTCTGAGTCTTGGCCGTTGATGGGATTACATGGCGCCAGGGGGCCAGTTGGTGGGTGTGAGCCCCGCCTACTGGAATTTGGAGGATCTGGGTGGAGGATGCTCAGCCCCGATCCGAGTAGGCGTGGAGATCTCAGCCCCGGGACCCGCGTGTCTTGTTCCTCTGCCGGTACCTTCGTGTGTGCGGAGAGTGGTCTCAGCATGGTGGTGGCTGGTTCTGGAGGTCTTCGGCTGCTGGAGCCCTGGTCGGGGCAGGGAGGAAAATTCAACCCACTCCCCTCCAAGGGGCCCCGGCGAGGACAGCCAGGCGCAGGAGCAGGAGACTCTGTGCTGTTCTCTTTCATTTTTTATAATTTTATTTATTGAATCACCGTGAGAGCAGTTACAAAGCTTTCAGGTCTAAGTCTCGGTCATACAATGAAACACCCATACCTTCACAGTGCCCATTCTCCACCCCCAACAACCCCAGTATAGCCCCATCCCACACCCTCCCCCTACCTGTGGGGCAGATGATTTCCACATTAGTCTCTCTCTACTTTGATCATATTCAATAGTTTGACACCAGACCCACCATTATTATTTGAGATTTTACCCCAACACTCAGATCTGCTGAAAAGGCAACAGTAGACAATTTGTTTTCTATTGCTGGTTATGAATAACATGATGTCGTGTGGCTGCAGTAGTGGCTGTGTGATTTTGAAATTCCAAAATTTTAACACTTAAATCTGGAGGGATTTCTGCCAAAACCTGCTGGGTTCTGAGATTTGCTCCCGAGTCTCTGGGATCATGAAAACAGGTTTTTAATGGGAAAAAGGTCCGTGTGTGTGTGTGTGTGTGTGTGTGTGTGTGTGTGTGTGTGTGTTGGTCATACCCAGTGGTGCTCAGGGCTTCTTCCTGGCTCTGTGCTCAAGTATCATTCGTGGTGGAGCTTGGGGGTCCATATGTGGTGAACAGAATACCAGGTGAACAGCATGCAAGGTAAGGGGTTTCCCCGCTGTACGACCTCTCGAGCCCTTAAGCATTATCTTTCATTTTATGACCCATTCATAGGAGCTGAACGCGACTTAATAAACTATCTCTAAAAACTAGACTAGATCAAAATAGCATAAATAAGACTGGACTCAATGGGAGAAAAGTGAATGCACTGTTTCCCTTACTAGTCATAATAGTTACTACTAGTAGTTTTTTTTATTATTAATACAGATAAACTCATGTAACTTTATCTATTTTGTTTGTTTGTTTGTTTTTGGGTCACACCTGGTAATGCTCAGGAGTTACTCCTGGCTCTGCACTCAGAAGTTACTCCTGGAGGTGCTCAGGGGACCATATGGGATGCGGAGGATCGAATCCAGGTCAGCCGCATGCAAGGCAGATGCCCTACCCGCTGTACTATTGCTCAGGGCCCCATTTAACTTTATTTATTCTACCTTCTGGTAACTTATTTTTCCTTTTTCCTTATGTGTATTGAGATCATGCAGTTTCCCATATTATTGTTTTATACTTGCAGAACCAGAGAGCCCATAATCCTCCCATACTGCCCCCTTGTTCCTTCTCCCCCACAGGAAGTTTCTTTTAAGACAGGGCGGAATTGAATCTTTTCTTACTCAAGGAGAAAAGAAACATCACATAATAAGAGGGAGGACAGGACTGGCCACTCCCAGTCCCAGTGTGGGAAGTTTAGGGGTAAAGGAAATCATCGTTACCGTAGATCCAACTTCCCCAACACTGGTGCTCTTGGTAAACAGCTGGAGGAGAAACTTTCCCAAGGACACAGGGATACACCACAGCTCTGGACACAGATGCTCATCACTTTCTCTCTGCTTCACCTCTGTCCCAGATTTTCTCCTCCTAGTAGTAACTTTTTCCATTTCTATTAAGTTGACCTAGCAGCCTACTGCTCTGTCCCTAAATACAGCAACCAAATCCCAGTATCTAAGAGTACATGAAAAATGAAGTCTATGAATCTCTCTAAACATCCGACAGTCTAAGTCCAGTATGGAACCACTTAGCCACACGACCATATTGACTTTTTCTATCAAAGATCCAGCATCTTCAGCTGGTAGGAAAAATAAAGTCATGAAATTTGCCTTTAAATGGATGGACATGGAGAGTATCATGCTGAGTGAAATGAGTTAGAAGGAGAGGGACAGAAACAGAATGACTGCATTCATTTGTGATATACAAAAATAATGTATAGTAGAAGATTGATATTCATGGCCAGGGAAAACAGGGGTTCGAAGGATTCATCAATGGTTGGAACTAACCACAAGTGTGTGTGGAGTGAAGGGTGTGTGTGTGTGGAGTGAAGATAGAAAAGAGACCAGTATGACGATAATAGTTGAGAATGATCACGCCGGACAAGATCCGAGGGTTAAAAGTAGGTACAGGGATATTCTTGATAAGCTTTCAGTATCAATATTGCAAACCACAATGCTCAAAAGAGGAGAGAGAGAAAGAGAAAGAGAGAGAGAGAAGAAAAGTGCTTGCCACCTCTATGGAGGCAGGCAGGGGTAGAGGGGTGGAGGGTTATAGGAGAGAAACTGGGGACATTGGTGCTGGGAAATGTACACTGGTGGGAGGATGGGTGTTGGAACACTGCATGACTGAAATCCAATCATGAACAGCTTTGTAAGGTCTACCTCACAGTGACCCAATAAAAAATGTTTTGAAAAATAACTGTAGCACCGTAGCACTGTCTTCCCGTTGTTCATCGGTTTGCTCAAGCGGACCCTATAACTTTTCCATTGTGAGATTTGTTGTTACTGTGTTTGGCATATTGAATACATCACGGGGAGCTTGCCAGGCTTTGCTGTGCTGGTGAGATACTCTACCAAAAAATAACAAATTTTAAAAACTACAGCATCTTGCCTTTAGCAGTTTCGACCAACATGACCTCTTCTGGGAAGGAGTTGGCGCCAGGATACCAGATCATACAATAGCACACAAGACACCACTGATGTGTCTTCAGTCTGGGATGTCGTGTCCAGCATTCTATGGTCTATGCTAGTCCTCAATGGGCAGCCTCAGAACCACTGAGAGTAACTTAAAAAGACTAAGACAGGACTGGAGAGATAGTACAGGGGGTAAGGCGCTTGCCTTGCAGACTGTCAACCCTGGTTTGAAATCTGGCACCACATACAGTCTCCCAAGCACCACCAGGGGTCACCCCTAAGTACTGCCAGGTGTGGCCCCCAAACAAACACCAATCAGCAATGGGGTAGGGGAGAGACATCTGAGCCGGACTGCATGCTTTGCACAGAGAAGGTTGGGTTCCAGCCGGACACTATGGTCCCCTAAGCATAGTGGGGAGTAACCTCTGACACCAAACCTGGAGTAGCCTCAGCATCACCAAGGGTCTCTAAACCCCACCCCCAAAAGAAACCAAAAATGAGAGAAATAAAAGAAATCACAGAATTTACTTATTTGTCATTCTTTCTTCTTCTACTAGAGAGCTTTGTATATTTTATTTCTTAATAATCCCAAAACCTAATGCTTGGGACACAATAGAGAACCAATTGGTGAATAGGTAAATCAAAAGACAATCAATCTAACTAAAAAAAAAATGGCACTCTGCTTATTACAGTCGGTCATAGAAATCCCCAATACTCCATCAGGAAACTGCTATCTTATATTACCATCCCGTTTTGTGCAAGTTCACAAATGCTCTGCTTTGATGGCCAAGGAGGGTGCCCTACAGCAGGTGGTTCTTAGGGTCTACTCTCAGCTCTGTGCTCTGGAGGAAACCAGGGTGGCTGCACATTAAATGCCTTAACCTCTGTTCTCTCTCCCCAATCCAAGTCACAGAAATAGTGCAATTATAGACACAGTTATAACTCAGTTACTCTGTTTGGAAAAACTTCCTCTCATTAAAAAAAAGAGAGAGAAAATGTAAACATTGCTGAAATTATCACAGAAAGTTGGTTTTTAAATTGCATCATACCTGGTGCTTGGCAGTTAAAGACCTCTGGAGCGAAAAAGCATTTTCCGGTTTCTTCAGCGATCAAAGCATAGTCCACCTGACTGAGTCCACTGACAGCTGGCAAGAACAGGTTCCAGAGGCCCTCAGCTTTGGCCATTTCCTGTGGATGTGGAGAATAGGCCAGAGGTGATCGTTAATCGTGACCTCACATCCTTTTTAATAGCTACACACATATGAAGTTATTTATTTCCCTGGGCCTGAGAGTATTCATGACAAGGAGTCACGACTTCATTATAAACCAACAGTTTCTTGTCAAAGGCATGACTTTTCTCCAGCTTTCCTTACACTTGGCTGAAAACCAGAATTTTCTTATTTGATTACTTCTAGTCGAAGTATAGCTATTATGCAATCTTCCCATGTTTGCATGCAATTATGCCAATGACCCTATTTTGAGCAATGCAGCATACAATGTGGGTGATCGTTAAGGTTTTGGAAACATGAAATGAGAACGGAGTCCCTGTAGAGCAGACTGACTCTCACATAGAGACATGGGGGATCTGGTAATGTTGATAAATGCATTTGTCCCTTGAGCAGCCACAGGGGCTACCTCCATCCCAGGCCATGTATAAAAACGCACTGACTCATTTGTTCTTTTGCTTTGTTTTGGGGTCACACCCAGTGCTGCTCGGGGGTTACTCCTGGTTCCTGCACTCAGTAATCACTCCTGGTGGTGCTCAGCGGACCATGTCAGATATCAGAGATCAAATCTGGGTCAGCCACATACAAGGCCAATGCCCTCCCTGCGGTAACATTGCTCTGCCCCCTGTATTGACTCGTTGGTATACTACATGTTCTGTCGTTCATTTTCTTATTATAGATTCACTAAGATGACACAACTATGCTCTACAGAGAGAACAAGATCAACAACAAAGATGCCAAAAACGGCTCACAGAGATATTTTTAATTCTAAACATTTTCTTATGTTTCTTACCTTAAGTTTATCAATCACAAAATGGGGTCTCCACTTGTCCACTGAATTTTCATTTTTAGCATAGAATTCAATTACCTCCTTGAAGTAATAGAAGTGGGGAAAAAAGTTCATTAGCTAAACTTAATACAAAATAAATAGTGCTGTAAATTGCCAGTACCTAAAGTAAGCATATTTTAGAGGAAGTCTTTTGAGCTGCTACAGATCAAGAATTTTCTTTATAAAGCGAGACAGAAGTATAAAAAAATCATAGACATTGGCTGCTGATGAAATTAAGCAGCCTCAATATTAGATCATTGATGTCTAGAATCTTTGGCAGGGGTGGGGTGGCGTGGGGTGGGGTAGAGGGTTTGGGTCACATCCAGTTGTGCTCAGAGACTATTTCTAGCTTTGTACTCAGGGATCACTCCTGGCAGAGCTTGGAGGCACATATGCCATCCCAGAGATCAAACTGCTATCAGCCACACATAAGACAAGTGCCTTCCCAGCCATACTATCTTTCCTACCCTCAATGTCTAGAATCATTTTCATTTTATTATTATTATTATTATTATTATTATTATTATTTTGCCTTTTGGATCACACCAGGCGATGCACAGGGGTTACTCCTGGCCCTCAGGAATCACTCCTGGCCGTGTTCAGAGGACCATATGGGATGCTGGGAATTGAACCCAGGTCAGCTGCGTGCAAGGCAAATGCCCTACCCACTGTGCTATCACTCCAGCCCCAATGTCTAGAATTTTATACAAAGATTGGAGCACTGCATTTAGCAAGAGGGCCCAATAAAGGGCCACAGAAACCTGTCCAGGGTAGAACAACTAAACACGCCAGGTCAATGCTAATGATAATTTCCTTAGTAATTAGTAATGTACAGCTGTGCAGGAACAAAAGTCTGACGGTGGAGTTTTGCGGGAGCCCTGGGATGGGTGAGCGGTGGATGCGCTGGGACCCTTGACTTTTAAAATTCATAAAGCCTTTTCTTGTAGGGTCAAAGAGATAACAGGGATAAGGTACATTCAGCTGATCCAGGTTCAATTCCTGGAACCACATCCGGTCCCCTAAGCACCGCCAGGAATGATCCCTGAGCACAGAGCCAGGAGCAAGCCCTGAGTACAATCAGGGATGACCCCAAAACAAAATTTAAAAAATCCTTTTTTAAGGGAAGCTTCGCTCATAAGACTTGCACATTCTTTGCATGCAGGAAGTCCATGTTCTATCCCCGCACTGTACGGTCCCAGGGAACCCCCCTTCTTCCCCCTTCGCCAGCACTGCCAGGTGTCGCCCTACACAACAAATACTCAGAATGAGTCATGGAAAATCAAGAGGAGGAAAGTTCAAACGGTGAAAGAAGTTTTTGAAAAAGTTTAACCGAAGTCTCATATGAAGAAAGAGGAAATACTAGAAAAAGAATGCTCTTGGAGCTTCTAAGAAGTCAGAGAGATACCATCCTCAAACTCAGAAAAGGGGCTGGAGTGATAGCACAGCGGGTAGGGCATTTGCCTTGCACTCGGGAGACCCAGGTTCGATTCCCAGCATCCCATATGGTCCCCTGAGCATCGCCAGGAGTAATTCCTGAGTGCAAAGTCAGGAGTAAGCCGAGTGTGACCCAAAATGCCAAAAAAAAAAAAAGTGCCGTGAAGTTGGTGTGAGAGTTGGGGGAATTGGGGGGGGGGGGGTTGGGGGCAGAGGGAAAACTGTCCCATATTGAACCAGAGTTCTGTCTTTTCTTTTTGCTTGTTTGTTTTTGTATTTGGGGGAGCCACAGACAGAATGTGCTCAGGATCTATCCCCGGGGTGACAGGGGAATCAGCAGCGGTGCCTGCACAGTCCTTACCTGCTCAGCTGGGAGGATATGCTGTGTCATGAAGTGCTTCACCCGACCAAGAACTTCCTGGCCTGCCCTGCTCTGCCCGAAGAGCTGCCCGGCCGGGTCGGGTGGGGTCAGGGCAGTACTGAAAGTTCTTCACAAAAAAAATAAATAAATAAAATAATAACCCAGATGTTCACAGTCATCATTGCAGATTTTTGAATAAAATATAATTTTTTAAAATTGAATCACTGTGAGATACAGTTACAAAGCTTTTGTGATCAGCTTTCGGTCATGCAACAACGTTCCAGCACCCATCCCTCCACTAGTGTACATTTCCAACACCAATATCCCCCCCCCCATCCTTCCTGTCACTCCAGCCTGCCTCTATGACAGGTGCTTTTCCTCTCTCTCTCTCTCTCTCTCTCTCTCTCTCTCTCTCTCTCTCTCTCTCTCTCTCTCTCTCTCTCTCCTTTTGGGCATTATGGTTTGCAATACAGATACTGAGAGGCCATCACGTATGATTCTTTACCCACTTTCAGCACACATCTCCCATCCAGAGCAATCCCTTCCAACCATCATTGTCACAATAATATAGATTTTTGAAATAGAATGTCTTATAATGAATATATTCGCCCAGCTTCCCAAATATCCCTCATCAGGAGTAACATATTGTGAAGATTTTCTACCTTAGATGCATATATTTATATAGGGAATGAAAGGACAATCATTTTATTTTAAATATTAAACTTGAAGGCCTGAATCATTATTAGAGAAAAACACTATTAAGGAGAGCCTGTCAGGCATGATCTCAATCAATGGTGGTTTTCAGTCTTCACTGAAGTAGCTTGTTAGAATCTGAAAAATGGTAGGGAGGATACTAGCTCAGCGGATTAAAACACATGCTTTCATTCAAGAGGCCCAGCTTTGGTCTATAGCATGGTCCAGTCTCCCAAACACTGGGAAACCCTGAGCACAGAGCCAGGGATAAGCTCCCCTAAAGAACAATTTTAAAAACTGGCAGCAAAAAAAATTGAATACAAAAAAAAATTGAATACAAATTTAGCAACTTTTTAGTATAAGCCTCACAAATACCAGTGCTAGATGTTTTTATGAACAAAGCCTCTAAAGATCACTTTGGGGTCCTTGGACGTAGTTCAATGACAGAGCACATCCCTCATCTGTAAGAGGCCCCGGGTTCGAACATAAAGTAACAAAATAGGAGACTAATATCCAAGAATAATTGAGATAAGTACCAGGAGGTTCACTCCATGGCTTGGAAGCCAGCCACACATGCTAAGGGAAAAGGCAGCTCAGATAGAGAAGGGAGCACCAAGTAAAGGGTGTTGGGAGGATCCTCCCAGGATGGGAGATGCATGCTGAAAGTAGACTATAGACCAAACATGATGGCCACTCAATGCCTCTTTTGCAAACCACAGCACCCAAAAGGAGAGAGAGAGAACAAAAGGGAATGCCCTGCCACAGAGGCAGGGGGAATAGGGGTGATGGGGAGTGGGAGAGATACTGGGATCAGTGGTGGTGTTAAATGGGCACTGGTGGAGGGATGGGTACTCGATCATGGTATAATCGAAACCCATGCACAAGAATTTGTAAGTCTACAACTGTACCTTATGGTGTTTCACTAATAAAAATTTTTAAAAAAAGAGGCCCCGGGTTCAACTGTAACCCTACACACACACACTCATACATGTACACACAGATACACATACTCACATATGCACACACATGCACACACATAGCACAGTTTGCTAAGAAGGATCATTATGAAGAGCAATTTTAGCCTGTTGGGGGGATCACTGGGGTCCATGTAAAAAATTGGATGGTACGCATTATGCCCTGTCCTCTCATGGGAGAGGCAGAATTTCCAGACAGAGCCTCTTGCACAAATCAGTCAACAGGTTATGACTTAGCTGGGAATGTGCTGGGCAGAGTGCCACAGAGAGGGGTGGGGATTTCAAAGACGCATGTGGAAAGTTTGGGTACAGTTTCATAAAATGTGGCAGCGTCTGGGACTGCCCTGCACGCAGCCAACCCAGGTTTGACCCCCCAGTACCTCATGTGGTCTCTCAGACCTCGCCAAGAGTGATCCCGGAGTACAGAGGCAGAAGCCCTGGGTACCACCAGGTATGGCCCAAAACCGAAACCAAAACAGTTTATACATTCCAGGCATGCTGGCGATGTGGACCAAGTGGTTGAACACACTTTGCATGCGTCAGGCCCCAGAACCCATCCCTGGGATGGCCTCCCCCGACACCCACCACCTCCACCAAGGTTAGCCTGGGGTCCCCAAGCACTGCCAGCTGGGAGTCACTAGCCTGAACACAGCAAGGAGTTCCCCCACCCAAAAGAAGTTAATAATTCATGTTGGGGAGGAAAAAAAGAAATCATGAATTTAGGAATAGGGCACTTTCTTTATATTTGAGGTGCATTTATTATTTTCAGGCCTTTCAAAGATGCCCAAAACCATCACACACAAGAACCCATGACGAGACCAGTGACTGAAAATTCCAGGTCCCAAGGGGTCAGGGACAGGCTGCTCCTTCTCATCTCCCCGCCTGTTTGGGGTCCTGGCTGTCACGCCCACGAACTGCCTCCAGGTGCCATTTTAAGTGCATTAATGGCCATGATCTAGAGACTCACAAATGAATCTTGGAACTGATTAGCTCGCTGCAGAGATGTCTCTGGACTCCAATTATTTAAAATTTTAGAATTCCAGGAGCATGCGGCCACTTTCTCGTGCTATTCATAACTGTCACTATCACTGTCCTCCCGTTGTTCATCGATTTGCTCGAGCGGGCCCAGTAACATTGTGAGACTTGTTACTGTGTTTGGCATATCAAATACGTCACAGGTAGCTTGCCAGGCTTTGCCGTATGGGCAAGATACTCTCAGTAGCTTGCCGGGCTCTCTGAGAGGGGCAGAGGAATCGAACGCGGGTCAGCTGTGTCGGCCACGTGCAAGGCAAACACCCTACCCATTGTGCTATCGCTCCAGCCTATTCATAACAAGCAATACAAAATAAATGATCTAGCATCTGCCTGTGGCAGGCAGGCTTGAGTGGTGGTGGGAAAATTCAAAGTAATGGTGGTGGGAAGGCATAATGGTGGTGGGATTGGTGTTGAAATAGTCAATGTAATCAATTATGGTAAATAAAAATTCATTAAAATAAAATTCAAACATTAAAAAAAATGAACCCATGAAAGGACTATGATTGGCAGCAGCAATCTGGATAAGTAATAAAACCAACTTGCGCCCCATCTGCCAAGTTGATAACTTCTCCAGACCAAATCTAGGCTCTGCTGGAGTAGGGTGAGCACTCCGTTCTGCTTACCTTCTTGAGAGCTGCAAACCGGTTTCTGCCAGAGGTTGCACAATACTGGCAAACAGAAAGCTGTTCTCGGATGCATTATTTCCCAGAAGATATCGACTATACACGCCCTAGAGATTCATGAATTCAGAGGAGTGACCATCAGTGGAAACCGTTTTGCAAGTATCCCGTCAGTCTTTCCTTTTTCCCAGCTCTCTGGGTCTCTAAGCTCATGCAGTACTTACATTCAGAAAGCAGCAGATCTGCAACACCGTCAGGAAAGGGTTATCAGAGACAGGCACCATGCTGGGGGTCTGCACCCAAGAAGCACACCCCGGCCTGAGTAGGAGGGGGCTTACAGCCGGAAGCAGGGCCAAGGCACAGACTTTGCACACAGGACTCCCAGGTGCTACCCTGTGAGTGACCTCACCCCCAGCATAGTGCCAGGAATAACCTAAGAAGTAAAAATCACTATATAAAGGATGAAGCAGGGGAATGGATTGAGCTTCGTTTGTCTTTAGTTTGAAGACTTTGGGCTGGTGAGTAAGAGTTTTTTGTTTGTTCGTTTTTGGGTTTTTTTTTGGGGGGGGGGAGTCACACCTGGTGATGCTTAGGGGTTACTCCTGGCTCATGCACTCAGGAATCTCTCCTGGTGGTGCTCGGGGGTACCATATGGGATGCTGAGAATTGAAGCCAGGTCGGCCGCATGCAAGGCAAACGCCGTAGCCACTGTGTTATCGCTCCAGCCCCCTGGTGAGTGTTTGTAGACTGTGGAGTGGGTCTTTTCTAGCAAACAGTAGAGGGTCTTTCCTGAACATCCATGAGGAAAGAGCAGGGTCTCACTGATCAGCATCAGCAATGAGGAGAAAGCTCTGAGCAAGCCTTCTCTGTGGCTACCCCTCAGGAGCAAAGAGGATGCCGCTTGGGAACAGGATGAAATGGATCTGACTCAAAACAGGTCCCACAGCACCTGGACAGATATCAGATGACTCTTTCCCATTTACCTTCAGGGGGAAGTGACTGTATCATCTCCTCATCAGACTCTTTTATTAGCAGAACTGCAGCAGAATCAAATCCTACTTGCAAATGAACCAGATAAATGGGGCTGGAGCGATTGTACAGCGGGTAGGGCTTTTGCCTTGCATGCGGCCGACCCAAATTTGATCCCCGGCATGCCATATGGTCCCCCAAGCACCACCAGGAATAATTCCTGAGTGCAGAACCAGGACTGACCCCTGAGCATCACCAGGTGTGACCCAAAAAGACTAAAAAAAAAAAGAACCAGATACCAAACTGGCATTTGATATCACCCTCCTCCTGAATTAGCAGAGGGAGGGGAATTTTGTTTGAACCTTTAATTAAGGTGAAACTCTCTCTCCATGCTTTGTGTTTCTAACATAACATACTTTTCTTTCTCCCACTACCTCCAACTGATTTTTATTATTTACAATGTAATTATTGATGCAATAAAAACACTCCAATAGTCTTTCCATCATTTCCAATTTCGTATTTCTAGTTAGAACAAAATGTGTATGGCTATCACACTGTAGTTTATGGTATACATAATCATTTTAATCATAACACATACCAAGCCTTGGGGCTAGAGATAACACAGGTGGTAAAGATACTCTTGGCAACGTTTTCTGGTGTTTAGCAGTTTGGTATTCTCTGTCCTGAGGTAATTTTGCTTTTCATAGTGACAAATGCCAGGCATAGGTAAGACATAAATCCAGAATTTGTAGAATAAGAATTTGTCAAGAGAAAAGGTTGTGCAGCAAAACGTGCTTTCACTGATTTGCTCTTCTGCTTTGGTTGTGTGGTGCTGGGGATAGGGTCACTGGCACCCATCAAAGTGCTCTACCATGGAGGCACAATTGAGTCTATGCTTTCACTTTCCAAAAAAAATTTAATTCTTATAAAATTGTTCACAGAGATTTATTACATTTAAGATTCCAGCACCAATCCCACCGCCGTTAAACCTTCCCACCACCATTCTTTCCTATTTTCCCAACTAACACCCAAACCTGCCCCAGTAGCAGACCCTGAGTGATTTCTTTTATATTGCTTATTTATGGTTAATTCAATAAAAAGTGATCAAAACAGATTTCCTTTAAAAAAATAGTATGTGAAGATTGTTGTATCTCACCCTAGAACCATTAAAGGAGAAAGAGCCATTAAAGGATGAAGGGAGAAAAACATAATGACGAAAGAACAGAGCAGCCTGGAGAGAAAGTACAGGAGTGAGGCACTTGCATGCATGCTGCTGACCTCAGCTCGATCCTTGGCACTATATATAGTGTCCTGAACACACCTGGGAGTGGTCCTTGAGCCCAGAGCTAGGAGTAAGTCCTGAGTATTAATAGGGATGAGCCAAATCGGCACCACCAGGCCCCTCCCACCCACCCACCCACCACCACCATGACCACCACCACACACACACTAAGGTATATAAGATTTCCTGATGACCAAAGGAAGAGTTGGAATCTTTTAGTGATGTCTGCTTAAGATTACAAAACATTTGTTAACTAGGGCTGAGATGTAGCTCAGAGGTAAAGTCTTGCATTGTGAGTGTAAGGCTCTGGGTTCGATCCTTAGCACTATCCCCTGAGCACCACAGGGGTGTGGCACCAAAGCAATGATGAACTCACATATTAGAAACAATTATCTGTGAGACCCAGCATCACGCACATGCGTGCGCGCGCGCACGCACACACACACACACACACACACACACACACACACACACCACTTACCTGTGCTATTCCAGCCATTTTAAAATATGAAAGGGCAAGAAAGAAATTCCAGTTAGGAAGAACAGAATCAATTCCCCTGCCGTGGCAATATATTGAAATCAGTTCTTCCAGTGATGGCACCCCTAAAATTCAAAAGCACATAAGCTTCAAAAAAAGTCAGAGTGAATACTTTTAAAAAACATAATATTGCACATGTATATAAAACTGGAATATCATAATTATTAAACCACATAATGAAGTATGTTCTAACTACTATTTTAAAAAATTATATACAATGGATAATTTTTATTATAAATTGCCAGAAATAGAATGCTATACAGCGGGTAGGGCGTTTGCCTTGCAAGCGGCCAACATGTCCGACCCGAGTTCGATTCCTCCGCCCCTCTCAGAGAGCCCAGCAAGCTACTGAGACTATCTCGCCCGCAGGGCAAAGCCTGGCAAGCTCCCCGTGACGTACTCTATATGCCAAACACAGTAACAAGTGTCACAATGGAGACATTACTGGGCCCGCTTGAGCAAATTGATGAACAACAGGAGGACAGTGCTACAGTGCTACAGATTCAGAAAAAATATAACAAGCCATAAAATTATTTAAGCCATTTCAAGAAACAAAATCAGTTTAAAACTAGTATATAATATTTCTTAAGAGGGATGAAGGGTGAAAGAGTCATTTTGTTTTTATTTTATTTAATTTGTGAATCTCATCTGGCAATACTCTAGGGGCCATTCCTGGCTGTGCTAAGGGGACCAGGTCAGTGCCAGGGATCAAACCTGACCAAGTCATCTGCACGCAAAACCTACGCATGCAGTATGCCTTTGCACACACTATCTATGCATGAACTATTCCTTTGCTCTCCAACCCCATAGTCCTGTGTTTTTAATTATAAGAAATATCTAAGATAATTTTTTCTTTTTTTTTCTTTTTTTTTTTTAGTTTTTGGCCTCAAGCAGAGATGTTCAGGGCTTACTCCTGGTGGTGCTTAGGGGACCATATGGGATGCCAGAGATCAAACCTGGGTCAGCTGCATGCAAGGCAAGTAAGTGCCCTATCCACTCCATACCCACAAAATAACTGTATTAATAGAATTTCAGGCAACATCATACTTTCATACCTATGTTTTCTCGCAGATGAGAACTTTGATTTATCAGCGGAACTGTCCTTGGCCAAAAGTAGAACAGGGAGAGATGAGCTAAGTCTGACAAAGGATGACCAAGGGTTGAAAGTTCCCAATCCAGTACAGCTATCACTCGAGACTAGAATTAAAAACAGAGGTTTTATCACATTCAATCCACAACCACTGAAATAAGGAGATATATACAAAATCCAAATTGACATCAAAGGCAAAGCTGTAGCCTCTTCTCATGGTAATGAACACAGGATCTCATTTATCAGGTAACCAGTTAGTCCTGTGTTCACATCCATCCAGGTCCTCTTTGTTCCACTCCTGACAGTCAGTTCACCTGCATTCAACTTTCAACGGCCTTAATATCTCCACTGAAGAAGGAAGATGCCACTCAACTGAAAGTAGCTATGTTAAAGAAGAAATTTGGGAAAGCTACCCAAAGGGTGAACATGAGTCAGGAAAGAGGCAAGACTTTGCTAAGATTGCACCACACCCTAGATGGAAAAACCCAGCAGAGACATAGCCCAGACCCAGAACCTGGTTTCATGAATTTATAGTGTTATAAAAATATGGCCCAAGATCAGGATCAAAGACTATACAGAGTCAAAACGTATAGAGAAGATTCTGGAATCATAAAAAGAATCAAAGGTGGGGAAATTTTATAACTGTGATATCACTTGCATTTACCTGTACTCAAACATTTGTGAACTCAACTCGATAATGAAAGAGGGGGATTTTTGAAACGACTGTTCGTGCCTGTGTAGACCAGCCAAGATAGTCAGATGTAATGATAAGAGGGCATAAACTCTGAAGGAAGAGCTATCAAATTTGCAATATCTCAGGGAAGACACAAAGAAATAGGAAACTCAGCCGGTAGAGAGGGCTGGGACAGAGACAAGGGGGTTGATTTCTGAGCGTTGCAGTTGGCCATTTCTGGTGAAAATGAGCAATAATGCAAGGAAGAGCGCTGGGTGAGCATGGAGGGCCTGCGTTCACAGCCTGTGTATATTTTAAATGCCAAGAGTATTTTTTAAATGCCGACATAATAGGTTGAAAGCTCCCAGACACTATGCATTTTCTAGCTATAAGATTAAAATGTGCTGTGGTTTTAGCAACAAAGTGATTGGGGGGATTAAAAATAAAAAGCTAGGGACTGGTTCAACAGTGCAGTGGGGAGGGCATTTGCCTTGCACACCACCCAGGTTCAATCCCCAGCACCATGCATGGTCTCCTGAGCACTACCAAGTGTCATCCCTGAGCACAGAGCCAAGAGTAAGCCCTGAGCACTACTGGATGTGGCCCAAAATTTTAAAAAACTTTTTAAAATAAAATTCTATTAAAGAGACAGATTGTGGGGCTGAAGTGATAGCACAATAGGTAGGGCATTTGTCTTGCACACGGCCGACTGAGGTTCAATTCCCAGCATCCCATATGGTACCCTGAGCGTCACCAGGAATGATTCCTGAGTGCAGAGTCAGGAGTGACCCCTGAGCATCACCAGGTATGACCCAAAAAGCCAAACAAAAAAAAAAGAAGAAGAGAAATGGTTACAAAGTTAACCATGACTCTTTCAAAAAAAAAAAAGATACAGGTTGTGTTTTATCTTTTTCTAATTAAATATATTAGCAAATATATTAGCTTTTCAAGTTGGAATGACATTATGCACATTGAATTCCGTATTTTTAAAATTTTTCCCTACTAGTTGGGTAAGGCTTATATTTGAACAGCTGTTCTATCACCTGCATGTACCCATAGTCAAACATTTATGAACTCAACTCGATAATAAAAGAAGGGGATTTTTGAAACAACTGTTCAGGCCTATGTGAACCAGCCAAATCAGATACAATCCTAAGAGGGCATAATAAACTCTGAAGGAAGAGCCATCAGATTTGCTGCATCTCAGGGGAGACACAAAGAAATAGGAAATATAGCCGGTAGAGAGGGCTGGGTCAGGGACAAGGGGATTTATGAGAACTTCTCTGAAAACCTGATTTCTCTTACACCTTGCTGTGCAAATGCTGGACTGCTGGAATACTCGCTCATAAAGCTTCACCCTTCGCATAGAAAGAACTGGGGAAAAACTCAGGACCGTCAAATTGAGTAATTGATGCTTTTGCATTCCCAAGCCCTGGAGTAGTCCTATATAGGCTAACCCACACGTTTCTTCAGTGCTTTAGTCTTTTTAAGCCTTCCTATCTTCTGCCCTCCCTTCCTCCCTCCCTCCCTTCCTTCTTTCCTTCCTATCTTCCTTCTTTTTGATTTTTGGGTGACACTTGGCTATTCTTAGGGTTTACTCCTCGCTCGGCACTCAGAGGTCACTCCTGATGGGGCTCAGGGGACTATATGTCCTGCTAGGGATTGAACCCTGTTTGCCTATATGCAAGAAAGTCACCTTATATGCCATACTATCTCTCCAGCCCCTATAGTGATTTTTCTTAATTGCTATGTTTTCTATTTATTTAATAATTTTCCGGATACCTTAAATATCCTTAAATATCCAACCCACACGGCAGAGCCTGGCAAGCTATCCGTGATCTATGCCAAATAGACCAAATTGATATGCCAAATCCAGTAATAAATGGATCTCATTCCCCTAGCCCTGATTATGCAGAGTCGAGAAGGATATGGAAGGAGAAGCTGATAAAACACCAAGGCAGACATGGGCTGCCAAAACGCAGAAAAACAAAAATGATTGTCTGTACTTTTAATGCTCGTACGCTGGCATCTGCTGCATCCATTGAAGACCTTATGGTACAAGCACGAAAGATCAAGTACGACATCATTGGTCTGACCGAAACGAGAAGACATCAATCCCATCATGCTGTTTTCGACACTGGAGAAGAACTGTTCCTTGGAACATGTGATAAAAGAGGCGTCGGTGGTGTCGGTATCCTTGTCAACACAAACTTAGTCACAAGCATTGATTCATTTGAATGCCTAACAACCCGAATCGGACGATTACACTTGAATAAATGTGGCTCACTACCGGCAGTTTCTATCTTTGTTGTCTACGCACCAACATCCAGTTATGGTGAAAAAGAAACTGAGAAATTCTACATGGAGCTGGAGAAATTCTATAAAGAAGATCACACCTTCTACAAGATCATTGTTGGTGATTTTAATGCCAAGATAGGACCAAGAAGATCAGTCGATGAACTCCACATCGGAACCCATGGCCTGGAATGGAACGAACAAGGTGACAGACTGTCTGAGTTCATCATGTCAACCAAAACCTTCCATGGTAACTCACAATTCCAAAAGGCTGAATCTAAACGTTGGACATGGGAGTCTCCCGATGGACGGTTCCACAATGAAATAGACCACATCATATTCAATCGGCGGTTTTGCCTAACCGATGTTGCTGTTGTCCCAAAATTCCAAACGGGATCAGACCACCGTCTTCTTCGTGCAAAATTCTACCTCACAGAACGAGGAGAAAAGAATGCAAGGTTTAAGAAGAAGACTCCCAGAACAACCACCAACTGGGAACTCTTTGGCTCTGTTGCAGCAACATGGGAAGATGCCGTCATTGACAACATTGATGAGGAATATGATCGAATGATTCAGCACCTCCATGATTGTGCAAGGAATGCCAAGAGAGAGATTACCACAAAAAACCGTCTTTCTTCGAACACTCTTGAACTTATTCGCCAACGTGGCGTGGCACGTGCCTCAGGCAACCACAAGCAAACGTCCGAACTGGCAAAACAGTGCAGAAAAGCCATCAAGGATGACCTCAAAAACAGGAGAGCAGCAGTACTGGTAGATGCAGCAGAAGCTGGGAAAAACATTCGTAATGCCCGCCTGTCCTTCACCAACTACAAAACCAAGATGACTGCCCTCCGACATCATGATGGATCTATCACATCTTCCAGAAGGGCAATGGAGAAGATTATTCATGAATTCTACTCAGATCTCTTTAATAGCCACATCCACTTGCCCACATACCACATACCACATGATGGATATGTCGTTCCCAATGTTCTCCCTTCCGAAATCCAACATGCCATCTCGTCGGTAAAGAAACAAAAAGCACCTGGCCCAGACAAGATCAGACCTGAACACCTGAAGAACTTACCATCAGTACTCATCAATACATTAGCTCGACTCTTCACACGCTACCTGTCTGAATGCAAGGTTCCATCCCAGTGGAAAACCAGCAAGACTGTACTACTATACAAGAAAGGAGACATCCACGACATTGGCAACTATCGCCCAATCTGCCTATTGTCTGTCATCTACAAACTATTCACTCGAGTCATCCTGAATAGGATTAGCAGAACACTAGATGAAGGACAACCATGTGAACAAGCTGGATTCCGAAAAGGATTCAGTACCATCGACCATATCCACACAATAACCAAGCTCATTGAGGTATCTCGGGAGTTCAAGATGCCGCTCTGTCTAACGTTCATTGATTTAAAGAAGGCCTTTGATTCTGTTGAGACGGAAGCGGTCATGGAAGCCCTAGCCAATCAGGGCGTACAAACTCAATACATCAGGATCCTTCGTGAGCTCTATTGCGGATTCACTACCAAGATCTCACCATTCTACAAAGAAGTAATCATCCATATCAAGAGAGGGGTTCGGCAGGGTGATACCATTTCACCAAAACTCTTCAGTGCCACCCTCGAGAACATCATGCGACAACTAGAATGGGAAAACATGGGAGTGAAGATAGATGGTCGGCAACTACACCACCTCCGCTTTGCTGATGACATAGTTCTAATAACACCAAACATCAGCCAAGCAGCACAAATGCTTGCGGACTTTGACCGTGAGTGTGGAAAGGTTGGACTACAGCTGAATCTTACGAAGACAATGTTTATGAGAAACAGCCTTGTTCCTGACGCTCCATTCGCTCTCAACGGAACCACCATCTCCGAATGCAACAGTTATATATACTTAGGTCGAGAAATCAACATGATGAATGACCTGGCACCTGAGTTACGCAGGAGGAAGAGAGCGGCTTGGAATGCCTTCAAGAGCATTGAAGAAATAACTAAAAGGACAAAGAACCTCCAACTACGAGCACATCTCTTTGATTCCACTATTCTTCCTGCATTAACATATGCCTCAGAGACCTGGACCCTACGAAAACAGGATGAGAACACTATTCGGGTCTCTCAAAGAGGAATCGAAAGAACTATGCTTGGAATATCACGATTCACTCAAATGAGAGATAGAATCCGGAGTTCTGATCTTCGTCAACGCTCAAGAATCAGAGACGCTGTCTCATTTGCCAAGACATCAAAAATCAGATGGGCTGGACATGTAATGAGGTTTACAGACAACCGCTGGACTAGAGCCATTACTGATTGGATTCCACGAGACATCAAAAGATCACGTGGACGCCCACCTATAAGATGGTCAGACTTCTTCGTCAAGGCCCTAAATGATCGGTTTGAGGCTCTACATGTTCCTAAAACGAACAGATACCATTGGGCTACGCTAGCACGCAACCGGGATGAATGGAGACGTTACTGGCACCCGCTCGAATAAATCGATGAATAACGGGGATTAAGTGATTAAGTGATTAAGCTATGTTTTCTAATAATAGAAATAAAATGTGTTGTTATTTGGGTGGGAAGACAATAAAGTCTCAAGCACTAAACACTACAGATATACATACAGATAGATGTAGAGACATATATATGTATATATATTATATATATATATATCACTCAGAAAGCTCTTAATAGCATCCCTGAAAACCACTCTTTGAGTTTTCCTGTATCGTAGAAAATGTTTCCTTTTATACCTTCATACTTTGATGAATGGGCTGGAGAGATAGCACAGTGGGTAGAGCGTTTGCCTTACATGTGGCTGACCCAGGGTTCGAATCCTCCATCCCTCTCAGAGAGCCCAGCAAGCTACTGAGAGTATTCTGCCCGCACAGCAGAGCCTGGCAAGCTCCCCCGTGGCGAATTCGATATGCCAAAAATAGTAACAAGTCTCACAATGGAGACGTTACTGGTGCCCACTCAAGCGATCGATGAACAACGGAAGGACAGTGCTACAGTGCTACTTTGCTAAAGAACAGCGCTTGATAGACAGTCTTAGGAAAGCAGAAGAAAAATAGGGGGAGAGAATGGGAAAAGAAGAGAACTAAAATAAATACCTGCCATGTTCTCCCTGTCAATGACTTCCATTTGGATTCCTAGCAATTCCCCAATTTTTATACTGTTCCTCAGTGTATAAGGCATGCGCGGGCCTGGGGGCGAGCTCAAAGAAACAGAGCACACACTTTACACACAGGCGGTGAGTCCCTCCCCCACACCCCAGGCCCAGCCCCCTGCCTGAGTACCACCAGGCCCGGCCTCTTGCACTCTGGTTGGGAGGAAATCAAAGCGCATTTTTTAAAAAATATAATGAAATGGAAACCACACAGTGTGATTTCCTGGCTTTGAGGCTGTACTACTGTCAGGTGAGACCCATGTGGGAAACCCCTCATGCATGGGACCGTGCTACCATCCTGACACCTTCCGTGAGTCTGTAAGTCTGTGAGCTCAGTCAATGGCTGAAAATACCAGGTCACCACAATGAGTTTGAGAATTTGCTCAAAGTGAATAAAAATGAAGCATAAACACATGAGGCAGAAATAGTGATGAACTAAAATCAATTCTTTCCACTATCAGTTCACTCGGAAACATGTAATTGGGTTGGGAAGGCAGCTCAGCAGTAGAACACATTTAATTTTTTTTTTTTTGGCTTTTTGGATCATACCCAGTGGTACTCAGGGGTTACTCCTGGCTCTGCACTCAGGAATTACTCCTGAAGTGCTTGAGGGAACATATGGGATGTTGGGAATCAAACCTAGTTTGATTGTGTGCAAGGCAAATGCCCTACAGGCTGTACTATCGCTCTGGCCTAGAACACATTTCTTTTATTGTTTTTGCTTTGGGGATCACACACGGCAGTTCTCAGGGTTGACTCCTGGTGCTTTGCACTCAGGAATCACTCTGGGTGGGGCTCAGGGGTCCATATGTGGTACCAGGATGAAACCTTGGTTGGCTACAAGCAAGGCAAGCGCCCTGCCCGCTGCCCTATCTCTCCAGCTCTAGAACACATTTCTATCACTTGCTACATTAATGAATAAGAGGTATGTGCTTTAAAGGAAGTTATAGTCTAAGTGCTCACGTATTATTATCTATTAAAGCAATGATCTATTATTATCTATCAAGGCAATGACCTATTTTTTTCTTTTTTTTTTTTTGGAGGTCACACCTGGGCATTGCACAGGGATTACTCCTGGCTCTGCACTCAGGAATCACTCCTGGCGGTGCTTGGGGGACCATATGGGATGCTGTGAATCAAACCTGGGTCAGCTGAGTGCAAGGCAAACGCCCTACCCGCTGTGCTATCACTCCAGCCCCCAAGGCAGTGATCTATTAAAGAGATGCTCAAGGCAAAAATGAAAGTCTTCATTCTGATTCTCTTGGAAAAATAAAAAAAATAAAAAAGCTCTTCAATCATTGCCTTAGGAATATACTAAGAATATGTGTTGTGTGTATCTGGATAGTCCTAATCCAGAGACTTATTTTGCAATTTGTGGAGTGCCATGATGGAAAAAGGCACAATACTTCTAGTTCCCTATTTACCTATTTGATAATTCAAACTAGGCAGAAAAAGAACCCGAAAAAAACTATAACTGACAGTAAATCCTAACACTTCATGCCAAGGAGAGAGATCAAAGGGCTGGAAGTACATGTTCTGCGTTCTGCAGGCCCATGTTCCATCCTACGAGTGCTCACATATCCCATGAAGAGTGACACCTGAGTACCACTGGGCTTCGCTCAGAATTCAAGTGAAATGTCCCAAATTCAGTGAATACATTCTAATATTTATAGCTCTTAATGCCCTTGCACACTGGGTTTCTCTTTTTTTGACGGCTGCTGTAAGATGAAGTATGGTTTGTACACTTGTATACTTGGGCTCTCTGTTATTACCTGAGGAGTTTTTATTTTCTTTTTTTTTTCTTTTCGGGTCACACCCCACGATGCTCAGGGGTTACTCCTGGCTCATGCACTCAGGAATTGCTCCTGGCAGTGCTCAGGGGACCATATGGGATGCTGGGAATCGAACCTGTGTCGGCCATGTTGGCAAACGCCCTACCCGCTGTGCTATCGCTCCAGCCCGAGTTTTTATTTTCATCTGAACTCTGAACCTATTCTTTCAGAGAACATAGCACTGTATAGCACTGTCCTCCCGTTGTTCATTGATTTGTTCAAGCGGGCACCAGTAATGTCTCCATTGTGAGACTTGTTACTGTGTTTGGTATATCGAATACGTCACGGGTAGCTTGCCAGGCTTTGCCATGCTGGCTCAATACTCTTGGTAGCTTGCTGGGCTCTCCGAGAGGGGTGGAGGAATCAGAGAACATAATAGGTAATAAATAAATACATACAAAATGACTTGTTCTCTGTCAAGTATTTTACTTTATTAGAAATTATCTTTAAGGGGCCGAAGCAGGTTGGGCATTTGCCTGGCATGTGGCTGACCCGAGTTCGATCCTCAGCATCCCATAGGGTCCCCTGAATACTGCCAGGAGTAATTCCTGAATGCAGAGCCAGGAATAACCCATGAGTATTGACCCGAAAAATAAAATAAATAAACGAACAAACTTCAAGGGCTGGAGAGATCGCTCAGGAGGTGTTTGCCTTAGATAGCGCTGACCCAGGTTCGATCCCTGGCACTCCATATGGTCCTCTGAACTCCCTGACTGGAGTGATCCCTAAGCCACACCCTGGAGTTCTCAGAGCTATTCCTGGCTCAGTGCTCTGGAGTGACTCCTAACAGTGCTCAGTAAACCACACAAGGTGCCAAGGATCAAACCAGGATTGGCTGTACACAAGGCAAGACCCTGCTTCTAGAGCCGCCTCAACGGTCTCTTTGCTAAATATGTTTAATGGGTGAGAAAACATCAAAGAAATAGGAACACGTGTGTGTGTGTGCATGTTCGAAAATCCTTTTGCTTTTATTCTTAGTGCCAGGTATTAAACCCAGGATCTCAGACATACAAAGCACCTCCTCTATCACCCAGGTCTGTCCCTGTGCCCCCAACTCTGTTAGCAGGTCAACTGAATCATCCAGGATGAGGTACAGCACTCAAGGCAGAAGCTGCAAAAAGTCTTTCCGCCTGGGCCAGAGCAATAGTACAGCAGGGAGGGCGTTTGTCCTGCACTAGTTTGACCCAGGTTCGATCCCCGGCGTCCCATATGGTCCCCCAAGCACCGCCAGGAGTAAGTCCTGAGTGCAGAGCCAGGAGTGACTCCTGAGCATCGCTGGGTGTGACCCCCCCCCACCGCCCCCCAAAAAAGTCCTTCTGCCAGGTTCTGAGTGGGGAAGACAGTCTGAAATGTTGGTGGGGCACAAGATCGGGACTCTGTTCCTTTGGGATGCTGGTGGGGGGTGGGGGGCGAAATCAAGAGACAGAGATATCTGCTCAGCACGGATGCCTCAAGTCAGAACACCTCCACTGACTGCCAACATGCCCCAATACCTCTTTCGGGTGGAACACTATGTTGTCTAGTTTGAAATCTCCATGAATCAAAGTCTCTTCATTGTCATTATCCGGCAGGTTTTGCATCAGCCACTCGGAGAGCTGGTTCATGGCTGGAATGTCCTGATGAGCCGCAGCCTGGTACTGCTTTGTCCAGGTTGATACCTTAAGTCAGAGGAGGAAGAGAAGTGCGGTGCTGAGCGGACATGTAAGGTGCAGCAATTCTCAAAGGAAGACAAATTCAATGACAATAAATTGAATTACAAGCCTGAGAGTGACATTCATGTTCATCTAAAACACTCAGGTCAACTTAAAACTTAAACATAGACATTGCTCTTCCACCTAGATGCATTTTACATCATTAGTTTTACCAGGGATAAAAACTTGCCCAGGAAGCGATAAAGTAGGTCCTGGTCTTTATTGAGCAACTATTTTTGTCACCGTCACAGTCATGGTCCTCCTATTGTTCATCGATTTGCTTGAGCGGGCCCAGTAATGTCTCCATCATGAGACTTGTTGTTACTGTGTTTGGCATATTGAACACATCACGGGTAGCTTGCCAGGCTCTCCGAGAGGGGTGGAGAAATAGAACTTGGATTGGCCATGTTGGCTGCGTGCAAGGCAAACGCCCTACCGCTGTGCTATCGCTCTAGCCCAACTATTTTTGTAGAAGGAAAAAATTAATAAATATGCACACAAATCAACAAACATAGAAAAAAATCTCTGAGGGCTGGGGAGACAGTACAGTAGGTGGGACACTCGTCTTACATGTGACCGCCCTGGGTTCAATCCACAACACCCCAGATGGTCCCCTGAACCCCACCAGGAGTGATCCCTGAGCACAGAACCAGGAGTAAGTCTGCCGGGTGTGGCCCCAAAACCAAAAACAGAAAAAGAAAATCTCTGGATGGGCCATAAGAAACAAGTAATCCCGGGGCTGGAGAGATAGCACAGCGGGTAGGGCATTTGCCTTGCACACGGCCGACCCGGGTTCGATTCCCAGCATCCCATATGGTCCCCTGAGCACCGCCAGGAGTAACTTTTGAGTGCAGAGCCAGGAGTAACCCCTGTGCATCGCCAGGTATGACCCAAAAAAAGCAAAAAAAAAAAAAAACCAACCAAGTAATCCCTAGCTACCACAGGAGAAGAGAAGACTTGGAGAAGAGGAGAAGAATTTTCACTTTCCATTTTCATATGCTTTATTGTTAAGCATGGCTCTGGCATGCAGGTACCAGGACTTTTTTTCGGACCGCAACATTTCCTCATATGCATAGTGATCAATGGAAAGTAATTGATCTCGCATTTGTCCCTGAAAATTATGCTTGAGTAGCGGTGGGAAAATTTGAGCAAAAGATAATGCCCAACCGGAAAAAAAGATAGAATATTATTGACACACTACAAGCATGAAGAGTGCAATGCCTTTCTGTTCTTAGAACTAAATGCAAACAAATCCGCCTCTTCTCAAAACCCTCCGTCTGTGGAGACCATCTGACTGACAGGCACCCTCTCTCTCTTCCTCCTCCTCAAGGCACCACTGTGAATTAAGAGCAGTCAATGTCTTTGTCTTTGGAATCAAACAGACCTGGGTTTCAATTTTATTTTTCCTGCTTTTTGGGTCACACCCGGCGATGCACAGGGGTTACTCTTGGCTCTGCACTCAGGAATTACTCCTGGCGGTGTTCAGAGATCCTATAGGATGCTGGGAATCGAACCCGGGTTTGCTGCGTGCAAGGTAAATGTCCTACCCACTGTGCTATCACTCCAGCCCCCTGGGTTTTAATTTTATCTAAGCCCCTTACTGGTGTAGTGTTTAATACCTATAAACTTCATCTGCAAAATGGAGGCCAGACCAACTGTCTCAGGGTTATTATGATGACCACAAAGGAGTTATGTCCAACATGGAGCACACTCAGCTCGTGTGCAATACACACTAACGCTTCCTTCCTCAGCATCCCACAGATGACGCACTTAGGAAGGCCCACAGTCCCGTACACACCTGGCCTTGCTGTTCCTTTGATCTGAAATGAAAGGTTCTTCCCTATAGCTCTGCCTTTCATCCTTCCTTAACGACACAGTGTGAGACCTCTCTCCGGGGAGCAGCCCCCCTGGACAAGGTGGGCCACTCTGCACCCTCCACACAGAACAGCTCTTGTGAAGAATTTCCTTTCGCTACTCAATCACATGCTCTCTCATCATTTTTCAAGTTTCATTGATGTGAGATTCATAAGTATGACTAAGTGTTACCTCCGGAGAACTTACACCAATTTTCTTGACTTCTTATTTGGCAGGGCTCAAACACACAGAGATGCTTAATAAATATCTGCCAACCTCATTTAAAACAGGGAAAATCATGTCCAAAAAATGCATCGGTAAGGTCAATGGAAGCAGAAACAACTCTAAGTGTGCATTTGTGTTTATGCCATTTGCTACAGAAGCTTTTGCTAAGTAAGACTTGATCTAAAAGAATCAAATGGGGGCTGAAGCGATAGAACAGTGGGTAGGGTGTTTGCCTTGCAAGTGGCCGACCTGGGTTCGATTCCCAGCATCCTGTAAGGTCCCCCAAGCATCATCAGGAGTAGTTCCTGAGTGCAGAACCAGGAGTAACCCCTGTGCATCGCTGGGTGTGACCCAAAAAGGAAAATAAAAGAATCAAATGGCATAATTAATACAAGTAAGTCTCTGAAGCCTGATAACAAAAGCCAGAGCTGTGTTTCAGAAATGGCTATAATCAAAGGTTTTCTTCAGGCTGATAACATTTGTCATTGCGAAGAGCTGGAGGAGGGAAGCTCTTCGTGAAGCTGAGTTACCTGTCGCTTGCAGTAGCCAGAGCCTCGCCCGTAGCCCCGCAGCCCGAGGGAACGTATGTCTAGGGAGTGCAGCCGTGCAAGGGTTTCTATCATGGCCACATATATGGCCGTACGCTCTGCCGGGCTAACACCGGGAATAGTGAAGTCACGAAAGATGCGACCCTGTGGACACAATCACAGTAGTTGACTTAAAACCAGATACATCCTACATACCAATTCTTTGCTGGGTCATCACCCCTTTGTGCCTACCCACAAGATATGGATAACAGATCCAAACCCAATTCTTTGGAGAGTAGGCTAGAAAAACCCTTCTCTGTGAAAGAGATTTAATATCCAAGGAGATAAGCTGAAGGGGGGATTCAAGGGCATGATGGGATAAAAAATAAAATTAGAAAAATGATAAAGGAAAAAAATACTCTCAAGACAGTTCACAGAAGAAAAAAATCATATTTTACCATTTTCAATGTATTGTTCTTTTCTTTCTTCTTTTAAAAATTCAATCACTGTGAGATAACAGTTATAAAGCTATTCATGATAGGGTTTTAGTCACACGATGTTCCAACACCCATCCCTCCACCTGTGTCCATTTCCCACCACCACTGTTCTCTCCTGCCCTCCCCCCCAAGAGCCGGCCCCTATAGCAGACACTTTTCTTATCTCCCTCATCGCCCTCTTTTTCTCTCTTTCCTTTTCTACCACTTGATGAAGTGGTTTGCATTGCCCTTAATGGCTTGATGTTTTATTGGCGGAGTCTTTCCTCCTACCCTCTAGAGGCAGGTACCATGGTAGGTAGAGATTGGTACCATGACACATAGCTCTTTACTGACACCTAGCGGAAGACTGAATAAGAATCCAACCGTACTTCCCACACTGTGCACTTGACTTAAAAAGAAAATGTATCTCTCATCCTGGTGAAAGTAGCCTATAGACTGAATATGACTGCCACTCAATGCCTCTTTTGCAAACCACAGAACCCAAAAGGAGAGAGCGAACAAGAGGGAATGCCCTGCCGCAGAGGCAGGGTGGGATGGGGGGTGGGGGTGGGAGGGATACTGGGAGGTGGAGAATGGGTACTGGTGGAGGGATGGGTACTCAATCATTGTATAACTGAAACCCAAGCACAAAATATTGTAAGTCTACAACTGTACCACATGGTGTTTCACTAATAAAACATAATTTAAAGAAACAAAACAAAACAAAAAGAAAATGTAAGCCATCACAAAGCAAACTATCCAAAATGTTTACTAATGAACTACCAGTTATTAATACATGACTTTCTTTTTTTAATGTGATGACCTCTATTTCCTCTACCTAATTTTTAAAAAATTTTTATTAGTGAAACACCATGAGGTACAATTGTAGACTTACAAATTTTGGTGCTTGGGTTTCAGTTATACAATGATCCGGTATCCATTCCTCTACCAGTGCCCATTTTCCACCACCACTGATCCCAGTATCCCTCCCACCCCCCTTTCCCCCCCATCCCACCCTGCCTCTGTGGCAGGGCATTCCCTTTTGTTCTCTCTCTCCTTTTGGGTGCTGTGGTTTGCATTGAGTGGCAATCATGTTCAGTCTATAGTCTACTTTCAGCATGCATCTCCCATCCTAGGAGGATCCTCCCAACACCTTTATTTGGTGCTCCCTTCTCTATCCGAGCTGCCTTTTCCCCTAGCATGTGTGGCTGGCCTCCAAGCCATGGAGTGAACCTCCTGGTATTTATCTCGGCTATTCTTGGGTGTTAGTCTCCTATTTTGTTACTCTAATACATGACTTTCCAACTCAAAAGAACGGCATCGGCAAAGCAGGATGAAATGTAAGCTTACCTGCACATGTTCCATCACATAAAATTCTGTTCCAATGACCGATGTATCAGTGCAGTACAACAAAGGCTTGGGAACAGGGAATCCAACAGCGAACAAAGCTTTCTGGACTTGAAATTCCCTATCAATCTAAACAGAACAATTGCTCATTAAAAATCAGAAATAGAGGGTCTGGAGTGATAATACAGCAGGTAGGGCACTTGCCTTTTACATGGTTGACCTGGGTTTGATTCCCACACCCCCATATGGTCCCACAAGTGCAGAGTCAGAAATAAGCCATGAGGACAGTTGGGTGTGACCACTCTCTTCCGCCTCAAAAAAAAAAAACACTGAAAATGAGAAACATAGGGGCTGGAGCAATAGCACAACAGGGTGGGCATTTGCCTTGCATGCAGCAGACCCAGGTTGAATTCCCAGCATCCCATATGGTCCCCCAAGCACCACCAGGAGTAATTCCTGAGTGCAGAGCCAGGGATAACCCTTGAGCATTGCTGGGTGTGACCCAAAAAGCGAAAAAAAAAAGAGAGAGAGAGAGAGAAATGTAGGAATCTAATTATATGTGGACTAATACTCAGGTGGTCAGAAATCCAATTTTTTTACAGTTTAATTAATAAGACTACAACAGTGTTTGAGTTTAATTAATAGGACTACAACAGTGTTTAAGGCACTGATGTACAAAGATGCTCATATCAGCATCACAGAAATGTTTATGACCTGCCACCCTGTCTTCATGCCACCTCTGGTCCATTCTTCCTTCTCAGTTCCTGTTTCTCTCTGCCCGCCCCCTGCCCGCCATTCTTTGTTGATTAACATTATAGTTTTGGTGCATACCTCACTCCACCACCACTAACATACCTCAACCTTCCACCTGTGCCCCTCTGTGACATCTGAGCCACCTATGGTGGATCCCAGTTGAGAATATTCAACCTGGTCTTCTCAGTGCCTAGGGTTTATCATCAACAGATACTATCCATGCCCTTGATTTGTCTCTCTTCATACCGTAGAGGGGTGAGATCATCCAGAACTTTCCTGAACTTCCTGGATTCTACCAGCCTCTGGCCTATTTTGGCTCAATATCAGACCCTCCAATTCTACTCGATCCATTTCAAGACAATATCCACAAAGGACTCATAGGATAACAACTTCCTTAGTATTCTCCTCAAGAACTGTCCTTGCGCAATTATGACAACAATGAATTAGGCCACACTGCACATGATGATTGTTGTGAGGCCGAAAGAATAGACGTGGTCCAACTAGAGCAGATGAGCCACAACCAAGGCAGGCACAGCCCACAGAGCTGGAGAGAAGAGTGTTGGCAGGCCCTGGCCCTGAGAACTGTGGGCAGAGACAGCCAGAAACCTGCTTCTCCAGTATAGCCCTAAGGAAAGCTGAGGGACTGGAAATAATAATAAAAAAAAAATCTCCAGAGCCAGGCCCCTGAGAGTCTTCTGTTCCATTCTGATGTTTTCTGGAAGGATGACAGCAAGCTGAAAGGCAAACAGAGTTGTTTGTGGGGGTGAATCTCTGGGTACTGCTGGGGCAATCCCTTCAACCAGGCCATGGTGGGCCTGGATCAGTTGCTCAACGTTTTTTTTTTTTTTTAAGAATAAGGAGATGAGTTGCTTTAGTTTTGGTGGACTAATATGAGACCAAGAAAGTTCGAATCTGCTTTTTGTTTTACTGGGATAGGAAGTTCCTCCCTCAGTGGCCCCCTTCTCCAGAAGGCTGGGCTGGAAGAACAGAATCGCATTAATAGACAACACACAAACAGCGCTCTGCAGGTGCCCCAGAACTGGCCACTTTTGCTTTCTTCTTGTCTCTGGAAATCCATGAATTATCTCTGTGTTCTGAAACAGTATTTTTAATGATCTCTTATAATGCTGACTCAAATCTCATCTTTAGAGAACAGTGTACAATAATGTTTCAATATTTCTTTTGTCAGCAAAAGATCAGGGCCATAGCAAATGAAATAATTTGATGAGTGGATATGGTTAGAAGGTATCATGATATCCTTTTTTTTTGGTTTGATTTTTTTTGGGGGGGAGGGAGGTGACACACCCAGCAGTCTCAGGGGTTATTCCTGGCTCTGCACTCAGGAATCACTCCAAGCTGTGCTCAGGGGACCATATGGGGCATCAGGGATACAACTTGGATCAACTGTGCGCAAGGCAAATGCTCTACCCACTGTACAGGCCCAGGATATACTTTTTAAAACAATTTACACAACCAACTTAGAAAACATCTATAAATGAGTAGCACTGAACAGAATCATTGGGTGACTGTATTTCTTGACAATTGAATACAAAGGAATAAAATCCAGGCGATACGGATCAGTATTCATAGACCTCAAGGCTATTAATAGCCTAAAGACCTGTAAGCTATATCCTTTTCAAAAAGGGATACAATTCAAGTGGATTTGTTTGCTTGTTTGTGGGACACACCCAGCTGTGCTCAGGCCTTCATCATTCCTCTGTGCTCAGGGGTCAGTCCTGGCAGTGCTCAGAATCATTGGGTGACTGTATTTCTTGGCAAGTGAATACGAACAAATAAAATCCAGGCGATACGGATCAGTATTCATAGACCTCAAGGCTATTAATAGCCTAAAGACCTGTATCCTTTTCAGAAATTGAACCTGGCATGGCCCCATGCAAGGCAAGTGCCTCACCTGCTGTACTATATCTCTAACCCCACACATTTTAATTTTAATCGAAGAAACCTTAATCTAAGAAATACAATGCATTTCTATTATTTAATAACCATGAGATGACTTGAGAGCCATTCAGAGGGCCTGGGCATGTACGAAAACACACGCATTTGTCAACCAGGAATCCACCACTGAGCTTACATACTGTACCTTATGTGCTTTCGGAAGCAGAGAACCAGGAGGTTTTTTCCTGAGTACATATGCTTGCGAGCCCTTCTGGAGATAAAAAGTGGGATTGGACTGTCCTGATCTGGAGAGTAGAAAAAAGGCCAGTTACAAAGAAAGGTTTTTCTTCTCCGAGTTCTACCTAAATAGTAGAAGAAACGCAAAATGAAAACAAATCCATCTTAGGGCTGGAAAGTCAATGGGGGTGCAACTGGGAGGCCAGAACCTGTTGGGGGGATGGTATAAAGCAGAGAGGGAAATAGCAGTAGCTGGGTGTAGAACCCACACAGGGAGCAGAGGGGACCACCCTCCTGCCAGCCCACTGTGAGATGTATCAGAAGTTCCTAGAACAATGCCAAGATCTAAGTAGAGAAAGTCCAGAAGCAGAGACTGTGGGTGACCAGTCAGAAAATAAAGGACACTGGATGGGGCTGGAGGGTTAATGCAGCAGGTCAGGCACCTGCAACGCACATGCCTGGCCTGGCATGTGAAAGGCAGGTATAAGTTTCTTAGCCACTCTTACGGGTACCATTTCTTCTGCTGCTTTTGAGTTACTTTTTTTTTAAGTGTTTCCATGCTGATTGAAGATCTTGATTAGGGAATATATTCTAATAGAAACAGCAGGCTGGATGGAAAGGACCACTTGAAATGTCTTATTCTACTTCTGTACCCACCCCCATATATTGAGTTTCCTACACCCTGGCATAATAACCACTTTTTTTTTGCAATTTCCTCCTGAGAAAACATACACATAAGCACACGTATTCTAGTACCTGCAAGTTGGCATACTGAACAGACTAGTTGTTTTTAATTGCTGGTCCTTAGCCCAGTTCAAATGCTGCCATTTTGTGAAAAAGGTATTTTAGTTGTTTTTTGGGGTTTTTTTTTTTGCTTTTTTTGGGTCACACCTGGCAATGCACAGGGGTTACTCCTCGATCTGCACTCAGGAATTACTCCTGGCAGAGCTCAGGGGACCATAGGGGATGCTGGGAACTGAACCCAGGTCAGCTGTGTGCAAGGCAAACGCCCTATCCGCTGTGCTATCGCTCCAGTCCCTGTGAAAAAGTTATTGCCACTTAAGACGTGGAAGGCCTGGACAGAATTTTTATTTTATATTACTAGGTTTAGCAATGAGCTGGAGCGATAGCACAGCGGGTAGGGCTTTTGCCTTGCACACAGCCAACCCAGCTGACCCGAGTTCGATTCCTCCGCCCCTCTCGGAGAGCCGGGCAAGCTACCGAGAATATCTCACTCGCAGGACAAAGCCTGGCAAGCTACCCGTGACGTATTCGATATGCCAAACACAGTAACAACAAGTCTCACAATGTTATTGGGCCCGCTCGAGCAAATCGACGAACAACGGGAGGACAGTGACAGTGACAGTGACAGATTTAGCAACATGCCCATGGAGTGGCTCAATGGCAAAAAAAAAAAAGCACCTGTCTTGCAAAGACTGAAAGAATGTGAGTTCAGTTCCCTGGGCTTCCATATGCGCAGAATATGAGCCCGGGACACTTGGAGCCACATTCCTGAGTACCACCAGGATTGATTCCTGAGTGTAGAGCCAGGAGTGAGTGACCCCTAAGCATTGCAGGGTGTGATTCAAAAACTTTTTTTAAAAGGATCCTAAAAAGGTTGGATTAGGACACCTGCATCTGTCCTTGGAGAGAGAAGCCCCACAGGTATCACCAATGCTAGTGGAATGACCCAAACACAGTTCCCCACAATGAACATACTCATAAGTCAGGTCCCAGAACGGACAGGGAGGTGCAAGATCATCCCACTGCTCTGGGGAACTCAGTCAGCAGAGTCCAGTGTTTGAGCCCACCCATTGCTACAGCAAAGGGAAAAGAAGGGGCATTCACAAAAAGCAAGCTCAGCGTCAAAAGCGTTGGACCCCATCAGACACAGAGACTTCCTTTACAGACCTCTCAGCTCAGATGCAGAGGCCAAATCCATGCTGTTTTCTCCTGCTCTGGATTCCCAAAAGGAGAGAATTAACAAGAGCACTTCATATGTCCATAGAGAAGGAGAAAAGATTTGGGGTATCCAAAAGTGCTCAAGGATGACTCCCAGTTCCATGCTCAAATGACCATGCGGTGGTACCAAGTCGGGGTTAGCCACATGCAAGGCGAACACCTTAACTCCTGCACAATGGCTCCAGCTCCAATAAAAGATTTTTTTTAAACCCGTTTTTCTCAATACGGGAGACAAATCTCAGAGCCAGAACATCACCCCAGTGGGGGTGGGTCAACACACAAGTTTCAGATATGTAAAAATACCTATAGGTAGAGGGCCAGGGAGGGTCTTTGCCTTGTACCGGCTACCCAGGCTTGATTCCTAGGCACCCCATGTGGTCCCCGCGCCTCGACAGGAGAGATCCTTGAGCACAGAGCCAGAAATAAACCCTGAGCATTGCCTGCTATGCCCCCCAAAAAAAACAAGAAAACAAACAAGTCAAAGAAAAAAATTCTTACAGGATTGTTTCAAGGGCCAGAAAACGAAGAACAGAAGAAAGCATCTGTTCTAAGAAGTGGGGTCGAGCCATATCGATAATACTGCCGGTAGGGCATTTGCATTGCATGCAGTTAACCTGGGTTCAATTTCCGGCACTCCATATGGTTCCCCCGGCACCACCAGGAGTAATTCCTGAGTGCAGATCCAGGAGTAACCCTGAACATCGCCAGAAGTAACCCCTGAACAACATTTTGGGTGTGATCCAAAAGGCCAAAAAAAGGCGGGGGGAGGGTCTCGAATGATCGCAGCTAGGCAGATACACTTCTGCCGCCCCCCCCCCCAACCCCATACAAGTTTGGAAATACTCAGGATTGCAACTGTTTGTTGGGAATCTTTTGTCTCTGGTGTTGAAAGCACCAGTGGAGTTATGTTCTGATCAAGTGTGATCAAGTTCATACTGAAACCAGATCCACCTCCACCATCCGCTCTGATCACAGCTGGGTGTGCTCATTCGAGTTCCGAAATCAAATGCACAATAACAAAGATAACAACCAGACTGGCAAATGTGAGGGGACATTGAAGTCTCTCCTTCACCCTCTGAATTTCCACAAATTGAAGATGATGCCAGCAGTATCTGAAATGAATTTTCCAGATAGGTCAAGAAACATAAAAGCAAATGGCATAGGTTATAAACTTGAAAAATATGAGACCATATGGTTCAAGAGACTTAAATATGCAAATATGGAGGGGCTTGGGGATGTGATACGATGGGAGAGTGTATGTTCTGCATAACAGAGATTCTGGGATCCATCACCACAAAATCAACCAACCAAAGAAAAGAAATCTGGAGCAGCAGAGGAAAAATACCCCTTAAGAACATACTCTGAAGGGGTTAGGAAGATAGTACAACAGGCACATGGCCAACCTGGGTTTGAATCCCTGGCACCCATAGGGTGCCCAGAACCCCACCAGGAGTGATCCCAGAGTAAGAGCTGGGAGTAAAGCCCTGAGCACTGTTGGGTGGGGCCAAAAATAAACAAAAACCCCAAAGCCCCAAAGCAGATCCATATCAGAATGTGTTCTGATGCTCAGCCATAATGCGCCAGAGGAAGATGAGATATTCTGGGTAGAGTCACAAGTGAAATCAAGGTGAGAGAGAGAGAGAGAGAGAGAGAGAGAGAGAGAGAGAGAGAAAGAAAGAGAGTTAACAGGGCACATGACCACCACTGTCAGAAGCAACCTTCAGGCACAGGCCAGAGATGCCCCCAAGCATCACCAGGTGTGGCCCCCAAGCCAAACAAACAAACAAAAAAATGAACTCAAACTGAAGATTCTTGACTAAGGTAATGGAATTACCCATTGGTTGGCCAAGAATAAGCCTAGTAAGGAGGACGACCTCAACAGCAGCAGAAGGCACTGGAGGGAGGTAGGGAGGGCACGTCTTGCAGGCAGCCAACCCGGGTTTGATTCTCAGCATCCCATATGGTCAACTGAGCACTGCCAGGAGTGATTCCTGAGTGCAGAGCCGGGAGTGGCCACTGAGCACTGTCAGGTGTGTCCCCCGCTCTACTACACACACACACACACACACACACACACACACACGTGCAGGGGGGGTGGGGCATCACACCACCAGTCATATAATCACACAGTGCATCTAGAGTGGGAGTTAGGCCATGCTCCTGGGTCTCCTGAGAGTGAGGGCTCAGTCCTCTGTGAGCTACTGGAACCCTGAGTACAGAAATGAACCCCACTGTCCATAGGGGTCTGGCTCCTTCCACTGTCCACAGCCCCGGAAACCACCTCCAACAAATGGCATTTCAGAGGCTGAAGCAAGAGAATAGGAGGCAAGACTCTTGCCTTGAATGTGGCTGACCCTGGTTCCATCCCTGGCACCCCAAATGGCATCCCTAGCCCTGCTAGGAGTGATCTCTGTGCAGGAATAAACGTCAGGAATAAACCCTGAGTACCACCAAGTGTGGCCAAAACACAAAACAAACCACCCTTCTCCAAACAAACAAATCACATTTGAGTTGCTACTTCATGTCATGAGTCAACTTGAATTCTTGACTGTCTACAAGGACCAAGGTTAAAAAGTGTAACAGTGAATCCACTTCTTACACTGCTCATTATTGACTTCAAAATCCAGAGAACGCTCATCAGCTCATCACTTGGAGATAAAAGATATAGTCATTTATAATACTGAATGTTCCTATTCATGAACATGGCCTCTGCCATGTTTATTTATTTAAAGGGTCTTAATAAAGCTTTATAATTTCCTTTACAGAAACATTGCATGCATTTTTACTACTACTCAGGCAATTTCTATTTTTGATGCTGCTTATATTGTTTTGAAAATTGCATTTTCACAATGCTGAAAGACATGCAACTGGCATTTTGCAAGTGAACTTTGACAAACTCATTATCAGCAGATTATTAGCTCGTTAATCATTTAACTGCTGTGTGTGTGTGTGTGTGTGTATGTGTGTGTGTGTGTGCGCGCGCGCTGTTGGAAGAATCAAAGCCAGGACTGTGAGGCAGGCACTCTGCCACTGAGTCATAATCTCAGCCCTTAGTTATTATTATCATTTGAATGTTTATTTTAGTCACTGTGATTTACAATACTGTCAAGGATCTCTCTGGTTTTGAACATGCATCTATTAGATACTTTTCTTTAGTTAATTTCTAGAGTTGAGGCAATGTTGCAGCTCCACAATCCTCACCAGAGCCAGTGTCCCTCCACTAATGCCCGACCCATCATATCTTCAATTTCTATAAACTCTTTCACGTGTCCTGAGATAACACCATACATAACGCAACAATGCCACAACTAATGACGTCTACCTCTCAAGCATAAGTCTGAATTTACTTTAACATTCAGCTAAATATCATTTTGCTGATATTCAGCAAAATAGCATTTTGCTTTAAAGAGATCACTCAAGGGTTAAACTGGAGTGAAACTTGAACTCTGACCTGTTTTGTTGACAGGAGCTTCTAGAACCTTGGCTACTTCCCCTTCCACCCACTTACTTTGATTCTAGGGAACAGGAGACCGTTTAATCCTACACCCTTAAAACGCTCTCAGTTCACCACTGGCTTTGTTTTCACTGAAATCAATAGTCTAGGAGCATAACCTGCAATTGGCAAATGCCACTGGAATCAGGTTTCCTGAGAACGTTAAGCCCTTTCACCTATATCTGTTTCATCACTAGGATTTCTGAGGACCAGCAGTTTAGATTAAAATACCAGTTGTCTAAGAACCTTACACAATGTATTTGAATTACCAGCCCACCCGTACCAGACATGTCTAGCATAGCTTTGTGTTTATCAAAATACTTGTTTTAAATTTGTTGAATGACTATAAAACATCAGACTAGCGCCAGATCCAGGGGAAACGGGGCTGGGGGAGTGGGGTGGGGGTGGGGGCTTAGATTCTCTGGGTCGTCATCCTGTTCCATCTCCTCATTCTGGAAAGAGCTTTCTCTCCAAAGAGATTCTGTAGAAGATCTGGAATTAGAATTTGGGTTCCCCCGTTGGTGCCATTAATCAAAGCCTCCAATCACAGCGAATTTGCATGTTCTGCTAAGCAAATTCTAATGGCTCTACACAAAAGTTGAGAGTATTTGAGGGCTTTCTGCCTGAATTGCTGTCTGTGAATCCTCCGCGGACAAAAGCTGCATTCTTGCATACAGAAGATTCCTTCTCACAGTTAGAACCCTAAAAGTTTCAGCCTTTTGAAACTTTCACGGGAATTGCAAACAGCCAGAGGGGTGCATGGACGACCGCTTCGGCGTCCGGGAAAAGACACCGGGGTAGGAAAATTTAGGAACCCACTCAGGGCCATGGGAACCCCAAAAGCTCTAGGGGCAGATTCGTGCAGATTTATGCCGTTTCTGCTGCAGCTGGCCGGCGAGGGTACCTGTACTGGGCCACCGTGAGCTTGGCCTCGCGCTCGGCCCCATAGCCCGGCAAATGCTGGTTCAGGTAGGCTTCCAGGGACTGGCAATCGAACTTGTGCTGGGGCAGTACTTCGGCCATCTCAGGCTCCCGGGAGGCACTGGACTCCATGACTGTCGCTGGCGCAAGGCAACAGAGGCGCACGGCCCGGGAGGTTGCAGCGCACAGATGCCAGCGGCCGGGAGGGAAGCGCAGAACAGATAGGGGGCGTGACCAGGGCGGGTACGGGGGCGTGGCCGGTCCAGGGCGTGGCCTAGACGGGGTGGGGCGGAGCCTGGGTGGAGCGGTGCGGGGTCTGAACGGGGTCGGGGCGGGGCCTAAACGAGGGTGGAGCGGGGCCTGGGTGGGGCGGGGGCGGGGTCTGGACGGGGCTGGGGCGGGGACTAGACGGTTCCAGCGAATCACACGCACCCTGGGCGCCGTTGCTGAGCAACACAACACCAACAAGTGAGGCTTTGCTTTGGGCTCTTTCCGGGAAATCCCTCACACGCCTCCTGTGTATTGTAGTTGAAGATTTTATTATTTTTGTTTTCAGTCCGCCTCAACAGTGACAGTCCCCGATTTTAAAGAGAGCAAAGTCAGGTCAGTCGTCCCAAGCCAATAAGAGCAAGAAGAATAAGAACCAATAAGAATAAGAATCCCCCCACTCCCTCCACCCCAAAACAAATGCACCCACGGAAGGAAGTGCCAGTCGGTCCGGGTCAGAAAAGAGTCCGTGTGAATCTCGCGCCCAGGAAGTCTTAAGAAACGATCCTGGGGTGCTTCTCTTCCGTCTGCGGGCTTGGAAAGGCGGCCCTGCAGCTCCGCGCCGGTTTGGGCTGCGAGAGCCCCGCCTGCCCTCCGCCCGGACTCTTGAGGACTCGGGGGCGCGCCGGGAAGCCGGAAGCAGCGGAAGTTTCCTGCGGGGGCGCGAAGGCCGCTGCACACCGGAAGCGGCGCGCAGCCGGGGAGACGTGTCTGTAGCCGACACGCCGGAGCCGCCTTTACCGGAGTGGCGCTGAGGCTGCGGAGGGGCGGCGGCGGCGTGGGGCGGCGGCGGCGGCGGCGGCGGCCGGGAGCGGGGGCAGCCGGGGGCCCAGCCATGGCCGAGACCACGGTGGAGCGGCTGCAGCAGCGGGTGGCGGAGCTGGAGCGGGCCCTGGCCCAGGAGAGAAGCCGGACGGCCGGCGGGGCCGGGGGCGGCCGCAGCCGCATCGACAAGATGAGCCCCGAGGTGGTGGACTCGAACCCCTACAGGTGAGCGGCGGCGCGGCGGAGATGCCTCGGCTGCCGGCGGACCGGGACCGCGTCTCGGTACCGGGTTGGGGGGTTGGGGCGGGACGGGGACTCGGGGGAGCCATATGGTGCCTCCACCCCGCTGGACGCGACTGTCGGCGTCTCAGGAGAGAAGGTGCCGTGCACGGGAAAAGGTAGGAGCAGCCACGGAGATACTCGGAGAATCACAAAGATTTTTTTTTTTTTTTGCTTTTTGGGTCACACCCGGCGATTCACAGGGGTTATTCCTGGCTCATGCACTCAGGAGTTACTCCTGGCGGTGCTCGGGGGACCCTATGGGAATCGAACCCGGGTCGGCCGTGTGCAAGGCAAACGCCCTCCCCGCTGTGCTATCGCTCCAGCCCCGGATCACGAAGAATTCTTGAGAACGATCATCAACATGATCAGCCGATAGCATTGATTTGCAGGTGACTCACCACCTGGTTTCTGATTTCTGGCACAGCCCCCCCCCCCCCCCCCCGTGTGGTCCCCTGACTGTGCCTGCCAGGGGCGATCCCGGAGCACGGCTGGATGTAGCCCCCTTCCCCCCAAAACGCAGAAAAAATAAGAAAGAAAACTCTGGCTAGAAAGATTGGAAACAGGGTTAAATCTGGAAGGCAGAGACTAAAATGATGGGAAGTAGATGCAGGGGAAAGATGGGCAGGAGAGAGAGTACAAGGGTTAGGTTCCTGCTTTGCAGGTAACCAACTCAGGTGTGGATCCCTCCAGCACAGCCAGGAGTCACTTCTGAGCTGTCAGGAATAATGACCCCTGAGCACTACTGGGCGCAGCCCCAACACGAAAAGATGAGCATTACCCCGGAGTCGCACCTTCTAAATTATAGGACTTCTAGAAAGTTCGAGAAAAACAAAACTGGAGCTGGAGTGACAGCCCAGTGGGTAGAGCATTTGCCTTGCACTTGTCTGACCCGGGTTCGGTTCCCAGCATCCCATGTGGTTCCCTGAGCACCGCCAGGAGTAGTTACTGAGTACATGAGCCAGGAGTAACCCCTGTGCATTGCTGGGTGTGACCCCCCCAAAAAAAGGGGGGGGGAAAGAAAAAACAAAATAATCAGATTCTTTCAGATGTTCTTGAACTGGAAAGCATATTTCCAATTTGAAAGGTTCACTGGGCATTCTGCAGCTTGTAGAAATTCCAGAAGCTAGAAGATGCAGAGCCATACGTTGCAGAAGTTTTTAGGAAATTGTTATCAATTTAGACTTCTATACCAACTTGCACTGTGAAGTTGTGTGTGTGACTTTACACCGTTGTATAACTTTACATTTGTCATTTTTATAAAGATCAAAATTTTGATAGAGAATATTTCCAGACATCTCAATATTTACTTTCCTTGTGCCCTTTGTAAAGGTACTAGAAGAGATTCTTATAGGAGACTAAGAGACGTAGCAGCGGCTCTCAGACCTGAGTGCGAATCAGAATCGGCTGAAGACCCAGTTAGAACACAGGCCTAACACCTCAAGTTTGGTTCATTTGATCATGGGACAAGTCCTTGAAATTGGCATTTCTTGTATTCCTTACTTGCATTCCAGTGTATTCTATCCTCTTTCTGGAGAAGCCTGCTTTCTCGTGAACGAGTGTACTTTTCTCACCTTTTAGTAAAATCTCTCTTTTTTTTTTTAAATATTAACCATTTCTAAGAGATTACCAGGTAGGACGCTTACTGATTCACAAAGCACAATTTCAAGTTGCTGAGAACTGGCAGGAGAGAGTACAGGGGAGTGCCGCTGACCCTGGTTTGATCCCCATACCAAAGATGGGTCCTTTGAGCGCCTCCAGAAATGTGCTACTGGCTGTGGACCACTCCCCTGAGCCCCAAGGAAGCCGGGATTTTATGCAGGAGAAATAAATAATAGAAGTTGCAAGGTGATAATGAAGAGCAGTGACAAGAGGAAGTATGTGTCTACAACTGGGACACGTCAACAGATTCTGTCCATACATTCGTCAGAGGATGAAATTGATAGAACAATAATGCGCTCCGCTGAGTACAGAGGAATTTTAGACAGCTGCACTTAACGCTGACTTACCTAAGCCTTAAAGCCCAAGGAAAGACACGTTTATTTATGTCAAGGGCAGGGATTCTAGAAGAAAGCAACCCTAACCGAGGTGACTAGAGAACAATATTCAGTGGCTGGTGGAATGGGTCATGCTTGGTGCAGTTGGGACTAATCGAAAGAGTAAAATCTTTAGCTAATATTTACAATTGAAAATCAAGAAATAACAAGCATCTACATTGGTCACCGTTGAAAGTGGGAGTGGTACAGAAGCAAGATAAATTACCTGGCACTTGATGTGACTTTGTATCTGACGCTCCATACACACAATTCCATTTTTAGTTTTAAGAACACTTTAGATCGCTGTATAAAATGGAAACACTAAGGAAGAACAGCAAACAGATGAGCAGCAAAGTACCTATTGGGTATTTGGCTTACAATAAGTGCTTATTAAAAAAAAAAATAGACATTTCCCCTTTTGTAGACAGAGGCTACAGTGAGTGAAATTCCAGCCACAAGATTTTCTGTTGTTAAGTTGGAATATTTGGGGCTGGAGTGATGGTACAGTGCACAGGGCACTTGTCTTACACGCAGCCAACCTGGTTTGATCCCTGGCAGCCCATATGGTCCTCCAAACACTGCTAGGAGTGATGCCTGAGTGCAGAACCAGGAGTGTGCCCTGAGCATCACCGGGTATGACCCCAAAACCACACACACACACACACAAAAATCAGTGTTAAGCATAAAATGTAACACTGGTGAAGGGATTGGTGTCGAAACATGTACCTGAAACCCAATCATGAATATCTTTGTTACTTGGTGATTCAATTTTTAAAAAAAAAAATTCAATATTTACTTAGAGTGGGAAGCGTATACAATTCTGCCTAAACACACCTGACTAAGTGTGTCACAGTCTTGACGGGAATTCTGAGGAATGTGGGGTGCCAGGTTCCCTTCATGGCACTGCATTCCCCCATATCCCCTCCCCGGATCCCCCAGCACTGCCAGGTATAGCCCTGGTGGCCCTCAGCTGTCAGACCAGACCGCCACATTGCTGAGTATTGCTGGCTTTGTTCCCCTGGCACAGCTGGGGACCCCCTAACACCACTGTTGCCCAGATTGATCCTGTCCAGGTATTTAAGTATGTCATGTTTTTATTTACTTTTAATTTTTGGAAGGTGCCAAAAGCCAGGAGTGAACCATATGTTGGGTTTTAAAGCTGCCTCAGAAGTTTCGTTTCATCTGCTACAGCTAACAGAAAGATTTCAGTATTTTTTTTTAAGGATTAGCAGTGACGGAGTCTTGGTGTTTAATTTCTGCTATGATGTAATTTACCAGTAGCACCAATGAAAGTGCAGTCTTTAAAACATTCTTTTTGTCTGTTTGTTTTTAAGCCGTCTGATGGCATTGAAACGAATGGGAATTGTCAGCGATTATGAGGTATGATAAACCTTGGCCAAGTTTTTGAGGATGAATTCACTCGGTGCAAATAATTTCTGGTGACATGTTTGATGAAGTGATTGACCAGGACATCTACAATTTGTGCTTCACAGAAAATCCGCACCTTTGCTGTGGCAGTAGTAGGTGTTGGTGGAGTTGGCAGCGTGACTGCTGAAATGCTGACAAGATGTGGCATTGGTAAGGTAAACGCATTCTCTTTGCCTTTCACATAGAAAACCTGCTCACGTCTGCAATAAGTCAGGTACAAATTAGGATTTTCCCCTCCTTAATAATGGTTTATTGATTTGTAGGGTGTGTGTGTGGGGGTGTGTGTGTGTGTGCACACGTGCGTGTACCTGTTTATACACGGATTGCTATTTCTGTCCAGGGGTATTGTGTGCATGTTTGCCTGTGTGTGCACATAGATTGTTATTTATGACCAGGGGTCTTACATGCATGTGTGCATATATACATACATTGTTTTTTCTGTCCAGGAGTAGTGTGTGTGTGTGCGTGCGTGTGTGCGTGTGTGCGTGCATGCGTGCGCATGCACTTGTGTGCATGCATGCAGATTGCTATTTCACAGATTGTTGTTTCTATCCAGGGTATGACCACATACATAGCCCCCACCAAAATGGAAGTTGATGTCATTGCTGGTCTGCCTAGGTGTACTTAGGAACTTTTACTTTGGGGTCACAGATAAACATCCAGAATGTGTGTTTTAAGTAGAAAGCTAAGGAAAGAATACTGTCAAATCGTTGCAAATATGAACGTGAAATACTGAACATCTAATAAGTATTTGTCAAACTTGCTTTATAAGGGGCCAGAGAGGTAGTACAGCGGGCAGGGTGCTTGTCCTGCATGTAGCCAACTTGGGTTTGATCACTGGCACTCCTTAGGGTCCTTGGAGCAGGCTCAAGGGACCATACAGGGTGCCGGGGATTGAACTTGGGTCGGGTCGTTTGCATGCAGTCAAGTGCCCTATCTACTATACTATCTTGCCAGGCCCTGTCTATATGTTTTTAAACTCCTAAGTCACCCAAGCATGCACTTGACGTGAGTGCACACTTTTATTGACTGGTTTAACCTTTTTTTCTTTGTTTCTGTATTGAGAAGAAAATTCATTTTGTCTTATTGTTAAATTTAGGATGAGAACTATATTATAAACTCACAGAATTTTTTAAATTTATTTTTTAAATTTTATTTTCATAATGGCCTTTAATGTTCACAATAATTGATTGCATTCAGTATTTCAACACCAATCCCACCATGATTACACCTCCCCACCACCACTATTTCGAAGTTTTCCCACCACCAGTCAAGCCAGCCCCACAGGCAGATGCTAGAAAATTTATTTTGTATTGCTTGTTATGAATAGTATAAGATGTATCTGACAGTGATTGAACGAAAAAGCAAAAAAATAGTAAGAGATATTGCATGGTGGTTGCGTCCTCCTGGGATTCTAAAAATTTAAATAATTGGATTCCAGAGCCATCCCTGCGGCAGAACAGTTCTGAGATTCATTTGTGAGTCTCTGGATCGTGGCCGTTAATACACTTAAATGGCACCTGGAGGCAGTTTGTGGGCGTGACAGCCAGGACCCAGGAAGGGCAGGGAGATGGTTGACCCAGTCCAGACCCCTTGAGACCTGGTGTTTTCAGTCACTGGTCCTGTATACCTAGGTTTTTCAGTGGAACTCAGGGTTTTATATCAAGGAAGAATCCTGGAAATCCTTGTGTCCAATGTGTTTTTGCTAGTAAGAAATGGAATCTTGCAGATGGGAGATAACTCAGAGGCCTGGAATACATGCTTTGCATTCAGCAGCCTCAGGTTCGATTCCTAGTACCAGAGAGTCCACCCTCAAGAAAGAAGGGGGTCTTTGGGACCATTTTAAGGGGTATGTGACAGTGGCATAAATTGTGTGCAGATGGCAGGAATCAACAGTTAACTGGTTACTGATTCTATTTGGAATGATCATTTAGCCATGCCATGGGTATAAATGTGTAGTGTTACTACACAAAAGGAATTATGCTGTGCAATAGTTTTATATTGGCTTTTAGTTTTACCTTTTTTTTTTTTTTTTTGCTGGGAGGCACACCAGCAGGGCTCACAGATCGCTCCTGGCAGTGCTCAGGGACCTTTTGTAGTGCCAGGTATAGAACCAGGTTGGCCGAATAAGGCACGCACCCTACCCGCTATATATTGCTCCAACCTATATTTATTTTTACCTTGTTTTAAAATTTCATTTGGCTCTTGACTATCAGAAAAGTGAAACAAAGTCATATTTGAGGGCACAATTTATTTGTGTTTGTATGTGTGTTGGGGGCGGGGGGAGATGCATGGGGGTCTCTTGTGCTTCAGGGTTCTGCTACCAGGGATTAAACCCAGGTCTCCCACACGTAGGGACTGGCAGTAGCCCTTTGAGCTGTCTCTCCAGCCCATTATTTTACACAATTTTTGACAAAGTGGAATAAAGTGGAATAATTTCCCCACAGACCACACAGAGTGGCAGGGTAAGCATCATAGTTGGGATGCGGGGACCCGATGGAGCACACCTAGGCTTGAGCCCATTTCCATGACGTACCATGTGTGACTTGTAGACATCATCTATTTCTCAGGGAATATCAGCTGTGTCCTTAGATTCGGCAATATTTATTTCTGGCACAATTTAACATATGGTATTCAACATTTTGGAATTAGCTAATATTGTTATAACTAGGAAGCTTACCGAGTGCTAGGCCCATGAGTTTGCTCTAGCTTGTTTTAGCTTCTTTTCCATCAGCTCGCTGCTCTTCTCATTTTAGTTGCTACTCTTTGACTATGACAAGGTGGAACTGGCCAACATGAATAGACTGTTTTTCCAACCTCACCAAGCGGGGCTAAGTAAAGTCGAAGCAGCAGAACATACCTTGAGGTAAATGGGAAAGCAATTTAAGAGCAGATTTTGGTGAAATGTCACTTGTATGTGGTACAATAAATTTAATGTATGCCAGGGAGCTCGTTCACAGGAGAGCACATCCTCTAGGTGTGGGAAACCATGAGTTTGATGCCTGGCACCGCATGCCATTACCTGGCTCTGCTGGATATCATCCTAGTGGCCCCTAGTACCCCCAGGCCCAAGCAGCACTGCATTCTTACTGGGCACCAGCAGACCTACACAGCTTGACCAAGTATTGCTGGGAGTGGGTTTCTGGGCTTCCCTGAGCATTACAGGGAAGTTTCCAGCTCCTGGTACAGTTTTCACATATGAAAAACTCCTCACCTCTTAGATCTGATTTAGCAGTGTTTTTCTGTTTAGGGTTAGATAGTATTTTAGGCATTTTGTTTGTTTACTTTTAATGGGGGGGAGGGCTTTTGGCCTACACTGGGGTGTTCAGGGGCTGTTTGTGGCTCTGTGCTCAGGAGTGACCCCTGGCCATGTTCAGGGGATCGTATGCTGTGCCAGGATTGAATCAGGGTTAGTTTGTGCAGGGCCAGCACCTTCCCCTGTACTCTCCCCAGTGCCCATAGTGTAGGTTTTAAGGGCCGGTGCTCCCTCTGCAGACGGTTCAGCTGTGCAGTCATAGTGTGATTGCTACCCCAGGCAGTGCAGACGTGCGGGAGCCTGGCTGTCTCCAGCAGAACCCTGTGATCACTGACATTTCGTGTGTGGGATTTGGAATAAAGTGTTTACTTTATGAAGAGTGATGCCTTTGATTTCTTTTTTCTTCAACCACTGAATAAATGTAAAAGCCACTTTCAGTGCTCTTAGGGTAAAATAGACCTTATGGAGCAGCAGCTACCCAGCAGGATTCAGTCAGATTCGGACGAGGCCTCAGTTTGCCAGCCCTCAGCTGAGGACTTCTCTGTGGCTCCAAATGTCCTTGCAATAAGGAACAAAGAGAGTCTTTGTCCTGCTGAGTAGGAGTCAGCCGAGGTGCCAAAGGCGGCTTTCCTTCCTCCCCTCCCCCCACTGTGGGAGCCTTGCTCGGATTCAGCACCATGCTTCAACCTAGACCTTGAAGTGAGACCAAAAAGTTAGAACAGGGCTTTGATTTTTCTTCTCCTGTTCCTGGTTTCCTTTGAGAAATCATTCTCATATGTCACTGTATCTTTGGAGGAATCAGCATGATGATTTGATTTTTATATATTGGGAAATTATTGGACTGGAGCGATAGCACAGCGGTCGGGCGATTGCCTTGCATGCAGCCCAACTGACCTACTCTGGTTCGATTCCTCCGCCCCTCTCCAAGAGCCCGGCATGCTACCGAGAGTATCTCACCTGCAAGGCAAAGCCTGGCAAGCTACCCGTGACATATTCGATATGCCAAATACAGTAACAAGTCTCAAAATGGAGATGTTACAGGGCCCACTCAAGCAGATCGATGAACAATGGGAGGACAGTGACAGGGAAATTATTGGATTTTTTTTTTTTTGCCAGGGTAGGGAGCTACAGTACTTGGTACTTGGGTGGCTCTGCACTAGGTTACTCCATTTCTCTAACATATTTCAATGGCCTTTAGCTCTTGCCGTTCCTTTTCCAAGCTTCTTTTACTAGTAATTTTTGTATCTTTCCCTTTTCCCTATTAGGAACATTAATCCTGATGTTCTTTTTGAAGTGCACAATTACAATATCACCACAGTAGAAAACTTTCAACATTTCATGGACAGAATAAGGTAAATTTTTATTTATGAATATTTTGTGTAATATAAAGTTCGATTAAATAAGCATTATTAGGAAAATCTGCTGATTAATTCAATGAGTTGGTAGGTTGTTATACAAAAAGTGTATTATTATTGATGTATTCATAAGGTTACTCAGTATATTCTGGAATATTTAGAAGTAAACACTATCTTGATTATACTCAAATATTTACTCTAAGAATAAATGTATTCATTATTAAATATTATTAAATATGTATTATGTATTAAATATTGCTGCATATTAACTAACGTTAAATATTAATATAGTAAATACTTAATGGAAGAAATAAATGCCTACACAATATAATGAAATATAATGACCGTGTTTTGTATCCTGATTTTTCTTGAATCAAATTTCTTTTCTTTGCCCAGTAATGGTGGGATAGAAGAGGGAAAACCTGTTGACCTTGTTCTTAGCTGTGTGGATAATTTTGAAGCCCGAATGGCGATAAATACGGTGAGTATTCTTGGAGTGCAAGGTGTTAGACTTGTGGATTTATCTGTCTTCCTGTATATTTGCTTTGTACATATTCCCTGTCCTGAACGTTCCGCCTTTAGCCCCATTCTTTAGCATGTTTTGTTTGTGGTTGATGGTCTCTTCACGTCCTTGCCTCACAGCTGAGCCAGTGTCCCTGTCCTGTCCTTAAGCTGGTGGGGGAATCTAAAATAGCAGATAGCGGGGTTGTCCACATGCAAGGCAGTTCCTCAACCTCTCAGCTGCTTCTCTGGCCCTGTCCTCTCTGGCCTTCTGGCTTTTTCAGGAGATTGGTGCAACTGCCAAGTTGCAATTAAAGAACCCCACTATTTACAGCTTTCTGCTTTTAGTTTGAAAATGCGTTTTTATAAACCTTTAGTGATTTGTTGAGCTCAACCCTACATTTTCTTCAGCACTTAAGGTAACTGAATTACCTTGTTCTTTGGTGTTCTCACCTCTTTTTACTAAGGCTTGTAATGAACTTGGACAAACGTGGATGGAGTCGGGGGTCAGTGAGAATGCAGTGTCCGGACACATTCAGCTCATCATTCCTGGGGAATCTGCTTGTTTTGCGGTATGCACTTTGGGTTATTTTCGATTTATGAGGCAACTGCTAAATTCTTAGGGGCATTGATAACAAATTCACAGCTCGGAGATAAAGCCAGTTTGGGTGTGACAGAGTCCTGCTTGGAACTCACTGCTCTCCTTCCTTCTCTGCTGGAATACACCTTCTTTGTTTTTTCTCTTCACGCACAGTGTGCCCCACCGCTTGTGGTTGCGGCAAATATCGACGAGAAGACGCTGAAACGGGAAGGCGTGTGTGCTGCCAGCCTCCCTACCACCATGGGAGTGGTCGCCGGCATCTTGGTCCAGAACGTGTTAAAGTGAGTCCGGACTCATTTTCCCCAGTGTCCCCTTAGGTATCAATAAGAGCAAGTATATTTCATGAAGCATTTCAAATAGTAGAATTGCCATCTAAGTATCTTTTTGTTTTTATTTATTATGTCTATATAGCGCACTGCCCTAGTGAGCTCAGTCAGTAGAGCAAAGACTACACTTGTCTGTGTTTTTATATATGTATACTATGTTTGCTAATGCATTGATGTATATAACATGTTAATACATTCATAGATTACAATGCATACACAGAAATGTTCTTGGTTAAATGGCAAGACAGTACTGGTGTATTAATGCAGCATTCACCCAGCGACTTTAATTTTTGCTGGTTTGACAGGAGGTGGAAAATTAGACATAACCAGATTTGTTTAGAATATTTTGACTTAACTTTTGCTGAAAATAATGTGAATGTGATTAAACTATAACCAGAGTAATATCTCTGATATCTCAGTGGCTATATCCACAACTACACCATGGAGACTAAAGTCCGAAAATGCAAAGTTTTCTTCTTTTGGAAGAGGGGCCGCACCCCACAGTCCTGGGGGTTATGCCCAGCTCTGTGCTTGCGGGTCATTCCCTACTCCTTGGGGGACCCTCCTGCATGCAAAGCATGCACCCAGCCCATTGAGCCATCTCTCTGGCCCGAAGGTTTAATTCACAGCTTATTAAAGGCAGAGACCCTTTAAGTGTCCCCTGCCTTAAGCCATTTGTTTCTGCCTTTAAAACTGTGGTGCTTGGGGTCTGTTTCTGGATCATTGTGCAAGGGTCGCCCCCACAGTGCTCAGAGGACTAGGCAGTGCTGGGGATTGAACCGGCCTTGCCCCTTGCTCACGTGCTCACCCATTGAGCTCTCTCTGGCCTCTCACTTTGTCTCTTGAGGTTGTTGACATGCTGGAGTTTAGTTGGCAGCACTTTTAAGAGTTTGCAAAATTAAAATGTACTCTATGCTTTATGAAAGGAAGCGAGCTTCTCTCTCCTGCCTTCATTTAACAAATATCTACGGGGCCAGGCCCTGTAAACAAGAGAAAAATCATTATTTTCTGGGTACTTGATATAAAATTAACTTGCCTACTTAATCATTTTTAAAAACTCAAATACTTTTATGATTTTGTATATTCATACCAACTCTGGCTTATTTTTCTAGGTTTCTGTTAAGCTTCGGTACTGTCAGTTTTTATCTTGGATACAATGCAATGCAGGATTTTTTCCCAACCATGTCCATGAAGCCAAATCCTCAGTGTGATGACAGGAATTGCAGGAAGCAGCAGGAGGAATATAAGGTATGCTTGAGTCTGTCAGCATGTGTGGGAGATCATAATGGAGAGGGCAACAACAACAACAAAAAATTTAGACTTGGAATAGAAGAAAAATGAATTTTTAACATTTGGCCCGCTCAAGCAAACCGATGAACAACGGGAGGACAGTGCTACAGTGCTATATATATAATAATATATAAATATATACATATATATACATACATATATATGTATGTGTGTGTGTGTGTTTATATATATATATATATGCCTCTCAGAGAGGCCGGGAAGGTACCAAGAGTATCCTACCCACACAGGCAGAGCCTGGCAAGCTCCCCGTGGCGTGTTCGATGTGCCAAAACCAGTAATGATAAAAGGTCTCATTCCCCTGAAAGAATCTCCAATTGTTGGGAAAGACGAGTAAGGAGAGGCTGCTAAAATCTCAGGCTGGGAGGAATAGAGACGTTACTGGTGCCCGCTCAAGTAAATCAATGAACAACGGGATGACGGTGATACAGTGATTATATGCTTCAAAATTGAAAATTCAGAACCAAAAGTTTATCTTTCTTTTGATAAGATGGTATCTTGTCTGAATGAATACCTGGTTAAGCTTGGTAATAAAGACTGAGGGAAAACATTGATACTGTTTGATTTCTGCAGAAAAAGGAGGCGTCACTGCCCAGACAGGAGACTGTTCCCGAGGCGGAGGAGATAATCCATGAAGACAACGAGTGGGGTAGGCCAGTTAAAAGTGGCGCGGCAGACTCCTGATGGCAGGCAATCGAATTATGTTTAAGATCAGACTTGTTTTCAGTAACGACTGCTTATTAAGTGCCTTAGGAAGTAATGCGGCCATATCGCACCCTTCAGGTATTGAGTTGGTATCTGAGGTTTCAGAAGAGGAACTGAAGAATTCTTCAGGCCCAGTTCCCGATTTACCTGAAGGAATCACAGTGGCATACACAATTCCCAAAAAGGTACGTCTAAAATCAGATTTGTGTAAGTAAATATGTAAGAAAAAACTTTCGTCTCACCTTCTGTTTCCTGATTTTTCCTCTTCCCTTCCTTCTGTTGATGTGGGCCCCAAGGTTGCTGAGGCTTGGCTCTGGTGCTCCCACAAGCCACAGCCTTCCTGCAGTGCTCACACTCACCTGGCTGCGGTGCCCCTGGATGTTGCTTTAGTTGTGGGATCCAGCAGCAGGGCAGCCGGGTACAGACAGAGCTGCCAGGCTCCCTCTCAGCACATGTGCTGACACAGGGACTGTACTCAAGGCCTTTGGATTGCAAGGCAAGCACAGTAGCCACTGGGCTTGCTTCCAGCTAACGAACCCCGTGTTAGGTCTACTACACTCTAGGGGTTCAGTTGCGTGAAAGAGGGCCAAGGAGCTAGCTCAGAGAGCCAGAACGCAGCACTGGACATGCATGCAGGTAGTCTGGGTTTGATCCTGAGCACTGCACAGTCCCCCGAGCACTGATGAATGACCCCCAAGCACTGCTAGACGTGGTGACCCCTACTCCGACTCCCAGCCACCACCACCACCCTCCCAAAAATACGGAGAGGTATTTGGTGTTAATGTGGAGATAAGTATAGCACATTTTGAACTTTGGAAACAGAGGCATCATTTGGTGGTTGTTATTGAAGGATCAGACAGATTTTGCTTGACACAGCGTTTGTTGATAGTATTAGCCACCATACTGTTTGAAAATACCACTTCAGTGCCTTGGGAATCCTAAGGGGGAGGGGAGAACAAAATCGGTCTCTTTGAAATACTAGAAGGCATACTTCTTTTTTATTTCTTTTTACTTTTTTAAAATAGAAGTTCTATTTGGTAAATAATAAGGGCAGAGAGCAAGCTTGCCGGTCATGTGTATATCAGCGGCAGCATTTGTATCAGGTTATCTTCTCTCTGTTTACCCACCCCCCCTCATTGGGAGCAGGAGGAGTCTGGACCTGAGGTAGCAGTGGAAGACTCCGGTGAAAGCCTGGAAGACCTCATGGCCAAGATGAAGAATATGTAGACCACGGACTGAGCTATGTTTGATTTCCTATGTCTGTTCCATTAAGAATTTATTTTTTTCTCTTGCAACTGAAAAGAATTATTTAAACAATGACAAAAACCTAGGATGATGTCAGCTGCTATATAATGATCACGGAGTCCTACTCTGGGAAAATACTGTCACCCTGTGTTGGCCACTCCAGGGCCTTTAACTGAAACTTATGTTTCATTCTGGTAAGAAAATGTCAAAGGGTTGCTGTAGGCTATTATAAATCTGATGGAAGATTTACTCAAATGCCTTTGGGGAGGAGGGAGAGGGGCCAGTTGACTGCAGCTTTATTTTCTTTCTGACTTTGTGAGCTCGGCCTAGGCCCTGGACCGTAAAGTGGCATGTGGTCTCAGAGATGGGCAGAGGGACCAAGTCTCCTCTCGGTCAGCGAGAGAAGCATCTGCTCACCTGTGCTCGGATTTGCACTCAGCAGGAAAACTGCTTCTCACTATTAACCCCAGGAAATGCTGAATTTGAAATCGTTAACCCGCCAAATAAAAACAACCTCTCAACTGTTTCCTCAGACACTCTGTGCTGAGGTAATAGTCACTGGAACAGTTTGTAAACAAGTGAATTGTGTTTTCAGATACCTTACTTAAACTTGATCTGTAACTGGGTGCTGTCCTGGATAATAGGCATGAGGGAGGCCAAAGGCTGCTCTGCAGTGACCTCTTGTGGTTTTTCTCTGGATTTGCTTATCAGTATCATGAAGACCTAGAAAGCCTCAATAGAAATAAATGCCCAGTGATTTGAGACCAAAGGCTGTGTTACCTGTAGACTGTTACTGACCTGTCTTATTTTTTGCTTTGTGAATGTTTGACTCGTGCCTCTAAGCTAAGGGGCGGCATTATTGATAAAGACAAGTGCACTTTCCACTGACAAAATCAAAGTCCTAAGTACTGATTTTAGAAAGCACTTGGTATCAGATGTGTCCAAAATACTCCTTTTGAGGTTCAGGGATCATATTGTGATGCTTATGTTTACAGTGAGTCAGGAAAGCAGGGGGTGGGGGCTTGTTTTCTAACCTTGAAACCTATTTATGTTGCATTGATAGGTTACTTGCTGTTTTGCTTTTTTGGTTTTTGTGTAGAGTATTCATTCAATGGTTTTTCTAGTTACTAGAGATACTTTGAATTAAAACAAAATATCCCATATTTTTTCTAAAATAATTTCATTGCATTGGATCCTCTATACACTAATTTGGTCTAAGGATTTGCTTCTGGTTGAAAAATGTGTATTTTTATAAAGTATAATGGCTCAAATTTACATCTTTTGCACTTTTCCCCCATTCTTGCTGCTTTACACAGTGGTGTCTTTGGTGACACTGTATCTCACCTAAGTTCTAGGTCTAATGTTACCCTTTTTAAAAATAATTGGAATTGGATTATTTTACCGGAAAAAAAAATGCTGCTTTCGCAATCATAAAGTGTCCGCTCAGTTGTGCAAGCCATGCACACTTACAAGGAGCTGAATATGAGAATTTAGTTTCTCATTAAAAATTTACCACTGAATTTTATGTTTTTTAGTAAAACAACGTTCAACTTTAAGTCTCTCCCCATGTTCATGGGAATTTAGTTTGCAGTATTAGTCAAGTGTTTTGTATAGTAAAGACTATGTATTACGGGTTTCTTCATATAAAATGCACCCTGAATAACTATAAATTCACCAGTCAATACAAAAAGGCAATAACTATTGAAGAATATTTATTAAAACTCTGAATCTCCCCAATACTCTTTATTTTCATGTTTCTCTTTTTTATAAAGTGTTCATGAAATTAAGTAACTCCCATAATCTGGATCCCCTACTTCAGATTTATCTTGAGTTATATGACAGCTAGAGCATGTACTAAGGTGTACATAATATTCCTATTTGAGAATGTCAAGTACACGCAGAGATCTTGTTCATAATTCTAACCTTAAAATTTTGTGTCAAGCCAAAGTTAAGCCCAGGATACCCCCCATCCAAGGCAAATGTTCTGTTGCTGAGTTACATCCTAGCCCTTTATTTTTTTTTTAATAGGGGCTATACCCAATGGTGCTCAGATGCTGGGGGGTGGGGCAAAACTCAGGGTCAGCACAGTGCTGGGCCTCCCACGGGACTCCAGCCCTCTGAGCTGTCTCCCCTGCTCTCACCATATTTCTTAGTTCTCTAAATAGAACTTTGGTAGACTGCAGTAGGAAAACGAGAACTTGAAATTGCACTTCTCAAATCATGAAGTATAACTGTTTATCTTCTGTACATGTAGGACTCTTACAAGTATTAATATTGAATTTTTATTATATATAAGTGCATAAATGACATAAAAACAATAGCCCAAATATGGGAGCATTTATAAAATTTATAAAAATATTTTTTCAGTAGAAAATGGCAGCCTATTGAGTTTGAGCTAAATAAAGGGACAGTTTTAGTCCACTTAAGAAGGTGTAGGAAAATTTCATGTCCGTATTTGGGGAAAGGTCAAAGAAGTCGACCTGTCGCGGCATGAACAACTTCATTCATTATGCCCATACATACAGCAGCAGTGTTGAGAGAGTTGGAAAGCCCGTCTGTGCAATGAAGGCTCGAATTATTCTTCAGAGTCAGAGATGCCAGTTTATTTTGCGGGACACAATGGTTTGAAACCTTTCATAAACATCCCTTACTCCTTTGGAACTTTCCTTTGAGGTAGAGAATTGCACCAGGCTAATACTGGGAAGGCAGGACAAAGAATGGTGAAGCCAGAATCGCTCTGGAGAGATGAAGGGAGAACGGGATGCCCGAAGCGCCGTCTTTGCTGTCTGCCAGCTCCACACGCACATCAGACCTCTCGGGATCCATTCATTCCACTTTAGGATCAGCTGGATCCTCCTCCTTGGATCCTGTGCAACTGCAAAGTTAATTTTTTTTAAACATCTTGACACTGACATGCCTGACTTAAACATCAGTATCATCCAATACAGTTTCTTACAAGTATCATACACAGTGGAAATAGACACAGGGGAAGTCAGATTCATATAAAGATTCTACACAGTGGGAATTTTTATGGATGATATTTCATACAAATACTATACACAGTGGAAATGCCAAGTGTAAAATAAAATTTCCTTTTAATACGTTTTAAATTCTAACTTTCCTCATGCTTTCTCATTCTGTTCTCTCTTAAGGTGCATTTTCAGTGACAGGTCATGACTGCTATTACCTTGGTCCTTGATGAAGGAAAACATTAGGCGAATGGGTGGTTTTTACGCTACAAGTGTCTCCACTGGATGAGTGTCGGGAAGCAGCTTTTCCACCCAGAAGGGATGTTTCTGCTTCTTTGATTTCCATTGCCCTTTTGTAGAGTTCAGCGGCCTTTTCAAAATCCCCTTCTTCATAACTTTGAAAGAAAAATTCTTAAAATGAAACTGTAACCTCATAATTTTAAATAATGTTAGGCTATACAGAAAAACAAGTTGTGTTTGCCCCGCAGACCCGTGCAGGAGAATATCCAACTGTTCTCTTTCTGTACCACAGGGGAATATGCGCGGGTCTTACACCATTAAGACCGTGTTGAAATGGATACAGGGAACTTAAAAGGAAGTCATTTTCTGCATCCTGAATGGTTTCTATTCTAGGTAAGAGTTTAGTATCACTTGAAGTAAACAAAGCCAAGAAACCAAAAATTCCCTTGCTTACCTACGAAAACATAGGAATAAATATGCCTAATTGAGTTCTACAATGAATTCAGCTAAAGCTGTTCTAAAAGGGAGCCTGGTTGCATGAGCAAAGTGGAATCATTCTTACCTAAGTACAGCTAAGTTTTTTAATGTTTCTCCAACGCGAGGATGCATTCGACCCAGGCTGTCTTCGTAAATCTTCAATGCTCGTTCATACAATGGCAAGGCTTCCATATGTTTTTTCTGATAAAATAAAAAGAAACTGCACACTTGGACAGACAGGGTTTCTAAAGTTAGTTATGTATTCTAGATCAACCAGCCTATTTAGAAAGCACTTTTGTGGGGCTGGAACTATATAGTACAATGGGTAGGATGCTTGCCTTGCATGCCGCTGACCCAGGTTTGATGTATGGCACCCCATATGGTCTCCAGAGCCCTGCCAGTAGTGATCCCTGGGCAGAGTCAGGAGTAAGCTCTGAGCACTGCTGAGTGTGACCCAGAAGCAAACAAAAAAACTTTGAAAATATTCTTGTCCTCTCAAAGGGTGGCTGCACTGATTCATGTTTGAATAGTCATAGCCAGAGTATCAGTGTAGCAGAACATCAGAAATGGGGACTAGAGAGAGAGCACAAGGGGCGCAGTGCTTGCCTTGCATGTGGCCAGCTTGGGTTTGACCCCCGGCATCCCATATGGTGCCCTGAGCACCACCAGGAATAATTCCTGAGTGCAGAGCAGGAGTAACCCTTGAGCACTGCTGGTCGATTTCCCAAAAAAAGTCAGAGTCATAAGGCTTGGGCCTGGCCTGAGTCCTTGAGTACAAGCACAGACCTGTTTCTTTACCGCCCAGTGAGGCCCACGTCTATTTCTCCCAAGCATAGGCAGACAGTTTAAAGGCAGCACAGGAGGAAGCTGGTTGAGGGTAAGGGACAGGAGAAAGAACCTGGATTTGAAATATTTCACTTAAGAACTGGTACTTCACTGTGCAAGGAAGGGGCCAACTTACAAGTGTAAGATCGATAACTTCTGAAGCACAAAGGAAGTGTTGGAAATTTCTGGTCTATATCTAACTCCTGCTTATGTGGGTTTCATACCTGAAAGCCATTCTTGCAATCAAGAGCAGAAACGGAGGAACCTACCATTTGGCTGTAGACAACAGCCAAGTTCACCAAGGCTGTAGCTACACTGGGGTGCTTGGGGCCAAAGGACTTCTGCCGAATTTCCACCGCCAGCTCATACAAAGGTACAGCTTTGTCCAGTTTCCCCTAAAGTACAGAAGGGAAATATAATAACTTTTAAAGCGAAAAACAGTCTTGTTACAGTCATTTCACAAATACAGTTTTGCACTAGAAAGTAAAGGGATTGGGGGCAGCAGGACTCTCAAGCTTGTGTCCAGGGACTGGGGGCCACTCCTAGTGATCCCAAGGGTCAGCAGTCAGTGCTCGGGCCATCCTGGTGATACTCGGGATCCCATAATGATGCTAGAAATCAAACCTGAGACATGTGCTGTTTGTATCCTAACTGTATTACCCCCCCCCCAGCCCCCCTAAAGCATAATTCTTTTTGTTTGGCGGCCACTCCCAGCAATCCTCAGGGCTTACTCCTGGCTCCGCGGACTATATGGGATGCCAGGGATCGAACCCTGTTCCGCCGCATGCAAGGCAAGAGCTCCACCCACTGTACTGTCTCTCCAGCCCTAAAAAAGTAAATTTTGAGGAAAAAAATGGAGAAGCATTTCCTCCCAGCTTCCTGATTCGGTTCAGAGACCATGAAACACATGCAGCGTTGGGGAAACTCACCGTTTTCTTATACAAAATGGCAAGGTGCTTCGCGGTGTAGGCCAAGGAAGGGTGATCGGGGGCTAAGGCTCGCCTCCGGATGTCTAAGGCTCTTTCGTACAGCTCCTCCGCCTTGTCGTGCTGCTGCTTTTCGTTGCAGAGGGCCGCGAGGTTGTTCAGAGACTGCGCACAGTCTGGGTGATCTGGGCCCAGAACCCGCTCTCTCATCTCTAAGGAACGCTTCAGAAACTGCTCAGCTGTTCTAGGAACAAAACACCCAAACAAAAAAAGTCCAATGGGCCATTTGTTTTCTAGAAGTCGGAACCCCACCCTCTGTAGGTAGAGAACTGAAGGTTTTATCGCTGGGGTTCAAACCCCGGGCCTCACACACATGCGGCATACGTTCCACCATGAAGCCACGGCTCTGGTCTGGCTGGTGCGTTTTTATTCTTAAATCCAAGACAGTGAAGACAAAAATTTCAGCTCGATAGCCTCTTCCCTTCTTTCCTGCCCCTCATCCCTTTCGTCTCTTTTCCAAATAGGAAAAGCTTCCCAAAGTTTGAGGACCTAAAGTATTTGGATAATTGTCTCAGTTTCTCCTAAAAGAAAGACTCAAACTTTTTCCAGAATATACCTTTATAATGGGCTGGAGTGATAGCACAGTGGGTAGGGCGTTTGCCTTGCACACAGCCCACGCAGCCGACCCGAGTTCAATTCCTCCACCCCTCTCGGAGAGCCTGGCAAGCTACCAAGAGTATCTCGCCTGCACGGCAAAGCCTGGCAAGCTCCCCGTGATGTATTCGATATGCCAAACACAGTAACAACAAGTCTCACGATGGAGACATTACTGGGCCCACTCAAACAAATCGATGAACAGTGGGAGGACAGTGCAGTGCTACCTTTAAAATGATCAGACCTGGGGCTGGAGCAATAGCACAGCAGGTAGGGCGTTTGCCTTGCACGTGGCCAACCCAGGTTCGATTCCCAGCATCCCATATGGTCCCCTGAGCACCGCCAGGGGTAATTCCTGAGCGCAGAGCCAGGAGAAACCCCTGTGCATTGCTGGGTGTGACCCAAAAAAGCAAAAAAAAAAAAAAAAAAGATCAGACCCAACTCCAAAGATTGTGGCATTCAATCTTCTTCCCTTCCGTGTCTCCCCTCCCTGCGCTCCCCACCCCGTATCTGTTTATGGCGCCAGGAATGGAACCCAGGACTTCACACATGCCAAGCAAGTGCTTACCACTGAGCTACACTCTCAATCCCTGAAGTTGTTTTTTTGTTTTTAATTTGAGGGAGTTCTGGGGCCACCCCTGCGGTGCTCAGGAGTGACCCCTAGTGGTGGTGTGAGGACCTGGGAAGTTCAACCAGCATTGGCCCCGCCCAAGGCAGGCCCTTTACTTCCTGTTATTATCTCTCTAGCTCGACTGCAGTTATTTTTTTAATTAAGAAAAAATAAATTAAAAAAATTAAAATTGAGAAATGTGCAAAATCTTTTGCTCCATTTCCCTGATCTCCCCCATTGTAGTTTTCTGACATCCAAGTATATACCAAACATTCCTTTCCCTGAAAGTCTGAGTATTAAAACACCAAACTGGAGAATAAAACTAGGACCCATCTACAGACATGCTTCCTTCTCTTACTCCCCAGTTTCTTCTGGGAGGTCTCACGTACAATAGCACAAACTCAAGTCGGAAGTGATGGGAAACTCCACGAGAGATGAACTTTCAAGTTCCTACAGCAGGAAGAGCCCAGGTCTTAGCCAAAGGATTCCTCTCCTCCCCCCACCCGCCCCGCCCCAGCACCGTTTCCCTTATCGCAATGGCCTCGTGGTGTGGATGTCTCACCACAATGCATCTCCAAGACCGGTGGGCACTGCCCCGGGGGCCCACCCCATACTCACTCCAAGTTATTCTGAAGATAGTAGAGAACACCTAGTTCGTTGAGGGTCCGGGCATTGTCGGGGGTGTCCTTCCCCAGGGTAAGCTCCTCTAGCTGGAGGGCCCGCCGGCGGAGCAGGGCAAAGCCGTACTGTGGCAGAGAGAGCACAGTGGTCAGCCCCAAATTCCGAGAGGACTCGGGCGGCCGGAGTAACGCCCTTTCCTCTCCTGACACCCTTCATGCCATGAGACTCCTCGTACTGAGTTGTCTAGTGGCTGCTGAAAATCCGTTCGCTGCTGCCTGTCCTCAGATTCAGTCAAAACTATTTGGGGAGCAGGGTGATGCCACAGGTTACAAAGTGAATGGGACCCAAATCAGCAGTCAGAGTAAACGGCAGGGATGTGTCTCTCCCACAGCCAAACCTTCAGGCCTCGGAAACTTAAAAGAGCCCAGAGCATTTGCCATGGTAGACGAGGCCCTGGACACCCGATGTGCAGAATAAAGGCAGCCGTTAATACTGAGTTCTTAGGCTGGAGCGACAGTACAGAGAAGAGGGCACTCGCCTTGAACGCAGCGGACCTGGGTGCAATCTCTGGTATCCCATATGGTCCCCCAAGCACCTCCAGGAGTAATTCCTGGTGCAGGGCCAGGAGTAATCCCTGAGCATTGCCAAGTGTGACCAAAACAAAATAAAAAGGAGTTTTCATCCTCTAACTGGTCAGATTAGATCTTAATTGTCTCCATTGGACACACAAAGGTAATTATGCGATAAGATAGAGGAACATCAATCATATCGTTATAAATAAATATACCAAATAATATCAAATTTGCTGTACACCTGACGTGTACAACGTATTTCCATAAAATGCATGTGGTATTAAAGACAAACATGCAATATTTACATATTATCAACAACTTGGAAAAATTAAACAATACTCTCTTGTAATCCAGGAGACAAATGTCTTTGTATCAGGATCTAACAAAATCTAAAGTTTTTCATTCCCTTTTCCAGCCTTATAAAGAACTGCAATAGCTTTAAAGCTCATCTTTTAAACTCAGCCTCCAAATCAACTGTAGTGTTCCACCTGAAGCTATTTTTGCTCCCAGTATTCACTGAGATACAACCGACTTATAATACTGTGTGAGTTTAATGTGACTTGATACATATATAGTTGGCAAAGTGATTATATGTACTTTTTAAGTCTACTGAGTTGTACTCAGTAATGCACTAATGTTAAAGAATATATTAGAAGTAAATAAGAAAATACTCATTCGTAATTTTTCTGAAAGTCACATAAAAATGTAAAGGTCTTAAACACAGGTGATTGATCATCAATATTAAGATATTCAAAGATGCTGTGTCCTCTTTGCTTTAAAACAGAAATCTCATTACCAAGTTGCCTTTTCTCCTGGTGGCTTTCTGACGAATTTTGAAAGATTTTTTCCTAAAATGTTCGGCTTGTTCATATCTTTAAAAAAAAAAAGAAAGAGAGAAAGAAAAACTCAATCCAAGATAAAACACATGTGCTAGCGATCATTACTGAGTAAAACAAAAGCCCCAGTGGTTGTAAAACACGGCACTATTTCTAGAAGGAACAGGTATAAGGAATTGGGGGAAAGGAAATGGCTGCATTTCATAAATCTAATTTCCAAGGTAGTGGACCCCAGAGAGTTGGAGGACAGGGGATGAGTGATGCCCTCAGGACCACGAGGCAGAGATGGTCTCAAGGCAGAGAACGAGCACCCTCCTTACACATCTTCACACAGAGGAGCATCTTGTCATTCTAATTTGTTGCTTACTCCATGAAGTAATCTCCCCACCCCCAACCCCCAATAACATGGACATTCAAGAGAGTGCAGAGTTAGGGCAAGGAGAGCTCAGGGCAAGGCCTGCTGCACCGCCCAGTATCCGGGACAGAGTCCCTTCCTAGAAGCAGGGTGTTCGCCCTTCCCCTCCAATCTTACTTATTTTGCTTCTGGTACAGAGTCGCCAGTGCCTCCAGTTCCCGAGCCGTGAGTGGATGGTCAGCCCCGTAGGCGTTCTCCGAGATCTCCAGCGCCTGTTTATACAGTTGCTCCGCATTCCCGAACTTCTTCCACTGCACGTACACGCTAGCCAGCTGGTGCAGGGACTGCGCTACTCTCGGGTGATCAGGGTCTAGAGCGGTTTCTCGAATCTCCAGGGACCTCTGCAAGGGAACCACGGCCTGGGGGCACAGTAGGAAGAAGGCAAAAAAGCCAGTGAAAGGGTAAATACCCCCGATCTGCCGTGGGTTCATTTCAGGGGTCGGGGACTGGACCCAGGGTCTCACAGAAGACAAGGTTGGGCTGTACCACCGAGCCCCAGTCTGACCCGAATCTCAAGGCCTGGGAGGGGAACTGTGTGACCCAGGACTCCAGAGGACTGGTTGCCCTTACCTGACTGAGCAGGCCCAGGTCCTTGAGGAAGCGCCCCAGGGTTTCATAGAGCCCCGCCAGGCACACCAGGCCCTCTTCGTCTTCGCATTTCTTCTCGTACTGCTTCAGCGAGTCGAAGTATTCTGCGGCCATGGTGCTTTTGTCTCTGCCCACAAACTGCCAGTAGCTCAACAACTCGGCAAAGTGGCCCCTGTGTCAACAGGTGACAGCGAGTGAGACACAAGTGCTACAAGGCGAGAGACAAAGCAAGAATTCACACCATCCCTGGGCCTGAGCCCTAGCACTGGGCTGAGAGCACTTGCCTTGCAGGCATGAGGTCGACCCCAGCATCCCATTTGGTCCCCCGAGCACCACCGACAGTAGTGCAGAGTGTGAGTGCAGAGCCAGGAGTAGCCCCTGAGCATCTCCAGGTGTGACCCAAACACCCCCAGTCTCCTGCCAAAAAAGAATTCTAAGCTGTTCTTTAGCAGGCAGGGGCCACGGGTGAAGGAACTCGCTCTCTCATCCTGAGGCATCCTTCGAGAGAGCTCCCAAGAGCACTCGGCTGGCGAGTTCACCCCCACGTGATTCTCAGCAGCAGTCACTGGGGTGGCAGGAACTGCAGAAGCAGCTGGAGCTGTCTGGAGCTGAGCTGTTTGGGGGCCACACCAGGTAGTGCTCAGGGCTAACTACGCCTGGCTCCGTGCTCAAAGACAGCTCAAGGCCAGGCCCAGGGGGCCTTGTGGGGTGCCGGGGTTTGAACCTGAGGCAAATGCCCTACTCACTGTGCCCTCTCTCCAGGCCCTTGCCTTTGTGTATTCCCCCCCGGGGTGGGGCTGACAGAAATAAGCTTGTTTGTTTTAGATGAGCAAACCTGAGAGCTGGGAAAACCAAGAATGATCCTGAAGTCCGAGGAATCCGCCAGGACAGAGGATCAGAAACGTAAAAGGCCTTTTGCCTCTGGAGCCAAGGCCATGTATGCGGTCCAGAGGCATTTCTGCCAAAAGCCGCTGGGTTTCGAGATTTGTTTCTGAGTCTCTGGGATCATGGCCATTAATCAGCTTGATCAGGAGCCAGAGAGGCCGTTTGTAGGTGGCGACTCGCGGTCTCGCTGGGATGGGGAGGAAAGGGCCAGTTCCACTGACTGAGACTTAAACCTGAAAGCTTAGTAACTTCTCCCACAGTGATTCAATAAATAAATATTTGCTCGAGCGGGCCCAGTAACGTCTCCATTGGAGACTTTGTTGTTACTGTGTCTGGCATATCGAATACTCTCGGTAGCTTGCCGGGCTCTCCGAGAGGGGCGGAGGAATCGAACTCGGGTCGGCCATGTTGGCCGCGTGTAAGGCGAAATATAAGATGAAAAATAAATAAAACTATGAAAAAAAAGTAAGATGGAGTTCATGCCCAATTCAATCAGCTAATCAGTGGCTGAATAAATAGCAGTACTCCTATATTAAAAAAAAGAAACGTAAAAGGTATGAACTCACACGTGTACTTGGGAGCAAAGTTGATGAGGCACTTATTGATGTGGAAAGCAGACTACCTGTCTTTGTTTTTTTCCTGGGAGGGGAGGGGTTACACTTAGCCCAGGGCTTACTCCTGGCTCTGTGCTCAGGGTATCACTACTGGTGGGGTTCAGGGGACCGCCTGCAGAGCCGGGGATCAAACCTGGGTCAGCTGCGCTGTGCAAGCAAGGCAAGCGCCTGCCCTACCCACTGTACTATCTCTCCAGCCCCTATGTTCTTAAGTGAGATAGAAAACCCCTTTCCTGGGGCTGAGGAAGCAAGAAGCCTGGCCCATGGGAAAGTGTTTCTGGCCACGGCAAATTCAAACAGAGCAGAAGAGACTCCGTGCCAGAAAGGCTGGTCCTGCCTGGAAGCTCAGACCTGTGAGTCTGCGCAATCAGGCTTGCAGGCCTGGGAGACGGGGGCACGGAGCAGTGGGCTCTCGCGGGCATCAAAGCCAGTGCCAGACCCAGAGCGAGCTGGAGGTCTCTCTAGGCCTGGCTTCAGGAGCACAGAAGCTATAAGCTTTTTCCTTTCCTTTTGGGAGGCGGTGGGCTGGGGGAAGTAGATGTCCTGGCAATTTGCACATGGTCTTAAAAACCTTCTTCCAGACCCCACCAGGCTGGAGTTCTGCTCATTGGCAGGAGGTCTGGGCTCAGTCCTCTGCACCAAGCACTGCCTGAGGCCCCCTTGGAGCCTGGGCTCCACACGGCCATCCGGAACACGGCCGCCAGCACCTCTGAGCATGAGCAGATGATGTGTGTCACGGGGTCCAAGCTCCAGACTTCAGGCCCACATGGGCTGGAATTGGCCTGGGCCCCCCAACACTGCTTGGGAGGTCTCCCTACCAAAAAGGGTCATTTTTTCCACAGTCGAATAGCCACTTCTTCCAAGAGGATATGCAGATAGCCAAAAGGCATGCAAGGAAATAAACTCTTCAATGCAAGTCAAAATGATTAACAGAACTCATAGCTGTGAACGTGGCCTAAATTAAAAGGCCAGAAGCAATGCTGGTGGGATGTGGAGAAAAAAGGAACCTTCAGATACTGGGGGACAGAGGCGTGTGTGTAAACTGATCTGGCTGCTATGGGAAGCTACATTTCTTCTTTTGTTTTGTTTTATTATTTGGTTGGTTTTTTTTTTTTTTTGAGCATCACACCCAAAACAGTGATGCTCAAGGGTTACTCCTGGCTCTGCCCTCAGGAATCACTCCTGATGGTGCTTGGGGGAGCACATGGGATGCCGGGATCGCCTGGTCGGTAATGTGGAAGGCAAACACCCCACTGTGCTATTTCTCTGGTCCTGAAAGCTGCATTTCTTAAAATCCTAGGGATGGATCTAACGTTTGACCTAGCAATTCCACTGCTAAGCATCTATCCCTAGAACACAAAAGCAATAACCCCCAAGAACACATACACACTGTGTTCACTGCAGCGCTGTTTGCAATAGCCGCCATCTGGAAAGAACACAAGTGCCCAATGACATGAGCAGCCATAGAAGCTTTGGTTTCTGTATGCGACAAAATAACCCTAGGTAGAAAAATTGGCACCAGCCTGTGGGTTCTACAGCAGCCATTCTCAGAGCAGCAGGAAGAGTCTGTGGGGTAAACCACTGGTGGGAACTGCATTTCTAACAGAAGGGGTGGCTCCCAAGAGGCCAGAAGCTGGAACTGGAATCATTAAGGTAAGAATAACACTTGCAACTGTTACATCAGCATTTCCACCATATCCTATTCATCAAGGAGGCCAAAGGGGCCACCCAAGCAAAAGCTGGGGTGACATAACACTGCACAAGGGTGAGCTGGAAGATACTGATACAGGCACTGGAAAATATAATCTGCTATATTATTTACTGACTTTGGGGGAAACTGTGAATTGTCAACCCATGGCTTAACCCACCTTTTCCTACTGATTTACAGTGCATCTAAAATCATCTGCACTTCAATTTTCTTAGGTAAGATATATTAGGAGTTTCATTCACAATTAACTTTTTTTTCCCTTGGGGGTGTTTGAGGCCACGTGGCTTACTCATGGCTTTGTTCTCAGGGCCATTCCTGAAGTGTGTTCAAGAGACCATATGCAGTGCTGGGGTAAACAACAGCCCAGACCTGTTCTCAATTCAGTTTCTTACCTTTTATAAAGGTTCTGAGACACAAAGAGATTGAGGAGGCAATCGTGCAGCTTCTGTTTACTCCCCTGCTGCTGGAAGAGCCAGGGGAGCTCGTCAGCGCTCCTCCAAGTCACACGGTCCTGACTGAGAGAGGAGGGACACGCATCACACCTGCCTGCCACACGGCCCCCTCATAGGCCCCAGACACCATGAGACCCACCAGTCATAGTCTCTGACAGGCCCCAGACACCATGAGACACACATGCCAGGGTCTCTCACAAACCCCAGACACCATGAGAGCCAACAGCCACAGTCTCTCACAGGCCTCAGTCACCATGAGACCCACCAGTCACAGTTTCTCACAGTCCTCAGACACCATGAGACCCATCAGCCACAGTCCCTCACAGGCTTCAAACACATGAGATCCACCAGCCACAATCTTTCACAGGTATCAGCTACCATGAGAATTAACAACCACAGTCTCTCACAGGCCCCAGACATCATAAGACCCACAGCCACGTGTTCTCTCACAGGCCTCAACACTCAGACCCACTACATGGTCTCTGATAAGTCTCAGACACAACCTGTCCAGACTCAGAGAGGAGGGACCTGTCATCAGACCCTGGGGCCTGACTAAAGGAGGGCCCCCACAGTGACAGTGGGTCCTTGACTCTAAGCAGCACTTAACTCTGAGAAAACGAGGTCCAGCCCAGAAACAGGACTGAACTGTGAAAATACAGGGCGTGAGATTCAGAACCACGCCAAACCCTAAAATCTCATTGTTCAAAACCTCAGAGCACGCAAATCCATACCCTTGGGGCTACACAGATTCATACAGAACCTTTAACGATTCCACAAGAATAAAATAAAAAATGAGAGTTGGTTTTGCATTGATTGTACTTACATGCAAATATTTGTGTCATATTAAAAAGCTTATTTGCATAATCACTTTTTACACTCTGGACATTAACAGAATAGCACTGAATCCTCTGGTAACAATTCTTCAAATTCTTTTGTTTTTGGTTTAGGGGCCCCAGCCAGCAGTGCTCAGAGGTTACTCCTTGCTCAGAGCTCAGCGGTCACTCCTGGTGATTCTCAGGACATCACGCAGTGGGGATTGTACCCATGCCTCCTGCCTGCAAAGCATGGGCTCCATCTACCAAAGTCTCCTGGGTTGTTATTATTTTTAATTTTTTCAGTCTCACCCAAAAGTGTTTAGGAGCTATTCTGTAATCAGGAGTCACTTCCAGCAGTGCTCAACAGCCATGTGGTTCTGGGGAACAGACCCAGGTGTCCTATATGCAAAGAATGTGTTGAAGGCCATTGTGTTATCCCTCGGGGTCCTGTTTCATTTTTGGTTTGGGGGCTACACCCAGTGATGTTCAGGAGTTACTCCAAGCTTCTGCCTCAGGAATCACTCTGGGTGACCTCAGGGAGTATATGGGGTGCCAAGGATCAGAGCTGGATTGGCCCTAGCCTTGTGCAAGGCCAACGCCCTACCTCCTGTACTATCTCTCCAGCCCCTGCTTCCTGTTTCTGTTTTTCCATTATTGGGGGTGTGTGTGTGGGGGGTGTAGCTCACCAGGGGGTGCTTAGGGACTACTCCATGCCTGACTGATGCATTGGGCAGAACTCGGACTGGAGGGTCAAACTGGGGCCTTCTCTATGCCAAGCATATGCTCCAGTCCAGTGGGCCTAATGCTCTGGCCCACTAACTGAGTCTATTATACATGAACTGGTAAGGCAGGAAGCGCTGACGATGGTGCAGAGCACAGTGTGGGAGCACATTGAACTCGCTACCTGAGCTGCGAGGTGAAGTAGTCGATGAGCTTCTGCCTGTAGGAGGAGGTGAGCGGGCCGCCTTCCAGGTACTCCAGCCTCACTGTCTCCCAAGCCTGGGGAAAGATGACACACAGGTCTGTAAGTCTATAAGGAACAAAGGGCTCTAACATAGGCAGTCCCCATCACTTCCGTTTGCTAGCTGTGAAATAGAAACTGCATTCAAATATTCCGATGTTCAGGTCTGTGGCAAACTGGCACCAAGTTAAAAATGCCTCTCTGTAGGCAGGAGTACAGTGGGGAGGGTCCTTGACTTGCCACACAGTGGACCTGGGTTCGATCCCTGGCACCATGTCACTGTCACTGTCACTGTCCTCCCGCTGGTCATTGATTTGCTCAAGCGGGCCCAGTAACGTCTCCATATGAGACTTGTTACTGTGTTGGGCTTATTGACTACTTCACAGGTAGCTTGCCAGGCTTTGCTATGTGGTAGCTAACTCTTGGTATCTTGGTACTCTTTGGTAGCTTGATACTCTTGGTAGCTTGCCGGGCTCTCCAAGAGGGGCGGAGGAATCAAACTCAGGTCAGCCATGTCGGCCACATGCATGGTCTCCCAAATCCCTCGGGGAGTGATCCCCAGGAGAGAACCCCGAGCACCACTAGGTATGCCACCCAAAAAAACCAAAATCAGTAAATAAAAGCCTACATTAATATATATTTGTGTGTTTGTGTGGATTACATCCGGAGGAGCTCAGGGGACCTTGAAGCCAAAGCCTGCCGCCCAGTCCCCAGGCTCTCCCAGGCCCACTCTCCTTAATGTTTCAAGAATGCAAAATACCGTGTGATTCTAACTTTCAGTTAATACATGTTGAGAATCTCAGAAACACAGACCAAGGAGCCAGAGTGATAGTTCAGCGGGTAGAGCGTTTGCCTTGCTCACGGCCCACCGGGTTCGATCCCTGGCATCCCGGATGGTCCCCCACGCACTGCCAGGAGTGATTCCCGAGTGCAGAGCCAGGAGCAAATTCTGAGAATTGCCAGGTGTGCCCTACCCCTAACCCCCCCCCCAAAAAAAATAAAAGAACAAGAAAAAATATATAGAGACTGAAAAAGTAGCCAAGGGGACTAGGACTTCAGGAACTTTTTTTTAAATAGATTATGAACTTTATTTTCAATTGACAGACCCCAGAGCCTTGTCCAGACAGGTCAGCAAGATTCAGAGAGGCAGATTCTTGCCTTCAAAATAAATATCTCAACTGAAACCCCATTAAACAGGGCTCCCAGGGGGTCTGGGAAGGGTGGTATGCAGATGCCATCAACAATGTCCAGAGTAAAGGGAAGGCAAAGGACTAGATGCCTGAAGAACACCAGAACCAAAGGCTAAATCCTAACTCTTGGCTAGAGTCTTGGGAAATTGCCAAAGGGGGGGCAGAATTGGGCTCAGCCGGGGGGCTCTCACTTTCTATGTGGTGATGCCCTAGGTTCCGTTCCAGCATTGCAAATAGTAATCCTCCTCCTCCTCCTCCCCACCTCCCCCCTCCTCCTCTTCCTTCTTTTCCTCGTCATCCTCCTCCTACTCCTCCTCCTCCTCCTCTTCCTCATCATCATCATCATCATCTCATCTTAGACTGGAATGCAATGCTGCAAATAACTGCTAGATATGAGCTCCCTGCAGAACTAATCTAGTAAGCCTTTGTTGAGATGCTTGTATATACCTCTAAAAATGACAGTCATCAGTAAGTCTTAGACCAGAACTTCAGGAACTTCAAGAAAAGAGAATGGGCTGTAACAATTCACAAATATAGCAGATCCTCTTGCACTTTGCATATATACATCAGTCGACCTTGGCATTGAGGGTGGAGAGAATATCAGTTCACACTCTGAAACAGTGATTGCCTCGTGCCTGACCTCACAAGGACCGAGGCCTTCAGTGGAGTCTGTCCAGCTGTGAGCAGGTGGAAAGAGCTTCCGTAGCTTTAGAACGTGTCCAGAGTTTCAGGACTGACTGAGCCCGAGTGCTTAACATGTATACTGTTAGGAAAGCCACTCGCTGAAACCCAGAGTTGATTCTAACGTAAGTTTGAGGGGCCAGAGCCATAGTGCAGCAGGTAGGGCATTTGCCTTGCACATGGCTGACCTGGGTTCGATCCCCAGCACCCCATATGGTCCCCTGAGCCTGCCAGGAGTGATCCCTGAGTAGCCAGGAGTCAACCCTGAGTATCACCAGCAGTGGTACAAATCCAAATCAATCAGATCTAATAATAAGGTATAGAGTAGCATGCAGGGGTACACTGAGGTCTGCCAGTGGATGGTTGGTTTAAAACACTTAGAATGGCACTCACCTGTAGGTGCTGGAACTTGAGCAGACCACAACCATACGTCAGCAAACCCATGGTGTGTAAACTGTGCACAAGGGAGGTCAGGACGGCCCAGGACATCTCGGGGTAGAGGTCCATCAGCTCAGACTCGCTCACGCCATTGTGACTGACGGTTACCAGGCAGAGAATCTAGGCGGGAACCACAATGCCAATCAGGGGGCACTTCTGTATGCAGACTCACCGCCATCAACATGTACTTATTCTTTAAAGCAGGTCAAGTCTCTCACACTTGTCAATCAAGTGATCGAGCAGGCCAGGATAAGGCATTAAGCAGGCCAGAGAGAGGGCCAATGGGCTAAGATGTGCTTTGCATGCGGGAGGCCTACGTTTGGTCGCTGGTACTGGGTTCTTGGGACCATGACCAGGAGCAACCACATCAAACAGAGCCTGAGTAGGCCCTGAAACCCACCAACGATGGCCCCAAAATATACAAAACCCCAAATCCCAAAAGACATGATCAAGAGAGCTCCTTCAGGAGTTCCCTAAGCCAGGGGTAAGCCCTAACCAATGCCCAGTTGTAGCACTCCAAACCTAAAAGAACACATAAGAAACAATGACATAAACCACAAAACAAAGTCCTTGATAACTCAGACTTTATCAAAATCAGTGTTTGCAAGGAGGACAATACCATAAGCTAAATAATAAACAGGAAAAGACTTTTATTTGCAAACTACAACAAAGAGCGATAGCACAGCGGTAGGGCATTTGCCTTGCACGCAGCCAACATGGCCGACCCAAGTTCGATTCCTCCGCCCCTCTCGGAGAGCCCGGCAAGCTACCGAGAGTATCTAGCCCACACGGCAGAGCCTGGCAAGCTCCCCGTGACGTATTCGATATGCCAAACACAGTAACAACAAAGTCTCCAATGGAGACGTTACTGGGCCCGCTCGAGCAAATAGATGAACAACGGGAGGGCCTTTACCTTTACCTTTACCTTTACAACAAAGAATTTGTATTCAGTATACAGAACATTTAATAGCTCCTAAAGATCATTAAGAAAAAAGAAAACTCAGTTACAAAATGGGCCAAGGAACCACAGAGATAGCATGGGGGTCAAGGCACTTGCTGGAGCCCCACCAGGAGTGATCCCTGAGTGCAGAGCCAGAAGTAAGCCCTGAGCACTGCCTGGTATAGTCCAACAATAAACACGAAATAAAACAACCCCTCCCCAAAAACGAGTAAAGTACTTGAACTATTAAGTCACAGAAGAGAAAATGAAATCACCATCAGCATGAAAAAGATAGAAAGTCTCAAAGAACATCAGGAAAATCTTTTCTAAGGTCTTTTCCTGGTCAGATTTACACAGATATTCTAGTTTGCTTAAAACATACCAACTTACACAATTAAAAACTGCAGTTTCACAGACACACACACACATTCTTACACATACTCATACCTATTCACACACAGGCACATTCACCATACACACACATTCATACAATACTAATATATACACACCCTCACATACACACACCATACACACACATACACATACTAAAACATACCTACAGTCACACTCACCATATACATACACTCATACACACTCATACACACCCAAACTCATAGACATATTCATAAATATATACACTCACACACTCATACTCACATATTCATAAACTCACTCACACACATTTACACACACAAATGCACATTCTCTCTCTCTCTCTCTCTCTCTCACACACACACACACAATGTCGCTGTGGTCAAGCATCCCTCACCTGTTTCATGAGTTCTTTGTCCATCTCATTCCCCATGGAGTCCTGGATGGACCGGAGGACCAGTCTATACAGGGAAACTGTGTCTTGACACTGGAAACACTGATGGAGGATTTTATCCAAGTTCCCAGCTCGCCCCGCACTGTGGGAGTCAGAAGAGATGCCACTTCTTACCCACTGCCAACACTCGCGAGAAGCAATGTGGGTCTGAGGTTCTGGTGACATTTTTGGACAACAACAGGACTTTAAGAAGAAAAATCCAGAGTGCCGGAGAAATAGTACAAAGGGTAAGGAGATTGCTTTACATCCCAACAACCCTTGATTCTAAACCCCAGTACCATATGCGGCTCCCCTGAACACCACCAGGGGTCACCCCTGAGCACAGAGCCACGGATAGCCCCTGAGCAGTGCCGCATGCGCTCCCAACATCAAAACTGACCAACAAAACAAACAGAACCCCAACATATTCAGGAAATGAGGGATGCCAGCATCACCAGGCTCATCGGAGTAGACCAGAGAATCCAACTCAAGACATGTATGCCGAAGCCCACTGAGTACCCCTCAATGAGCATAAAGACTCTCATTGCCCAGGGCATGCCCCTACATACAGGAAGCAGGAAAGGAATCATGGACACGTCTTCTTAGTGAGCTAGCCAGGAGATCAAACATTAGAGCCAGAACGTGGGAAACACCAGACAAAGGAGGATCAGTACACCACTGGCTAATTTTTATGTGAAGAAAAGGGGGAAGGGGGAGCCCTCACAATCCCGAGCTCCTCCATCAGTTAATGTCAGTAAATTTTCTGAAATGCACAGAAGGCCATGTGCTCTGTAACTGGATGGGCCTCCTGGGGTTCCGGGGTGCCAGGGGGTATGGCCACTATCTCCAAGGACAGTAGAAAAGATTGTGGACACATCACAGGCAACTCTTCGGCGTCCAATTGGGTGCGGGGAAGGGCAGCGGGATTAGGAGCCAACGGGTCTCGTCCTGGCATTTGGAATGGGAGCTGCGCAGGGTCACTGTCCGCCCTAGTGAGCCCCCAGAGTGGACCCATCTCTTTCCCCTCTGCAGTGAGTGGACAGAGGAAGTGAGGCTGGACATAGTCAGAGTCAGGAAAGCTCCTAATGCTCATCTCTCTCAAGGCCAACGACTGACCAGCTGCTACTGAGCTAGACTGAGGCATATGTTCAAACATAAAGTCACATCCCCAGTTCTAGAAAAATCCATCTTCTTGATGTATTTCTTTTTGACATATTCATGTCAGGAAGGGAGGGAGAAGGAAGAGAAAGGAAGGGAAGGGAAGAGAAGGGAAGGGGAGGGGAGGGGAGGGGAGGGGAGGAAGGGGAGGGGAGGGGAGGGGAGAAAGCAGGCTTGAGCAGGGTTTAAGAGGTCACAGAGGATCTCCACCCACCCGCCTCCCTGTGCTGCCCTGCCAGGGCCCTGGGCAGACGTGTCTGTGCTCAGTGAGTCCTGGTTTGGCCAACAAACACTTCAGGGCACACGGAGGTTTGGGTCCCAGCTCCGTAGGGGACAGGTTAAAGCCACAGGCTGGAACCGAGAGTCAGGCCTGCACACGCTGCCCTCACTCAGCCCCACCCATGGCTGTCCGGGTCAGGCTGCGGGACTTACCGGGCCACCACTCTGCCCAGCAGGGTGACGTACAGGGCGTTGCGGGCCGTGGCGGAGCGACAGTGCCGCTCCAGCTGCTTCTCCTGCGCAGGGTTCCCGGAAATGAAACAGAGACATTCACCAGTCCGGAAGTGGGAGGGACGCGGGGGCCCTGGCCCAGGGATCCCTGAGCACAGAGCCGGCAGTAAGCCCTAAGCACTGCCATCACCCAACACTCCTCACCCCCCACGGTTCCCTCTGGCCCCAGCATTGGGGGAAAAAAAAAGAGCAAGACACAGCAAGGCAAACCTAAAAGGTCAAGAGCCTTTGTACTGTTGCTTCTATATTTGTTACTAGTGTAAGAGCAAATGCTTTTATTATTTTTATTATTATCTATTTTTTTTGTTTGGGCACTGCCACATTCCGCAGTGCTCAAGGGTTACTCCTGGCTCTGAGCTCAGAAATGACTCCCAGCCATCCTCAAGGGACCAAAAGGGAATCTGGGAGTTGAACCCAGGTTGGCCTCATGCAAGGTAAATGCCCTACCCAATGTACATCACTCTGGCCCCCAGAGCAAATGGTTTTTAAAAAGTAGTTACAGGGGTTGGAGCAATAGCACAGTGGGTAGGGCGTTTGCCTTGCATGCGGCCGACCCAGGTTCGATTCCCAGCATCCCATATGGTCCCCTGAGCACTGCCAGCAGTAATTCCTTAGTGCAGAGCCAGGAGTGACCCCTGTGCATTGCCACGTGTGACCCAAAAAGCCAAAAAAAAAATAGTTATGAAACCCTCGAGGTCCTCCAAACCACAGGGACTGGCCCACACTGAATTTTCTATAAAGACTGTAAGGGACACCCCTGGAGGTATTGGGGCAGACAGCACGGGGGTCAGAGCCAGGGCCCTCCACCCACTCTCCACAGGGCTCTCCACACACAGTGAATTTTAAGATTTGTAAGGTGTTTTAAAGGAAGGTTGATATGAAGTAAAAGAGAGCAGCAAAGTTTTAAAAATTTACCTGCTCTGTGTTCAACCTGATGTCCGAGGCATGGCATTCTGCAATGATGAGAGCTTTGGCATCGCTGGGATTTAAAGGATCAAGATGAAGCGTTGGCCACAACCTTTCATTAGAAACGAAAGGAAAATGAAATTCTCTCGTGATGATTTTTTTTTAAGCTGTGACTTACACATTTATCCCGAAAACATAGTAGGAATGACTCTTTTTATATCATCTTTCTAAAATAGCAAAAATAACTCTCTGTTAATCATCGTAATAATAACATTTCATTTATTCTCAAAGGTATGTCATTACTTTCGGTCACTGAAAAAAGTGAAGAAGATTGTTGGTAAATAGCCAAGAGTTGACACAAAGCGGAAAACCATTTAAAAGTCCATGTTCTCAGTAATGCTAGACATAGATATGGAGAGTTAGTAAAAAAATAAAAAATAGTACAAGACATAGTTTGCTCACAAGTAAATCAGAAAAGAGAACTATCCACCCTCCAACCTAGATCTCAGAGAGAACAGGGAGGAACTGCCCTGGGCGGGGGGACAGGGTGAGGGGTGCCCACAAAAACAAAACTTACTCTCCTTAGGAATAAATCACAGATACAAATAAAGCACACACATGTTTATCTACATAAACTGTCTAACAACACATGAATGGCAGGAAACTCTCTTGGAAGAAGGGCTGGAGCATTGGCTCATATATGAGAACCTGGGTTCAATCCCTGTAGCACTGTCCTCCCGTTGTTCATCGATTTGCTCAAGCAGGCACCAGTAACGTCCCATTATGAGACTTGTTGTTACTGTTTTTGGCATATCAAATATGCCACGGGGAGCTTGCCAGGCTCTGCTGTGTGGGCGGGATACTCTTGGTAACTTGCCGGGCTCTCAGAGAGGGATGGAGGAATCAAACCCGGGTCAGCCACGTGCAAGGCAAAGTGCCTACCCTCTGTGCCATCACTCCAGCCTGGGTTCGATCCCTAGCACTGAAAAATAAATTCTTGGGCTGGAGAGGCAACAAAGCAGGTTAGGCACTAGCCCTGCACGCAGCTAACTGGGGTTCAATCACCAGTTCAACATAGGGCCCACCAAAGCACCACTCCAGGAGTGATCCCTGAGTGCAGAGCCAGAAGTAACTCCTGAGCACTGTCGGGTGTGGCCCCAAGACAAAGAAGCCAGAGAAATTCTCGTAGGGAGGGAGGTGAGTAGGAGTAAAATATGGAAAAAGGCTCCTGAAGGGAATATCAGAGCGCTGGAGGGGGTGGGAGAGGGAGGGGTGAGGGGGGAAGGCATCAGAATTCAGGGGGATGGGTTAAAGTCCATTTCCGGTTCAGGACAATAGCTGTCAGTGGCCCTGGTCCAGTCCTCCCCCGATGCCCTCACTCCACATCACTGTGTTGGAGCCAACTCAAGCCTCACATATCCGACCACGGGCTCCCCACCTTTCCTCCACACACCCGCACAGCCGCCTCCTTCAGGGGACCCCGCATAAATTATCTTCCTTCGAGAGGCAGACACTTGGGCGTCCCCCTCGCCTCTTCCTCCCTCACATCCTCACGTCCTCCCTCCCCTTCCCACTCCTGGGATCTCGCTGAGTCTCTTTCGTGAATCCACCCGCGTCTCCCCCACGTCTACAAACGCGCCTCAGAGACCCTTGCTGGTAGGGGGGGGGGGGGACAGTCGGCATCAGCTGAGAGCACCCGTCCTCACCTCCATGCTGGAGGGCATGTTTGCACATTCACAGAGACAATTACTCTGACATTCACTGGCAGTGGGTCTATCAGCCATGTCATGTGCTTTTCAACTTGCTTAAAAATATAAAAACAAGATTCAGTCTATTAATTTCAAGGTATTTCAAGGCAACCCAATAATCGCTCCCCGAAGAAAATTCGACTCTCTGTCTCTCATGCACGGTGTGGATGAGCTCTTAGCTGACGATGAATTCTTTCATGGCATCCAAAGGACAATGGCGAAATACAATGGATCTGAATTCTGAGTATTAGAGAAATATCTATACCCTAAACATATGTCAGAAAGAATTGATCCTTGATCATTTTTTTTTCTTTTTGGGTCACAACTGGCGGTGCACAGGGTTACTCCTGGCTCTGCACTCAGGAACTACCCCTGGTGGTGCTCTGGGAATTGAACCCGGGTTGGCCGCATGTAAGGCAAACACCCTCCCCGCTGTGTTATCGCTCCAGCCCCCCTTGATCATTTTTAAATTCAATTGTTTTTTTCCAATAAGATACACATGTCAGCCAGTATGCAGTGTATAGTGTGTGTGTATATATATATATATACTATATATAATATATATATGAAGGAAGGAGAAAATATATATATATATATAATTTCTTTTTTAAAAAATCCATACTTTTTTCCTAGATACTAAGCAGATGTGAACGAAACAGCATCAACATTTTCATCTCCATTGGGGGATTTCAGTGCCTGCCGATGCCTTTGTCTCTTTCTGGGGGTGCTGGCGGGTTCCGAGGGGGAAACAGTACCTGGACTTGATCTATAGAATCAATAATGATGATGACGCTGCCTTGATGGCGGGCAGAGAGTTTTTCCAGCCAACGTGGAAACTCTTCCAGAAGCTTCCCAGGATCCAGCGTCACAGCAGATGCTGACCAAGAGTGCTGCATCAGCTGCGAGACAGGGACATGGACACACTCAGGGGCAGGTGGGCGGGGGGAGGCGGGACAGGGCACTGTGCTTCCAAACCAAGACGGTCCCCCGCAAGGGGCCCAGCACTGGCCAGCATCACTTTTATTTACTATTTTTTGGGGGGTCACACCCAGCGACGCTCAGGGGTTCCTCCTGGCTCTGCCTTCAGGAAATCATTCTTGACGGTGCTCTTGGAACCAAATGGGATGCCAGGGATCGAACTTGGGTCGGCTGAGTGCAAAGGCAAATGCCCTCCCCTCTGTCCTATTGAGTCGGCCCCTAGTTTTAATCCACAAAATCATACCAGATGGGCAACCCTAAGAACTAGTTTGTCATTCAGATTCGGTCCCGACAACTCCTGAATCTAGACCAAAGTTCTGGTCCCGTACCTTGAGAGTGAGCCGCTTAATGATCAAGGATGACTCGGAGCTGGTGGACAGTGGCCTCCCCACAAAATGAGAAAGAACGAGTGTGTTTGGAGAATTCTTCTGTTGCAACTGAATCCTGGAAGAAAAGAATCTCGGATCAGATGATGCTCCTTTAACCAGCAGCGACAAAAGAATTCTCAAGGAATTAGACATCATTACTGCTGATAATTGGCCCCAGAGTGGCTTTGAATAAATGGGGGAAACTGCCCACTTTACCCCACTTTCAGATGCTTTTACATAAACCTTTGAAAATCCATACGTTTAAAGCCAGAGAGATAGTACAACAGGTTGAGCATTTGCCTTGCACACAGCTGACCTAGGCTCAATTCCCCAACATCCCACATGGCCTCCTGAACACTGTCAGGAGTGATCCCTGAATGCAGAGCCAGGAGTACGACCTGAGCATCCCTGGGTGTGGTCACCCGCAAAAAATAAGTTGATAATTTTAAAATTTTACTTACTTAAATTACAAATTAATGTTAGCATAATTTGGTTTGGGGCCATAGCCAGTGTTGCTCAAGGGCCACTCCTGACTCAGTGCTCTGGGGTCACTCTTGGTGGTACTCAGAGGATGATGCAGTACCTTGCATCAAGCTCCTATACGCAGAGCATGAACTCTGGCCTGAGGTGTAACTTTAACTCAAAGGGCAATGGAAGGGCAACAACCCGCCGAACTGTCACTGGAAGTGACTGTGACTGAAATGAAAGCAACTTCCTACTCGCTCCTGCCATTACTTAGTTCCTGTTTGGGCAGTGCTTGGAGGCCGGGCAGTCGGACACGCAGCGCATGTTCTCCGGCACTGGAGCCTTAGTGTTCACAACCAGAATAGTGAGCTAAAATGAAAGTTAAAGAGCTTATTCACATATCTGGGCCTTAGATTGGAACATGAAGAGCTAGCCTGCATACACAGTAAAGGTTGCCCTTTTTTAGTCGTTCTTTAGGGGCTGTCATACTAACGAAACTGTGTCTCCTTTCAGATTCTGTAAATCTGGCAAGGGATGTGGTGGCTCAGTGGCAGAGCACTGGCTCTGCATGTATAAGGAGGGAGTTGGAGGGAGGGAGGAATGGAGGGAGGGAGGGAGGGAGGGAGGGAGGGAGGGAGAGAGGGAGGGAGGGAGAGAGGGAGGGAGGGAGGGAGGGAGGGAGGGAGGGAGGAAGAGGGAGGAAGGGAGGGAGGGGAGGGGAGGGGAGGGCAGGAGAAGGGAGGGGAAGGAAGGAAGGATGGAAGGAGCCCATGAAACATTTAAGATGAAGCCAGGAATTACAAACAAAGGTGCATCCCTGAGTTCCCTTTGCCCACCCTCAGATGCCCTCCCAAGCCCCCACCAGGCTCTGACTCCCTAATTCTCCTGCAGTCACAAGGGCTCATCTCCTATTTCTTTTCCATTCTCACACTTCTAACCTTCACACAGAAAATCCTTCAGGGAAGGGATCTTTTCTTTTATTTTCATGTGTGTATGAGTGTGTGTATAAGTGTGTGTGTGTGTGTATGTGTGAGTGTGTGTGAGTGTGAGTATGTGAGTGTATGAGTGTGTTTGTGTGAGTGTAAGAGTGTGTATGAGTGTGTGTGTGTGTGAGTATGTGTCTGTGTTTGTGTGTGTGTGTGTGTGCGCGCGCTCAGGGCTGTCCCCGCTGACAGGAAAGCAGGCAGCAGTGCCTTCTGTTGAAAGCATCCCTGGACAACAATGAGGACAATACCAAGCCTGGAGTCGCACAGTCACCTACCACTTGGCTAAGAGAAGGGACTTCCCAGAACCTGGTCCTCCAGAGACAAGCAGCGGCGGGATGGGAGCGGGGGCTGCCACCAGGTCATTCAGCCGCTGGTAGTACTGGAAACAGAGATTGATGGAAATCATGAAGAAGCCCCGGTCTGGGAGGATATGCCAACATTAACCTGCCAACCTCTGACTGCTGCCTGGGGGGCCACGCAGTGCCCGGGATTGAACCTGGGCCTCTCCCATGCAAAGCACACGTTCACCACCCTGCAAGCTCCCCCCAAAACCTTACTATTTGTTTTTGGTTTTGAATCACACTCAGCTGTACTCAAGACTTCCGGTTCTGTGCTTAGGGACCATTCCTGGCGGTCTTGGGGATCCTATGCAGTGTGAGGTAGTAAGCCCAGGTCAGCTACATGCAAGGCAAGCACTTTGCCCACAATAGAATCTCTCCAGCCCAGACCCTCCAGTTCCAATTCTTTCTTTTTTTTCAGTTTTATTTGGAAATTTGGAGGAGGGATTGGAGAGAGAGAGAGACAGAGAATAAAGAGAGATAGAAGAGAGGAGAGAAGGCAGAAAGATAAAGATAGAGAGAAGAGATAGGAGAGAGAGATGGAGGGAGAGAGAGAAGGAAAGATAGGGAAGAGAGAGAGAGAAGAGATAAGGAAATGGGGTGAGAGGGAAAGAGAGAGAGAGAAAGAGAGAGAGAGAGAGAGGGTTGTGGCAGTGGAGCTGGGCAGTTTCACCTGGCTTCCCACCCACTCTAAATGCTGGAAGTCACGCCCACAATCTGCCTCTGGGGGCCATCTTGGCACACCAACAGCCCAGGCCCAGAAGTTCCCAATTGAATCCCAAAATGGAATAACTCCTACAGAGATGTCTCTGGAACCCAATCATTTATTATCTTAGAATTTCAGAAGTGCGTGGCCGCTTATGCGGTCGCATGACCTCTCACATGTACAAAATGAGCAATGGAAAATAAATGATTCAGCATCTGCCCTTGGAAAGCAGGCTTGAATGGTGGTGGGAAACTTCAAGCAAAACATAATGCCCAGGGGCTGGAGTGATAGCACAGCGGGTAGGGCATTTGCCTTTCACGGGGCCGACCCGGGTTCGATTCCCAGCATCCCATATGGTACCCTGAGCACCGACAGGAGTAATACCTGAGTGCGTGAAGCAGAAGTAACCCCTGTGCATCGCTGTGTGTGACCCAAAAAGAAAAAAAAACACATAATGCCCATAAGTAGAGTGAGAGTATCTGAGCAATTGTCTGCCATAGAGGCAGGGTGAGGAATGGGATGGAGTGGGGTGGGGGTGGGGGGATACCGAGGACATTGGTGTTGGAAAGTTTGCAGTGGTGGAGGGATGGGTGTTCTATCATTGTATGGCTGAATCTCAAACATGAAAGCTTTGTCACTGTATCTCATGGTGGTTCAATATATATATATATATATATATAGAGAGAGAGAGAGAGAGAGAGAGAAATAGAGATAGAGAGACTCAAGAGGGAACAAGGGTTTCCCCAGAGTGGAGAGGGAGACCCAGGACACACCCCAGCCCTAGAGATCAAAGTCCCCATCTCGAGAGGCAAAATGTGGGCAACTCATATGCCCGGGTACCACCTGCACTCTGCAGCATGTGGTTGGGACAGCACATGCATACGCTTCCTCTGTTCCAGTAAAGCCTCACTATTCTTGGCGAGTTTCTTCACTCTCTTCTGTAGTGAGTTAAAGGTGCTAGGACAACAGGCACGCAGTTGACACATCCTGATGGATAATGAAACTGTTCAATGGTGATATTGAGATGGGAAAATATCTGAGGAAAAACCTGAATCATGGGGCTGGTGTGACAGCACAGCAGGTAGGGTGTTTGCCTTGCACGTGGCCGACCCAGCTTCCCATATGGTCCCATGAGCACCTCCAGGAGTAATTCCTGAGTGCAGAGCCAGGAGTAACCCTTGTGCATTGCCGGGTGTAACCCAAAAAGCCAAAAAAAAAAAAAAAACCACCCGAATCAAGTGTCAAAGCTGAATAGTATGAGCACGCGTAGCCCGCTATGAGATGTGCAACTCAGCTTTGGCTTGTGTCCTTTTTCAACCTATACTGTGATATCCATTTGGTATGCCCGGCCTGACCCTTTAACCCCTGCAGGCTCCAGCTCCATAACGTTGCCACAGCTACTGGCTGCCAACCTGAACACCTACCAGGCTAATAGTTTACATTCCTTGACTCAAACAATAACTCCCTGCCACCTTCCACCCTCACCTGCTGTTAACCCTGTCCCCTGAGAGGTCTGGATGCTAGCGAGTCAATTACATGGAACTCTAGAGACTTGTAATTCACATTCCTGTGTTCCTTTGCTCAGTTACCCAAGGATGGTTATAAAAATTCATGCAGAAGCAAGAGGCCAGGTTCTGGCGAGGTATTATTCCCCTGGGCCCACCAGGAGTAACAGAAGCACCTATCCTGGGGCTGGACTGACTGTACAGCGGGTAGTGTTTGCCTTGTATGCGACTGACCCAGGTTCAATCCCCAGTTCCACAGGGTCCTCTGAGCACCACCAGGAGCAATTCCTGAGTGCAGAGCCAGGAGTCAGCCCTGAGCATCACCAAATGTGGCCCCCCAAACCAAAACTAAAACAACCAATAAATAAATGTGTCTTTCCTAAGACTCTAGCAGTCCAGAAAAAAAAAGAGAACCTTCTTTTCCTTTGGGAAGATTTTTCTACATCAATACTTAAAAGACTCTTCACTTTTACAGGACACAAATCCAAGAGTGTGTCTCAAGGTGGAGAACCAACCCGAGGCCAGGTACTGTCACTCACCCAGACTCTTTTTTAATTTTTTTTAAATGTAGGAGTACTGCTGTTCATTCAGCCATTGATTAAGCTGATTGAATTGGGCATGAACTCCACATTATGTTGTTGTTGGTTTTTTTTTCTTTTTTATGAATCACCGTGAGACACAGTTACAAACATTTCATGTTCGAGATTTCGCTGTACAATGATCGAACCCCCATTCCTCCACCAGTGCACACCACCAGTGTCCCCAGTATATCCCCTTCCCATCCCAGTCCTCATCCTGCCTCCAATGGCATTTTCCCCAATCTCTCTCTCTCTCTCTCTCTCTCTCTCTCTCTCTCTCTCTACTTTTGGGCATTATGTTTTGCTTGAATTTTCCCACCACCATTCAAGCCTGCCTGCCAGGGGCAGATGCTAGATCATTTATTGTCCCTTGCTCATCTTGAAGGTCGTGGATGTCATGGCCTTGCACTTCTGGAATGCTAGATTGTAGATGGTTGGGTTCCGGAGACATTTCTCTAGGGCGCTAACTCATTTTGACCACCCTGACTCTATCAAGGGGCAAACCCGACCGGAACACAGCTGGGGAGCAGCGGTGGCCGGGCTGGGACTGCACCTCCCACTCCTTTACCTTCTCAAAGCCCAGCTGGTGGGTGGAGCTGGAAGCCTGCTGGAAAGTCTCCATCTGCTCCTGCTCGTCGTGGATGTCCCATAGCACATCACCCGGCCCCTCCTCCTCGGGCAGGGCCTCCTCACTGCCGGCCTCCTTCGTCTCCAGCTCAGTGCTCTCGAAGCCCAGGAGGTCCTGCACGCCAAGAAGAAGCTCCTGAGAAGGAATGAAGAGAAGAGGGGGCCTGGGTGCGGGGGTCCTGCGGAGAGGCCAGGCGTGACCCCTCAGAGTCCATTCACAAACTGGAATAAGAGCATTAGCTTATTTTCAAGATAAGATGCTGCGGGGGGGGGGGGGGGTGCTGGAGCAATGACACAGCAGGTAGGGTGTTTGCCTTGCACGCGGCCAACCCAGGTTCGATTCCCAGCATCCCATATGGTCCCCCGAGCACCGCCAGGAGTGATTCCTGAGTGCAAAGCCAGGAGTAACTCCTGAGTATCGCCGAGTGTGACCCAAAAAGCAAAAATAAATAAATAAATAAAAATAAATAAGACGCTGGGGGGATTGGTGTTGGAAGAGAGCATGCCTGAAATTCACCAGCAAATATCAGGGTTTTTTTTTTTTTTTTTGGTTTGGGGGCCACATCCAGCGATGCTCCAGGGTTACTCTTGGCTCTGTGCTCAGGAATCCTCCTGGCAGTGCTCAGGGGACCATATGGGATGTCAGGGATCAAACCTGGGTCAGCCACATGCAAGGCAAGAGCCTGACCCACTGTACTATCTCTCTAGCCCCACAACTGTGAATAACTTTTGCAAATCTGGGTGTTGGAACCAAAAATCATTAAAAAATGAAATTAATAAACACAAAAATTAAAGCAAAGTGGGGGCAGGAATGGAGCTCCGGGGCTGAGCATGTGTCTTGTATCCTGGCATGCACGAGGCCCCAGCAACAAGGACCCTCCCAAGCACTGTCAGGTGTAACTATTATTTTATAATATTTATAATATTATAACATAATCATTTAAATTTTATTTTATGATGATAAAACAAAAATATTAAGAAATAATAAAGTTAAGAAATATTTGACTTGGGGCTGGAGTGATAGTACAATGGGTAGGGCATTTGCCTTGCATGTGGCTGACCCGGATTCGATTCCAGCATCCCATATGGTCCCCCGAGCACCACTCAGGAGTAATTCCTGAGTGCATGAGCCAGGAGTAATCCCTGTGCATCGCCAGGTATGACCCAAAAAGAAAAAAAAAAGAAATATTTGACTCCCAGGGAATGTTGTCTGCAAAAATGTTTTCTACAGTATCTCTGCCTATATATGGCTGGTAAACATTTTTTTCTTTGTCCTTTTGGGTCACACCTAGTGGTGCTCAGGGGTTACTCCTCGCTCTGCACTCAGAGTTTACTCCTGATGGTGTTTGGGGTACTATATGAGATGCCAGAGGTTGAACCTGGGTGGCCACGTGCAAGGCAAATGCCCTCCATGCTGTACTATCGCTCTGGCCCTTGGTAAATATTTGTTTTTTTGTTTTTTTTTTGCTTTTTGGGTCATACCTGGCGATGCACAGGGGTTACTCCTGGCTCTGCACTCAGGAGTCACCCCTGGCGGTGCTCAGGGGACCATATGGGATGCTGGGAACCGAACCCAGGCCAGCCGTGTGCAAGGCAAATGCCCTACCCACTGTGCTATCTTTCCAGCCCCCGGTAAATATTTTTTAATATGAAAAATCAGCACTAAAGTTGGACCAGGGTTCTCTCCACGCATTGGGCCTGGGTTCGATCTCCAGATCGCTCAGCATGCCCTTAGCATTGACAAATGTAACATCTGGGTTTCTCTGGAAAATCCAATTTTATAGATAAAGTCATTTTTTCCCTTCAGTCATCTGCTTTGTTTGGGGGCCACACCCAGCAATGCTCTGGGCTGATGCCTGGCTCTGTGCTCAGGGATCACTCCTGACAGGATGAGAGGACCTTATGAGACTAAGGGGCTAGGAGACCCTCCAAGGCGGAAGTCTTGTCCTGTGAGGGCTTGGCGTGGGGCTAAACCCCCGTCACCGACCCTCCGGGCAATGGAGGTGGGATGGAACCTGGGTTGGCTGTGTGCAAGACCAGCACCTTGCCTGCTGTCCTCTCTCTCCAGTCCCGGGAAAAATGGTCTGAACATCTTTCACATGATCCCTGACAGGGAATGCACACTTACCTGTCTAATGATCTTTTCCACGTAAGTGTAAATCTTGTACACTCCTTCTGCAGGATCTCCCGAGTGATCAATAATCTGAGGGGAGAATCAAGAGTTGAAAAGAAGACAGAAACCAGGATGACCAGGAGGCAAGGGGGAGTGGGTCACGCATCAATGGTGTGTGTGTGTGTGTGTGTGTGTGTTTTGGGGCCATACCGAGCCATGCTCAAGGGCTACCTCTAGCTCTGCATTTAGGAATCACTCCTGGCAGTGCTCAGGGGACCATATGGGATGCCAGGGATTGAACCTGTATTGGACACGTGCAAATCAAGTGCTTTGCTGCTTTACTATCTCTCCAGCCCCGACTTTGTCTACACTCCCAAGGGGAAGTTCCATTGAGTTTGTGAGGTAAAGAAAGCATCAATTCCCTGTTTGAGTTCTGGGCCCATCAGAGCAAGAGAGCTACAGCTCCACTTGGTCTGCAGGTGAATAAATCCCGCTTCTAACATTCTGGTGTGAGTTTGGGTTCTTTGTAGGCTGAATGGCCACAATCCCTCCACACAGCAGCTAGGGTGCTTGCCTTGCATGCAGTCCACCCAGGTCCGATCCCTGGCACCCTACATGGTCCCCACACCTCCCAGGAGTGATCCTGCGCACAGAGCCAGGAGTAAGCCCTGAGCACCACTACAAATTGTTTTTTAAAAAGAAAAAGAGAGAGAAAAATAAAGGAAAGAAAGGAAAGGAAAGAGAAAGAGAGAAAAAGAAAGAGAGAGAGATAGAGAGAGAGAGAAAGAAGAGAGAGCGAGAGAGGTGCCAGTCTTCACATTTGATCTTATTTTCTGGCTGACCACAGAGAAGTAAAAACAGTGTCAGGGCTGGAGAAATAGTCTAGGGAATAAAGTGTTTGCCTTAACAAGGTTCCACTCTCACAACCACATAGGGTCCCCCAAGTACTGAGCACTATTGTGTGCAGCCCAAATTATCCACTCCCCTGTCCCCCCCCCAACTCCTGCCCTCCCCTAAAAAAAAAAAACAATGAAGAGACCTGGCAACTAAAAAACAAAACCAAAAATGCCCAGTGGTGTTGAACTTGGAAAGCCCAGCTGTTCCGAGTCTGAGGCTCAGGCAACCCCTTCCGCATGCTGCATGTCGTCCTCAAGGCGTCTCCTCCTGGCCATTCTCCACTCCCCTCCCTGGCAGAGGTCACAAGTCTGCTGGGAAACCTGTCTCCCCTGTGAAACCCCCCCAGCACCCCAGCCTCCTCCATCGCCCATGTCACCCTGGGGCCCCCACTTTCCTCTGGCCCAGCAGGTCTCTCGACGTGGCCCTTCGAACCTCACCTTGGCCTTGCTGGTCTTGTGCAGGTGAGAAACCTGCTCGATGAATCTCTGCACGGAGTCGGAACTGACCTTCCCAGGCTCCGAACGGTGGTAGATGAGGCGCGGTTTGCCTTCGGGGTTCTTTAGAAAAGCTTCTTCGCAGTCCTCCACCAAGAGGCTAGGGTGGGAAATGGGCATTTCTTTTTTTTTCTTTTCTTTTTTTTTTTTTTGCTTTTTGGGTCACACCCAGCAATGCACAGGGGTTCCTCCTGGCTCTGCGCTCAGGAATTACCCCTGGTGGTGCTCAGGGGACCATATGGGATGCTGGGAATCGAACCCGGGTTGGCCACGTGCAAGGCAAATGCCCTATCCGCTGTGCTATTGCTCCAGCCCAAGGAAACGGGCATTTCTTACCAACGATGCAAACACACGGGCCAGGGCACCACCTCCATTCCCCGGAGGGTCGGTGACGGAGGTTTAGCCCCATGCCAAGCCCTCACAGGACAAGACTTCCCGCCTCGGAAGGTCTCCTAGCCCCTTAGTCTCAAAGTGTGTTCCTCAACAACCATCTCACAGGCGGAATCAAGTGCGTAATGCATTCATATTTCAAGCAGACCTAAATTTAGTTTTTAATTCGACAAAAAAAGAACTCTCACAACTGCTGCAAAGGAGGCACAAAATAATGTGTCCTGTGCATTATTTTGGGCGGGAGTGATAGCACAGCGGCAGGGCGTTTGCCTTGCACGCAGACAGCCCGGCCGAGCCGGGTTCAATTCCTTCACCCCTCTCGGAGAGCCCCGCGAGCTACCGAGAGTATCTCGCCCGCACAGCAAAGCCTGGCAAGCTACCCATGACATATTTGATATGCCAGACACAGTAACAAGAAGTCTCACAATGGAGACGTTACTGGGCCTCCTCGAGCAAATCGACAAACAATGGGAGGACAGTGCATTATCTTATTTCCAAATAAATGGAAAACAGAAATCCACTCAGAGAGATTTCCCCCTAAGTATCCTCAATCCTCAGTCCCAAGGTTTCAAGACTTTTTCTGGTTTTTTGGGAGGGTGACGCCTGTACTCAGGGATCTTTCCTGGCGGGCTTAGGGGACTATGTGGGGTGCTGGGGATTTAACCCAGGCCAGCTGCATGAAGGTCAAACACCCTACCTACTGAGATATCTCCCCACCCTTGGGTTTCAAGATTTCTTTTTATTTTAGACCTTTTAGTCTTTTTGCATTCCATAAATGGCCCGAGTCCTTGCATCTGAGATATAGGATATGAAAGATCTGAAGGTAGATCCAGGGAGAGGTGAGAATTCAGCGATATTCTGGTCGAGGTAATAATTGTTTGTTTTGGTTTTGGTATGGGGGGACCTCACCCCGCGGTGCTCAGGTCTTACTCTTGGCTTTATGCTCAGAGATCACTCCCAATGGGACCTGGGGGACCATACGGGGTTCCAGGGATTGAATCTAGGTTGGGCACACACAAGGCAAGCACCCTGCCCACTGTACTATCACTCCAGCCCCTTCTTTTAAAAATGAAGTTGGGTCAGAGAAACAGCTCAATGGGCTGACTGTGTGTATTGCACGCAGGCAACCCAGGGCCAATCTTGAGCACTGCAAGGAGAGACCCCTGAGCACTGAGCTAGGAAGGAGCTCTGGCCCCCAACCCACCCATCTCTCAATAGAGAGAAAGCTAAAAATAAGGGTTAAAGGATCAGACAGACAGTACCCGGGTTAAGACACTTGCCTGAAGTTTTATCTTTTATCTCCAGCATCATATAATTGTCTTCCCTGAGCTCCATCAAAAGCAATCCCTGAGCACAGAGCCAGGAGTAGGTCTTGAACACCTCTGGGTGTCGTAGAAACCTCACCCCATGTTCTAATAAAGGTATATTTATAAATAAGAGGCTGGTTAGATTGGGTCAATGAGCCATAGCTTTCTGAGCCCTGTTAAAATGACCATTCATCTTATGATCTTGAAGCCAATCTGACAACACAAGCTGTTCTTTAAGTACAAAAGGTCATGGAATTTAATTCTTTTGTGGTCTGATTTTGATTCTAGGAAGGCAAAATTAGAGGAGCTGGAGCAATAGCACAGCAGGGAGGACATCTGCCCTGCACATGGCCGACCAGGTTAATCCCTAGCATCCCAAATGCTCCCCTGAACACTGGCAGGAGTCATTCCTGAGTGCAGAGTAAGCCCTGAGCATCACAGGGTTTAACCCACAAAGGAAAAGAAGAAGAAGGTTGAGGTATAGTTGGAAATCCCAATCATTCCATTAACAAATTTAACCATATGATCTAGAGATGGGGCTGGAGCGATAGCACAGCAGTAGGGCATTTGCCTTCTGTGCAGCCAGCCCGGCCGAGCTGGGTTCGATTCCTCCGTCCCCTCTCGGAGAGCCCGGCAAGCTACAGAGAGTATCTCACCCGTATGGCAAAGCCTGGCAAGCTACCCGTGACGTATTCGATATGCTAAACACAGTAACAACAAGTCTCAAAATGGAGACGTTACTGGGCCCACTCAACTAAATCGATGAACAATGGGAGGATAGTGTTTGACAGTGATCTAGAGAGGCAGCTTAGTGAGAAAGGTGCTTGCCTTGTTTGCGACTGACCCCAGTTCAATCTCTGGCACTGCATGTGGTCTCCTGAAGCCCACCCAGAGGGATTCTTAAGCACAGAGCCAGAAATAAGCCCTGAGCACCACCAAGGATGGCTCCAAACCCTCCCACTGCTCCAAAACAAGCAACAGAAAAGTTTAACCATTAACATTTCAACTCACCTGGGTAAAGTTAAATGAATGAATAAAATAACTAAGGAACTCTTCTCGATTTCCCATTTCCTGACAGTGAGGTATTGGTTTTCAATATCTATTGGAAAATACACAGCATGGAAAAAATGTCCCATTGTCTCACACATTCTTTTAAGTTTAGGGGAATAGTCCTGAAAATACATTAAAAAAAGCTTATTTCACTAAAATGCTCATCCATTTTTCACTAGTTACAATGTTTAAAAAGCAAGCGATATTGTTTTAGAACAATATATACTAGATATACAAAAATAATAATAGCTTAAGCAACTTGGCTATTTCCTAGCTAGAGAATGAACTGTTGTTGCTGTTGCTGATGTTTTAGTTTGGGGGTTACACCTGGCATTGCTTGGGAGACCATATGGGATGCCCAGGATTGAACCCGGGTCTACCACATGCAAAGCAAGCAAGCACCCTACCTACTGTACTTTCGACGCAGCCCCATGGAAATGAATTCTTTTATAATTAAAAATAAAACAGGGCTGGAGAGAGAGCTCAATGGGCCGAGATCTCACTTTGAAGGCAGGTTTGATTTGGAACAACCACTTTTTCCCTGAGTGATGGCATAGCGCTTGGAGGGCACCCAGTGTGACCGGGTGTGACCCCACAACCAGTGTTGGGTCTGGCTCTTGGCACGATCTGGCACTGCGGCACCATGACGAGTGTGTCCAGTGACTGTCCTCAGACTCTAAAAACCTGGACAAGAGTTACATTTGGGATAACCAGACACTGATTCAAGGATATTAACTAGCATGAATTAACTGAAGTTGACACAGCCTGACAATCATCCCCCGCATCGTGGAGCATGTGCAGTAAAGCATTCAAACCTGTGGAGTTCCGAGGTTTCCCTCTGAATCTCCTGTGAATACTGAGCGAGTGTCTCCCTTAGAAGAAAACCCAAGCTGCTTCCTGAAAACATAATCATGCAGTGGTAAATCACCCTTGGTTGAGATGATGCAGAATCACAGAAGGACACCACGTGAACTGCATTTGAAATCCAGAAACACAGATTATACAGATATTCTCACCTTTAGGAAAAGATCCATTTCAGGTTGCGTTTCGTCCGTGTAAATGAGGTAACATCTGACGCTGTTGCTCCATAGGGAATGTGAGAACAAGGGAGTGACTTGTAATAAACTAGCCACGGCAACATCCCAGTCATCTAGAAATAAAGATTCTAAGGTCTTGATCAGATCTACCAGAAAACATTCATCGAGACTGGCTTTTTTTTTTTTTTTGGCTTTTTTTGTGTCACACATGGGATGTCGGGAACCCAGGTCAACCTCATGCAAGGCAAATGCCTTACTGGCTGTACTCCAGCCAATACTTCCAGAGTCTTAAGACACACACACACACACACACACACACACACACACCACAGACACCACTAAAACATCTGTTCTAACTGTACTGCTGACACAGCTTCTAGAAGGATATATCAGAAGGTAGCCGGTTTTCTCAACGTTCAATTAAAATTATGGACTGAAAGCCACCAGTGTCAACCAGTGTCACCTGAACCTGTAGCTCCAGGTAAATGCCACTGAGCAATTTACACAAGCAGTTTGATGGTCCTGGGAGCGCTGGCCTCTGGGCAGGTCCTATCCTTGTAATACCCAGAGTCAAAACATAAAAGTCAAGAATGGTATAAAACAGGTGGGGGCCATCTGGCACACAGGCCAGGTAACACCCGCCACGTCTGTGGCTTGGACCTGGGGCATGATGGGGCAGATACGGTTGCTTTTGGTTGGCTGCCACGGCCCATCTGCCTTTAGTGTACGGTGTTTGAAAGGTGTTTTGTATATCCAAATGACCCTTGGCAGGAACCAGTTTCCCCACCCCTGAAAAATGAAGAGAAACCACAAGCACTTTAGTAAAAACACATTTTAAGGGCTATCTGGCAAATTAAGAATAATTTGTTTGTTTGTTTGTTTGGGAACTGGGGAGTTGACTTAAGTGGTAGAGTGTATGACTGGAATGTGCAGGACCCTGATTCGATCCAAGCCTCATCTGGTTCCCTGAGCAGCAATAGGGGGACCCTAGTGGGCCCCTGGCACCCCCAGTCCAACAGCCAAAAGTTTGGTCTGGAGCAGACCAAGTTCTGTAGCACACACACCACTGTGGTATGGTTTGTCAAAAGTCATTTTTATTGGGGCCAGAGTGACAGAACAGTGGGCGGGGCACTTGCCTTGCTCACAGCTGACCCAGGATTGATCCCCAGCCACCCATATGGTCCGAAGAATCCTGCCAAGAGCAATTCCTGAGTGCAGAGGCAGGAATAAGCCCTGCATAACACCAGGGATGGCCCCCAAACGAACAAACCAAAAAAAATTTTCTTATTTAACTAAGAGAAATCATTTTATAGTTTCAAGAAAAAGAATAACTGAGCTATCTCACAATATTCTTAGATATGAACTGAGATTAAAACAGCGGAGGTTAGAACTGTCTGACACCAAATTACATGCAAATAATGAAAACATCTTTTTGACCAAACATAACTGAGTTTTCTACCTCCAACCCACTAACCTACTCAAACCTGCCTCCATATCAAAGACGCCGAAGGAAAGATTAGAAGCTGCTCTTCAGTGAATCCACACAAAATGCTCTACTGGCCAGAAGCTTGGTTACTGAAATCTGATTGGTCAGGCCTGCTAGTGCCCACCTTAAGTCCAGAGGTACATTCTGGAACATCATCAGCTGATCAGAACCAGCACCAGGACAAGCCGGGATGGATGTCAGTGGATGGTACCCAGAGCCCAAGTCTCCTGCTCCACAGAAGGGAGCTCCCCTAGCACATGTTTCCAGGGCCTGAACAGCCCCGGTGACCGTCAAAGGGCATGAGTTACCTCTATTGACATTTGCAAAAGGTCCTTCCACGTCTATGGAGCTGTGAGCGAACTCTGGGCCCCGGAAGGTCTGCTGCAGCTGGATCATACTCCCGATGGATGGTTCACTGCCCAGGGCTGCACCCGTCCAATACTCACAGTGGGTCCCGGCAGCTGTGAATGCAAGAGAGCTTCCTCAGACGTACCAGTTAACCTGCCACCGTAAGTGGAGCACGGAATGTACAGCCAACAAAGGGTGATAGGAAAACTGGACAAGCACAGGCCAAAAAAATGGAACTGGATCCGTATCTCCCACCAGTCACCAAAGTTAACGCCGAGAAGGGTGAAGTCCTCGAGATCAGACCAGAATCCATAAAGTACATTGAGGAAAACTGGAGCAAAATTCCTCAGGATATGGTCCTTAGGTATCTTCAATGTTTTGACTCCAGTGGCAAAGATAATGAAAGCAAAGACTGATCCATCACACCACACCAAGTTAAAAAGGCTGCACAAGGCAAAAAAAAAAATGGGCTAACAAAAAAGGCCCCTACTGAATGGAAGAAAATAGTTGTACCCCAAAGTCAGATAAAGGGCTGACTGTTATACATAAACCACTCACAAAGCTCAACAACAATTACTAAAACGATAACCCCATCAAAAAATGGGGAGAGGAGATGAACACACTCTTTTTTTTTTGGTGGGTGGAGGAGGTCACACCTGGTGATGCTCAGGGGTTACTCGTGGCTCTGCACTCAGGAATCACTCCTGGCGGTGCTTGGGGAACCATATGGGATGCCGAGGATGGAACCTGGATTGGCCGTGTGCAAGGCAAATGCCCTACCCGCTGTACTATCGTTCTGGCTCGATGAATAGATTCTTGCCTCAAAACAGACATACACAGCTGGCTAGTAGGCATATGAAAACGTGCACGTCATCACTTCTTATCGGGGAAATGCATATCAAAGTGACAATGAGAGACTATTTCACACCAGTGAGAATGGCTCACGTCAGAAGAACTAAAAACAACCAGTGTTGGCAGGGATGTGATGGAAAAAGATACCCTCATTCACTGTTGGTGGGAACGCCATCTGGTTCTGTCTCTATGTACAGAAAACAGTATGGATATTTTTCATAAAAGTAAAAAATAGTGGGCTGGAGCAATAGCACAGCGGTAGGGCGTTCGCCTTACAAGCGGCCAACATGGCCGACCCGAGTTCGATTCCTCCGCCCCTCTCGGAGAGCCCGGCAAGCTACCGAGAGTATTCGATATGCCAGACACAGTAACAACAAAGTCTCCAATGGAGACGTTACTGGGCCCGCTCGAGCAAATCAACGATCAACGGGAGGGCCTTTACCTTACCTTACCTAAAAAATAGAGGGGCCGTAGCAACAGTACAGCCAGTAGGGTGTTTGCTTTGCACATGGCCAACCTGGATTCGATCCCCAGCACTCCATATGGTCCCCCAAGACTACATTTAGGGAATGATCCCTGAACACAGAACCAGGAGTAACTCTGGGATCCTCCAGAATGCAAAACATAAAAATAAAATTAAAAAAAATTTAAATAAAAATGGGCTGGAGCAATAGCACAGCGGTAGGGCATTTGCCTTGCATGCAGCCAGCCCGGTTGATCCCTCTGCCCCTCTCGAAGATCCCGGCAAGCTACCGAGAGTATCTCGCTCGCACGGCAAAGCCTGCCAAGCTACCCGTGATGTATTCAATATGCCAAACACAGTAACAACAAGTCTCAAAATGGAGATGTTACTGGACCCGCTAGAGCAATTTGATGAACAATAGGAGGACAGTGCATTTGTTTTAAATAAAAATAGAGCTTCCAGGAGCCAGACAGCAGAGCAAGTATCTTGCACACTGCCAACCCAGGTCAGCCTGAAATTAGTTCACTGAGACGGCCAGGAGTGATCTCTCATCACCCAGCCAGTTGTATACCCTGAGCACTGAGTATACTAGCTGAGTATGGCTCAATCCCACCACCAACCGCCCCCTCACACACACACACACACACACACACACACACACACACACACACACACAAAGATGAAAAGAACAGATCTCTTTCCGCTGGCCTCCGGCTGAAGCGCGGACACAGAGGGGGAACCGGGGAAGCTACTTAACTTGAAAAGAAAGCCTCTGGGTTCACTCTGGCTGAGCAACCAGAAGGAACCTCCGACCAGCCAAGGCCAGCGATTGATGGCAAAGAGCCGTGCTAGAGCTGAGTGAGAGGGCGGGAAGAAGCAAAGCAGCATCCTGAGAGGCGGGACGCAGAGCTGCCTCTCAGGACGGCTGCAGTGTGGGGGGAAGTTCAGACCTCTGAGAGAACAAACTTACCAGTCACATCTGTACAGTTGTCATCAGAATCAGACTCCCCAGGATCGAAGACGTGGATGCCCTGGGCCTGCAGCCTCTGAAGTTTGCTCTCCAGCTCGCGCTTAGCCCGCAATAGGTCCTGAATTTCATTTTCCTTGGTCTCCCTAAAAATCTATAATAGAATTTTCTTCTAGGTTGTTGTTGCTGTTGTTTGTGGGAGACTCTACCCTGTGCTTGGAGCTTACTCCTAGCTCAGCACTCAGGAATCCCTTCTGTCAGGCTCAGGGAACCATACAGACATGCCGGAGAGGGAACCCAGGTCAGCCACGTGCAAGGCAAACGCTCTGCCTACTGGACCATCACTCTGGCCCTCAAAGAACAATTTTCACTTGGAAACTTCCCCTAAGCAAAGTTGTATCAGCGACTTTGTGGGGGGAACAAACAGTGCTCAGAAGTCCTTTGTGAGGGGCATTGGTGATTCTCAGCCAATCAGATCAGCGGCTCGGTGCAAAGGTCCCAGAACATAAGGATGATAGGGTGGGGTTGGGAGGGGGGACTCATCTGTCATCCAGGTGGTTCTGGAGGCTTCCATGCTGGACAGGCACCTTGACCACTGTACTGTCTCCTGCTTCCATGCATCATCAACTTTTTTTTCTTTTTTTTTCTTTTTTAGTTTCATCATTAACTTTTAAGTGGAAAAATAAACTTTTTTTTTCTTTTTTGGTTTGGGGGCCACACCAGGCAAGACTCAGGGCTCACTCCTGGCTCTACGCTCAGGGATTAGTCCTGGAGGGCTAAGGGAATCATATGGGGTGCCAGGGATCAAATCCAGATTTGTCCATGTGCAAGACAAATGCCCTACTCGCTATACTATCACTCCAGCTCAAGGGGGAAAAAAAATCTTTCAATGAAAAACAACAACAATATTCCTATGGGTCTTGATGTCTGTTGAAGGGCAGACAAACCCAAGCCTCTTCCTCTGTATTTTGTAACTGAAACTCACTGGAATTCAGGCGGGTCTCCAGACTGTGGTGTGGGACTGTCCCAAGTATGGCCTGATTTTTAGAAAATTTGTCACACTCACACACCCACAAAACATCCCCAAACATCTCCAAATGCCATGCCCCATGAAGAAACACTTTCCTTTTTCTTCTCTTTAAATTTTTGGTTTTTAAGCCACACCCAGGTTGCTCAAGGCTTACTCCTGGCTCAGCACTCAGGGATCACTCCTGGTGTGCTGGGGAGTCAATATGGGATGCCAGGGATCGAGTCCTGGTCAGCCGTGTGCGAGACAAGCGCCCTATCTGCAAACAACCCCTACCTTTATCTTTTAAATTCCCAAATAGAAAGTCCATTTTTTTTGCTTTTTTTTTCTGAGGGGGGGGTCACACCCAACGATGCACAGGGGTTTCTCCTGGCTCTGTGCTCAAGAACTCCTGGTGGTGCTCGAGGGACCATATGGGATGCTGGGAATCGAACATGGGTCAGCTGTATGCAAGGCAAATGCCCTACCCACCGTGCTATAGCTCCAGCCCCTAGAAAGTCTATTTTTAAACCCTTTCTTTACTTTTCTCCCATGTCCAACTCAAACACATAAACAACTCAAACACATAAAGCACAATTCTAATTTTATCACTTTAAGGCATCCTATATGGCTCATTCTATTTTTTTTTTCATGTAGGAGTAATGCTATTTATTCGGCCACTGATTAGCTGATTGAATTGTGCATGAACTCCACTCATTCTATTTTTTTCATTGCAATCTAACTGTTTTGATATGAACTTTTTAAACATGATGATTTTATTCCACATCACACTGGGAGCAAACACGTAAGGGATTTACCTTGAATTGTCGTTTAACTTTATCTCTGTCATGTTCAAATGTAGCTGCTCTCTCCATTGCTTGATATTTTGCTTCTAAGGCACTTTCCTTTTCCCGAAGAATCTTCTGATAAGTTTTTTGAAGTGCCTAGAATGATTTGTCTTCTTATTTTCTTCCCTTTGCATGTTGTGTGTGTGTGGGGGTGGGGAATGGGAGGGGATGGGAGGGGACTAACCTGGGCGTCTGAATGCAAAGCAGGCATTCCAGCCTTCTGGGTCATCTCCCCAGGCCCTTACCTTGTCATTTCTAATGAAAATAGCATTCCTCTCAGAATTATTATTCTATGGCATACATTCCACAGATCTTAAAAATTTTACAATTTATTAGCTTTTCTGTTTTGATTTGGGGCCACACTCAGCAGTGCTAAGGACTTACTCTTGGCTCTGAATTCAGGGATCACTTCTGGCTGGGCTGAGGAGACCATAGAGGATGCAGGGGATCGAACTGGAGTCAGCTGCTTGCCAGGTAAGTGCCCTCGCTTCTGTACTATCACTGCAATCCCTTACTTGCCATTTTACCAGCCATCAAGAACTGTATATTGCTATTTCATTCAAACATGTTATCATTTAAAAAGGCAAACATGCCTGAACTCTAATAAATGAGCACACTTCAACCTTCAGATTTCAATGAAAATTAATATTTTTGCCACAGAACCACAGCATCAACTGGTATCTTTCGTTTTCCCACCCATTGGTGGCATTAGTCAGTGTTTGCAAATCTTCAGTGGAGATGGACTTCTTGTCTACTTCCAGCTCAGTCATTTTTTTTTTTTTTTTTTTTTTTTTTTTTTTTTTGCTTTTTGGGTCACTCCCAGCAATGCACAGGGGTTACTCCTGGCTCTGCACTAAGGAGTTGCTCCTGGCGGTGCTCAGGGGACCATATGGGATGCTGGGAATTGAACCTGGGTCGTCCACATGCAAGGCAAATGCCCTACCCGCTGTGCTATCTCTCCAGCCCCAGCTCAGTCATTTTCAATGTGCCGTGTCACTGAACAGTGACATGTGCACATGAAATCAGGTGTGTGAGGCACGCAGATTAATTTTTTACAGGCAAGATTAAGAGCACTCAGTAGGAAAACCGGTAAGGTCACAGATCAGTCTGCCTTCCGGAGTAAAGGTAATGGTGCTCATTGAATGACCAGTTTGCTTTCAGGAAAATCACAGCTATTAATTCACTTCTCCCAGGGTCTCTCAAGTCTCCTCCACGGTAAGAAAAAGAGTGAAAAAATGCAATACTCAGATGGCCCCTAAAACCTCCAAACTCTGCTCAGAAAAGCCACTCTTGCTTTCAGGGCTGTTTTAATGATTTATAATGAGTTAGATCTACTAACGGGGAGGTAACAAGTAACAACTGTTTCCTGATATGAATTGGGGGGGTTACTACATCTAGGAAACGGTTTCAGCCAGAGCAGTTAACTTGGGTGAAAATTAGGTGGGTGGTTCCAGAAAAAAATGGACTTGGAGAGCAGTGAAGCCACCAGCTGTGAAACTTCACAAAGACAGGAGCCCACCTGGAGGTATGCAACAGGGATGGGGGGGGGGGGTCCTGCGGAGTCGCCCCCGCAGCGCCCATGGGTGCACACGCGCTTTCCCTGCACACCCAGTCCAGGCCGGACCTCGGTGCCTGCTTCAGGCCACTCGCGCGCTAAGTGCTCCAGGGTATCCGAATGAATGGACTAGAAACGGCCAAGAAAGAGATGCCGAGGACTCCTGCTTAGTGCCCAAGAGAAAGTGCCCCCTTCCTGCGGTCTTGGAACGCCCAGCTTTGGAATGCGCGCGGCGGCCGTCGGGCAGCACCGGGTCCAGCGGGCAGGGCCAGGCCGGCCGCCGGGGGCTGCCCCGGGTGTAGCCGTGCGCGAGCCCCCGCCGGGACTGACCTGCAGCTCGGCACGCAGCCGCTTGTTCTCCGTGTCCAGCTTGGCCTCGCGGCGGCCCATGGACAGCAGCTCCTGGTTCTTGCTGACCCGGAAGATGTCGTACTCCTTCTTGAGCCGCTCGTACTCGGCCGCCGCATACTCCAGCTCGGGCACCGAGGAGCCGGTGGACTTGAAGCTGGCTCCGAGCAGCCCGCCGCCGGCCGCCGCGCGGGGCAGCGAGCCGGGCCCGACGCCCAGCGCCGCCGCGCCCGCGCCCCGCCGGAACGAGTTGCGCAACAGGCGGGCCTTGGGCTTCACCTCCACCGGGATCTCGCAGGCCTCGCCGCCGCCCGCCCCGTACGTGTCCTCGATCACCTCCCCGCCCGCGGGGCTCACCAGCGACGAAGCGGTGCCCATGGCCACCGCGACCGGGCAGCCGGGCAGCGGGAGGGGGCGAGACCAGGCGAGCGGGACGGGGCGGGGCTAGCGGGACGGGGCGGGGCGTCAGGCAGGGCGGGGCGTGGCTAGAGGGACGGGGCGGGACGTCAGGAAGGGCAGGGTGGGGGCTAGCGGGACCAAGCGGGACCGTCAGGAAGGGACGGGGCGGGGAGGAGGGCGGGGCTAGCGGAATGGGGCAGGGCGTCAGGCAGGGACAGGGCGGGGCTAGCTGAACGGGGCGGGGCGTCAGGAAGGGCGGGGCGTGGCTAGAGGGACGGGGCGGGGCGTCAGGAAGGGCAGGGCGGGGCTTGCGGGACCAAGTGGGAGCTTCAGGAAGGGACAGGGGCGGGAGGAGGGAGAGGCTAACGGGACAGGGCGGGGCGTCATGCAGGGTGGACGCGGCTAGAGGGACGGGGTGGGGCGTCAGGAAGGGCAGGGCGGGGCTAGCGGGACCAAGTGGGAGCGTCAGGAAGGGAAAGGGGCGGGAGGAGGGCGGGGCTAATTGAATGGGGCGGGGCGGCAGGAAGGGTGGGCGTGGCTAGAGGGACGGGGTGGGGCGTCAGGAAGGGCAGGGCGGGGCTAGTGGGAACAAGTGGGAGCGTCAGGGACAGGGGCGGAAGGAGGGCGGGGCTAGCGGGACGGGGCGGGGCCTCAGGCAGGCAAAGGACAGGGCTTGCAGAACAAGGGGCTTCAGAAAGCCAGAGGTATTGAGCTGGGGCGTCCGGGACAGGGGCGGGAGGAGGGCGGAGCTAGCGGGGTGGGGCAGGGAACCAGGAAGGGACAGGACAGGGCTTGCTGAACAAGGGGCTTCAGGAAGCCAGCGGCAATCGCTTAGGGGGCGGAGCTAGCGCGATGGGCGGGGCCTCAGGAAGGTACCGGGAGGAGCTAGAGGTCTGGGGCGGGGCCTCGGGAAAGGACAGGGTGCGGGAGGAGGGCGGGGCTAGCGGTACGGGGCAGGGCATTAGGAAGCAGCTAGGGTGGCCTAGAAGGCGGAGATAGAGTAACGGGGCGGAGCATTGGCGAGGCGGGGCTATCATGGCAGGGAGGGGCACCCAGGAGTGGGGCGGGGAGAGCAGCCCAGTTTCCCAGTGTCCACGTGTATAATGCACCGGGGCCCTTCTCTCAGTGACCTCTGCCCAGCATGGAATTCAGTAAACCCCAAGTACCTCTAGGTGTGGTCCCAAAACAAAACAAAAAAAAAAGAAAGGAAAGGAAACAGATTGACAAAACTAGGTTAAGAGAAAAAAATAATTGGCAGTGATGCTTTTGGATAAAATACCAGAAGCTCAAGCAACAAAAGCAAAACAGAACAAGGGATAGTCCTTCAGATTGAAAAGTCTCTGGACAGTGTCTGCGTGAGATGTGGCTCAGGGCACTGCTAGGTGTAGCCCTGAGGCACTGCAAGGTGTGGTCCCCAAGAGAAAACAAAACCCCAAAAACTCTGCACAGGAAAAGCAAAATGAAAAGGCAACCTACAGAATTGGAGAAAATATTTACTAATCAAGCCACATATGGTGTGTCCAAATATGCAAGAAACTTATACAACGCCCCCCCCCATCAGATAATCCACTGTCACTGTCACTGTCACTGTCCTCCCATTGTTCATCAATTTGCTCAAGCGGGCCCAGTAACATTGTGAGACTTTTTGTTACTGTGTTTGGCATATCAAATATGTCACGGGTAGCTTGCCAGGCTTTGCCGTGCGGGCAAGATACTCTCGGTAGCTTGCTCGGCTATCCAGTGGGAAAAAATGAGCAGAAAGACTGGGAGACATTTTTCCAAAGACCTACAGAAGCCCAATAATTAAATGCAGAGATCGCCGACATGGCTCATCATCAGAAAAATGCAAATCATGAGACTCTGGCTCATGACCTGGCAGAGAGGCTTATGGCAAAAAGTCAAGCTCGGGTGCTGGTGAAGAAGGTGAGATGGACAGGGGTCAGGTGCCAGTGTCACCAGCCTCGTGGCCACCCACACACCACACAGGACACCCACACAGGACAAGTCTCGCCCCATCCATCAGTGGGTTGATTTTCCTCCAGCCTCCATCCCAACGGTGGCTGAGCCTCTTTCCTATCAGGTCCGCAGTCTCAAGGGCTGGAATCTGAAAAGCTAAGTCCAGATTGGGCCTCCCCAGCCCAACATCCTCTCACTGGGCCCCTAGCGGCTCATCCCCAATAAAGCGTTTTTACTCCAGGTTTGTCCTGGTCTGCCCATAGGCCTGCTATCCTGAAACAAAGAGTTCAGTGAGCACAAAAAGAGATGTTCCAAATCTTTTGTCTGGTTTTTAGGTATTTATGGTGAGGATTTACCCACTCCTGGGAGGTTCTAGAATGATCTTTTTAAACATCTGCTTCCCTGCCTAGACACAAAGACTCCACACCCAATACCAGATTAGAGCGCTCATTGTGGAATTTTTGTGGGGATATACATACAACAACAGCCACTGCAAAACCCGTTCTCCCAACCATCCTCCATGAGGTGGGGGGTCTGTCCACACTCCTGCATCTGGCTGACAGAGTATGGCAAAAGTGACTCTGAGGCCTGCCTTCTAACACAACCACAGCTTCTGCTATCAGCAAACTCTGGCTCTTGGGCTGCTGAGAGAAGTCTAAACTGAGTGGTGAGGTTCTGAGCACAGCTCAACCTCCAAGCTGAGGCCCCGGGCCAACATGTGAGCAAGTCTGGGACAGCCTGTCACAGCAATCCTGGCACCCTCCAGTGGCCTGAGGAGAGAAGCAACAAAGAACCACCCTCCTGAGCCCAGGCAACCCACAGAACCACAGAACCAGAAGAGCTTTGCTGTAAACCACCAGTTTTGGGGCTACTTTATTATATGGTATGTAAAACCAGGCTGGCTCTATATATGATCACAGACGCAAAGAATCATCTGAAAACAAGCGCCCTGGAGGAGTCTTCTTTTTTATCGGTGAAAGCTCCTTCCCTCCACCAGAAATATTTATTGAACATCTGCTTTGTGCCAGGAGAGTTCTGTGGGCTCCCAAACCCACGTTGACCTCCCTGAGTCCCCAGTTTTGCCCCCTGGCTCAGAGACAAGAGGATACATGGTAAGAAGGTTGTGTATGTTTGGGGTTTTGGTGGGGAGTATTAAGGTTCTACTGTTCATGTTTATTGCGCCCTGTTCTATGCTTATAGGCTCAGCGTGTTCAGGGATGGGACAAAATGTTACTCCAGAGAGCTAACAGGTAGGGGACACAACCAGCAGATAAAACAAAAACAAAACAAACAAAAAAAACTACATGTGAATTGCTCCAAACAAGGGATGCAGGTGAGGGGGCTGAGTGGGAGGAGAGGAGGGGACAGTGGTAAGACCAGAGGTGACCTGGGCCCTCAGCCTCCAATGAGGACATTTTTCTGAATGGTGGGGGCGGGGTGGTCTCTGGCCATGTACTGAGGACATGGGAGAGAACTCTGAATACTATATAGTGGGTTTGTTTTTCCCGCAGAGGCCTGGGGTCAGGGAGGCTGTCACTGAAGATTGTAGAAGCTGGGAGGGCTCCCCTGAGGAGGTGACTTTTGGAAAGATCCTGTGTAGGGACCATGTTTGTAGCTTCTGAAAACTGGGCAATTTATCGTCTTCCCTGCATGCCTGTGCAGGACACCCCTTTGCCGCCTCTTCTTGGTCCCCTGCGTCCCAGTAGATGTCCTCGGGAGAAATTCTCCTCCCAGGGAATTCCTTTGCTAAATATAAATCAACCAATCAGTCTCAAGTGCTCCCCACTCACACCTATCTATCTCTCAACATTTTATGCCCTGGACCCCAGCCTGCTCTTCAAGTTGAGAAACCCCCAGGGGGCTGTTCATTTATGGCAGATGGTGAACTCATTGCTGAGACCAAAGTCTGTACTTTGCATCTGGAGAAGCAGGGGTTCGTTCCCACTGCGGGATCCGGGGAGGCCAAACCAGACAGGGGTAGTGAGTAACTGCAGGATATGGCTTTGTAGTCTCCTCCTCACTCCTGGGGACAGAGCCCTGGAGCTGATCACAAGTGACCCCTTCACTAGGGGACTCCGAGGTGATGGTCTTAAGGCAGTAGGCTTCATTTGACGGCTTTGGGGCGGTTCAAGGCATTCAAGCTCTAGACGTTGCAGCAAAGCTCTTGGAGGCTGGAGGAGCTCTGCGGAGTCTTGTCACCCCCCTTCAGGGGCAGCTCTGTCCCAGACGGAACGTCAGGCCACTGCGAGCGTGGCACAGTCACCTGGTCCGTGGTGTCGAGGCACTGGTCAGTATGGGGCGTCCTCATCAGCAGAGATGGGGCAGAGATCCTGCAGCATAGGGGCCTGCTCGGTCCTGGAGGGTCAGAGGCTGTGAAGCACACAGGAAACCAACAGCAGGAGAGAAGTCAGTTCATCCTAGGCAGAAATTTCTCCGAATGACAAAGGACTAATCTCTCCAATCACGAGACTGGGGACCAGCTAGTACAGTGGGTAGATAGATTGCTTGCCTTCCACGGGGGCAACCTGGGTTCAATCCCCAGCATCCCATATGGTCTCCTGAACCAAGCGTGATCCATGAGGCAGAGCCGGAAGTAAGCTGTGAGCACCACCAGGTGCACCCCGACACCCTCTCCTCTTGGAAAAAAGACAGAGACTGACAGAATGGATTCAAATACATGCTCTAGTGGGCCAGACGTGTGGCTCAACAGAAAAGTGCACGCTTTAAAATGCATTAAGACCTGGCTTTGATCCTGAGAATATGCAGATAATACCCAAAGAGCCTAAGGTGGCATTACTCTTTAGTTTAGTCATTATTATTATTATTATTATTATTTTCTTTTGGTGATGGGGTGTCAAACCCAGTGGTGCTCAGGGAACAATGCAGTGCAGAGGACTGAACCCAGTGCTCCATTATGGCAAGCATGTACTGTAGCCTTTTAAGCTGTCTCCTCAGACCCTGACTAAATAGATTTAATAGTGTGCCCTGGCACCAAACCCAAAGGCTCATAAGTGCAAAGCATATGTTCTACTGCCGAGTTACATCCCTGACCTTCAAACAGATTTATTTTTAAATTTTTTTTGGTTTGGAGGTCACACCTGGTGGTACTTGGGGTTTACTCCTGCCTCTGCAGTCACTCCCAGTGGTGCTCAGGGGACCATATATGATGCCAGGGAATGAACCTGGGTCAGCTGTGTGCAAGGCAAGTGCCTTACTTTTCTATCTTTTTGGCCTCACATTATTTATATTTTACCACCACACACATCAAAGTTGAGGGTAAAGGTTTTGTTTCTCCCCTATCCAGAATATCTTCCAAATTTCTGTAAGGGCAGATGAAACCAGCACTGGAAAATATTCCATATCATCTTTCACTCTCCCAGGCAAGAGAGATGTCTCTTTTCTGGTTTTAATCACCTTCATCTCAATCATTTAATTTCTCTCTCTCTCACTAAAAAAAAATTAGCTATGGGGGCCAACACTGAGCAATTCAGAAGAACAGATTCATCTCCAGGGAATGAAATCTCTATCCAATCCAAACCCACCCTATCCTTCCACATCTGAGAGGAAGGACAAAGCAAATTCAAGAACATATTTGGTTGAGACACACGCTCACAGGCCACTGATACAACTGATTACGCAAGAAAGAAAACTTGACGAGTAGAGGTATGAAACTACGTTTAAGCTGCTAATATAAAATGCACTCACATCCTTAACTGCGTGCACAGCGATGTGTGAAAGCATGTACTAAGCAAGTACCCAGGGAGTTTCCATGTATAAAAAACATTGGCAAAGCGGGATTTAACAGTCCATAAAAGCTCAGGAAAAGGACAGCGGGTAGGATGCTTGGAGCAGACCTCCTGGCAACCCTGCCAGGCCTTCATGGGAGCCGCATGTACTGTGCCCTGCGCAGTACAAATGTTACAGAGGAACCCTAAAAGTTAGGCTTGAGCGAAGAGGGAATGCTCATTACCTAGAGACGGGACCGTCCTTCAACTGTCTCTGGCAGGAAAGTCAGTTGGCACGGTGGGGGATGGGGCTCGCAGCAATGGGCCAGGTCTCTGCAGAACTCACGCGGTGGGCGGGGTCGTAGGGGCGGGGCTTGGGAGGGGCGGGGCCAATGGGGCGGGGTTTCCAGTGATGGGCAGGGCCTCCACTCTAGGCTGGGATGCAGCTCAGCCCTCGGTGTTACTGGGCTGAGTTCGTCACAGCCCCGAAGGGTGGTGGACACCCCCACTCTGGAGCTCTTTTTTCCCAACTCAGCCTGACTTGGGGTCTCCGGGGTTCTCGGTGCACGGAGAATGCGAACAGGCCAGTTTAATCTAGATTCTCTTATTATTTCAATGCCCATCTCTGTGTCCTTCACTCAGCCACTGGCAGAGCCCTCTGTTAGCTCTCTCTCTGCAGCTTTCCATGAAAGGGCCCCTTCCCCACCCCTCTATCTACCCCCCATCATCAGCCCCTGCTCCGTGGCCCTCTGCTCTCACTTTAGTTGGAGGTGAGCTGCGTCATCCATTGCAGGGGACTCTAGCCTAAGGCATACAACAACTGGGGCCACCATAAATGGGGGCCACAGGGAAGTCTTCCCACAAGCAGCAGAGCCTGGAGTGGCCCCCTCCATCCCGTGAGGGTGGGCGAGGGCCTGAGCCTGGCCCTGGAACCCATGATCAAGGGCAGGGGTCCAAGTTTGCTGGGCAAATTAATTTTGCCAGAGGAAGGTAATACTCCCGTGGTGCGAATCTGGGCTAACTTTGATGGATGAGTTAAGAGACGGGAAGTAAGCCTACTCCAGACCACAGAAAGGGTTAAGGGGCTGCATTTATGTGGGGGCCAGAACCACCTGGCTACTTGCTTAAACCCCGCCTCCCAGGGTACTACTCAAGATGTTCTGATTGGGCAGGCCTTGGGGGTGGGGCAGGGGTGGGGAGCGGGTCATTTGCATATTTTCTTTCTAGATTTTGGCCACATCCAGAGTATAGCGGGGGTCACTGTGCTTGAGAGTGAGAGTTGAACCTTGTCTTTCTGGCCCCATATTTGCATGTCCGACGAGCCCTTCTGCCCAACTGGAGAAACAGACAACTGAGACACACCTGAGGTGGGTTTCTTCTGCACCCACCACTTCAGGTCGCATTAACGAACGACACCACAAGAAAGCCAAGGACATTATAAACTATGTTTTATTACTTCACTGATCATGTAAATCTAAACAGAGATGTTTTCTTTAAAAAAAATAATAAAGGAAAAAGAAAATACGGGGGGGGGGGGGGGGTGGATAGTGATAGCTCTGATGCCAAAAGCAGGGTAGGGGGTGAGTCAGGGTGGGGAGGGGGGACTCTGGGCACGGGCCTCAGCAGCAGAGTGGCCTAGGCTGGGAGCTGGTGAGGACAGAAGGTAAACTGTGACTCCAAGAGCCCCGAGGCGCAGGCACAGCACAGAACCCTCCAGCGTCACCCCCGTCCAGCCGGCCTGGGTGCAAAACAGGGACAGCGACACACACCCAGAGGGCAGTGGAAATGCCTTTTCCTTCAGGGTGTTCAGGCCAGAGACCCCTGGGCACACACATGCCGTGAAACCCACGCCTGGGCAACCCCTCCCTGCTCCCACCCTGCGGGGCACATTTAATGCACATTGACAAAGGAAGTTTCGGGCCTCCACCCCACCCTGATGGAGGTGTCTAACGCGAGGACCCTAACCCGGGAGGACCCAGATGCCTGCAGTGACACTGTATCTGTTCCAGCTAGAGGTCTGAGGGCACACTCCCTGGTACAAGCCGGCCGTCTGGATCTTTAGGGGGGACCCGCCGCGCCCGAGATGCCCTCCAGTTCCGCCTTGCTCCTCCACAGCCAGCTGACAAGGAAGCACAGGGCCAGGAGGCCCGTCCCAAGCAGGTCCCCCAGCCCCGTGAGGTAGGGGATGCAGTGGTTGTCAGGGTCCAGCGCCTGGTGCCACATCAGCCGAACCAGCACGTCCGCCAGGTACAGCAGGATCGCCACCTAGCAGGAGGATTAGCAGACACAGAGGACGGTGGCCCGAGTGAGAAGCCACCAACAGACTCCCAGGCCAGATGGCCCGGTGGCCCTGTGCCCTAGGCCCTGGATGTCCCCTTCTTCCAGACCCCTCTGCTGACTGCCATTGGAGGGGACACTGAGGGCCCTGCAGAATGGACTCTGGAGTACAGAGCGCCTTGTGCAGTGGCCTGGGCGCCTCACGCAGTGTGTCTCTCGGAGTGTGCTGGGTGCTGTGCACCTATGCCCTGTGCCGTGTGCCCTGTGCCACAAGGAGTGTGCAGAGCAGAGTTTGATCTGCACTGTCCGTGTGCCCCAGCAGTGGCTGCAGTGAGTCGCTTGGATTCCTGGCAGCCAGCGCCCGTGCTCTGCAAGTCTGGGATCACCCACAACCCATCCCCCACTCCCTGCCCCTCACCCAGCCCAGGGATATGGCTTGTGGGTGGGGTCGCTCACCTGGATGAGGCCCGCCAGCAGGTAGAGCACCACAAAGACGGTGCTGCTGGTGACCCAGTGGCCCTCCACCAGGTAGATGATGTAGAAGAAAATCAGGTGGCCTGGAACCACCAGGAAGAGCAGGACCCGGGCTGACATGGAATTGGTTTCTGGAAGAAATTGAATGAGAAGCCGGGGGGGGGGGGGTGGCGGTCAGGCAGATCCCCTGCAGCATGTGACAGCAGACAGGTATGCCACCAGCTCCTCTCTCCCACGGCCACAGGGTACCTGGGTATCTGCAATGGGCAACACGTTATACAGAGCAGAGCATGGCCCTCGTGAAGCTGACGTTATAGGGAAGGGAGAAAAGATCAACTTTTTTTTTTTTTTGCTTTTTGGGTCATATGTGGCAATGCTCAGGGGTCACTTCTGGCTCTGCACTCAGGAATCACTCCTGGCAGTGCTGGAGGACCATGCCAGCAATGGCAGCAACCCTATGGGATGCCGGGGGTTGAAGCCAGGTTGGCTGTGTGCAAAGCAAACGCCCTACCCACTGTACTATCGTTCCGGTCCGAAAAGACCAACTTCTAATTTTTATTTTTAATCTATTTCTTTTGGCTTTGGTTATTGCAGTGCTCAGGATTTACTCCTGGCTCTCTGCTCAGGAATCACTCCTGGCGGTACTCAGGGGACCATATGGGATGATGGGGATCAAATCCGGTCAGCCCCATGCTAGGCAAGCACCCTCCTGGCTATACTATTGCTCTGGCCCCAAAACTGTATTTTCTTTGGTGGGGATCACACCCGGCAATGCTCAGGGGTTACTCCTGGCTCTGCACTCAGGAACTACCCCTGGTGGTGCTTAGAGGACCATGTGGATTCTGGGGATCGAACCCATGTTGGCCGCGTGCAAGGCAAACACCTTCCCTGCTGTGCTATCACTTTGGTCCCCAAACTTGTATTTTTAAAAGGGAAAGAAGAAAACCTTCCAGGGGCTTCCCGGGGCTCTCGGGAGGGGACCCGGGCTTCTTCCTGCAGCCCCCACACCCCGGGCGGCCAGCTCCTCCACGCTGGTGACCTCAGCTCCCTCACTGAGCTCCCACCCTTCACCTTCCCCCTCCTGCCTCGGCTGTCCCCTCCACCTCAGATACGCCTACCTGCCTCCTCCCAGCAGCCACCCCAGGGCCTCTTGTGTCTGTGTCACCACGCCCCTGGCTTTCTTCTTTTCACACCCGTGGGGACTGTGTGCTCACGGGTTTGCGTCTAACTGCTGTCCTCTGTCTTATCATGCCACTGGTAGGATTTCTGTGAATCCACTCAGGCCAGGGATGGAGACAATGATCTCAGGGAGAACGATATGTCGCCAAAGACCTCCTGAGCTGAGGTCAGGGGTCTTAAGACGTCCAAGACTACACGCACCAGCTTCTGCTGTTGCCCGTCTTCACTGGTTTACCTGTCCATGCTGGTGCGTACCACTGGTGGCTCACACTTGGATGTGACGTAACACAGTTGGCAGCATTCGTGTCATGGACTTTCAGCTCAAGGGAATGGTCCCAGGGCGTCCGGGGACACAGACCCACCTGAGGTGCAGAACGTAGAGCATGGGTTAGGCCAGAACTTCTTCATCCAGAGGGGCAGGACTCCAGGTGTGCTCCACATGTGCAGGTAGGTGGAGATGCGGCTGGTCTGAATGGCCACCAGATTGCCACCAACACCTGCGAGGGGAAAGAGCATTAGATTTCACTGCCTTTATCGGTCAGACTTGGATCTAGTCTGCATTTTTAAAAAATTTTATTTTTTAAATTTTTATTAGTGAGACACCATGAGGTACAGTTGTAGACTTACAAATTTTTGTGCTTGGGTTTCAATTATACAATGATCAAATACCCATTCCTCCACCAGTGCCCATTTCCCACCACCACAGATCCCAGTGTCCCTCCCACCCCCCAGCACACCCCCATCCCACCCTGCTTCTGTGGCAGGGCATTTAAGCCCACTTCCTCCAGGAAGCCTCCCTTGATGGAGATTTGCTATTTTCTCCTTCCCTTCTGCTTGCCCTTGACCTTGCTGGGTGAGGCACTAGGGTAGTGACTAAAAAACCCTAACAGACAGCACCTCTTGAGAGTTATTGGCCAGATGGGTTCTCAATCCGTGCCTGGTGGATAAAGAAGGGTGGAAGGGAGGATGGCTGAGCCTACGGGCAGCTGTCAGGATATAGGAGCCGACAGGAGTTACAAGCTGGATGATAGAAAGAATTTTTTTTCCCCCACGTTGTGGTGGGGAGGAGAGGAACGAGCAGGAGAAAGGACAATCCTCCTGGGCCCAAGGATCCCAGAGGGTGAGCTCCTGCAGGGGCAAGGACCTGGGGCTGGAAAGAATGGGGCCTGCCACAATGACCTCCCCTGGAGCACTGCTGTGCCCCACCGAGAATGGGGGCCTCCTCCCTGGACCTGATGTGTACCAGGGACCATCAGGGATGAACCCAGTGACCTGAGCTGTTCCAGACCATGCAAGGACCAGTGTGTGCACAGTGGACACTGCCCAGCGATGCTGCATGGCCTGTACTTGAACAATGAAGGCCTAAGGGAGGCCACAGGCTGGAACTGAGCAGGTGCAGGGGCTTCCGGCTCACAGGGAACAGGTTCTGCTGTCTGCCCCTATTTCCCACCACTCCTTACTGTCTCGCTGACTCGCTGTCCTTCTGCTTTGCTCATCTGGATTGTATACTTGGCCCCAGAGGGCACCAAGCAGGTGACATCCCAGAGACTCTTCCCAAGCATATGGGGACTCACTGACCAGGGGCTATCCGCAGATGGGGGTCAGCCCCAGAAGTGAGGACAGGCCCTGTGGGACTCTGTCAGAGTCCAGACCTGCAAATAACATGCTCAGCCCCTTTACGCCATCTGCCTGGCCCCAGGATTTCAGGTTTTGATGTGCACTGTCAGCTTTTTAAATTATTGATTCTTTTTTTTGTTTGTTTTTGGGCCACTCTGGGATGCTCAGGAATTACTACTGGCTCTGCACTCAGGAATCATTCCTGGTGGTGCTCAGAGGACTATATGGGATGCTGGAGATCGAACCTGGGTAGGTCATGTGCAAAGCAAGTGCCTTACCAGCTGTGCTACCTCTCTGGCCTAAGATGCAAGAAACACTGGGGTCCTGTGGAAGTGGGGGTGCTTGGGGGGCAGGCAAGGGCCTCAGCAGCCTATTTCTGTAGCCAGAGGTAGCCAGTCCCAAGCACCACACTGACCAGACAGTGAGTTATCTGGTCTGTGCCTCACCCAGCTAGGGAATTTGCAGAAAATGGACACACACTGTTATCCCATCAATGGCCAAGACCCAGAGACTATAAAATCCAGCTCCCGGAACTGCGCAGCTGCATTCGCGGCCGCGCGATGTCTTATCAGGACATTTTTTTAATGACATCTTATTATCTCATTCCTACTTTGGACAAACTTGCAGGCTATCGAATGTAGCCTGCCCACAGGTCAGAGTCTGGCAAACTCCCTGTGGCATACCAAATATGCCAAATACCAGTAACAATGATGGGTCTCATTCTCCTAAAGAGCCTTGAATATAATCTCAGGGCTAGGATGAAAGAGACGTTACTGGGGCCTGCTCGAGGCAATCGACGAATAACAGGACACACACTGATTGTGGTCATAGGCAGGATCTGCACACAAATTATCACAGATTCTAAGTCTGGCTGTGAATCAAGGGGCAGGAGGGAGAATTAGAGTCAGGGTCAGGGAATGGAGGTGACTGAGGCCAAGTTGGTGGCACAGAGATGATCTCAGTGGCAACCGATCTCTCCAGTATAAACCTGCGAGCATCAGTTTTGTATTGTAATAAAGAGAAATCCACATGCCTGTTTTATTTAGGGCCGCACTCGGCAGGACTCAGGCAAGGAAGGAAACCCCATCCAGGTTTTATTATTTTCTTTTTGTTTTGTTTGCTTCTTTGGTTTGGGAACTACACCCATTGGTGCTTCAGGTTGACTCTTGGTGGGTGCTTAGGGGACCTTGCAGTGTTAGGAGTTGAAACTGGACCTTTTGCATGTAAATAATATATTCAGCCCTTAGCACCATCTTCTTGGTTCCAGAAATCCAGGTTTTGATGTGTATCGTTGGCTTTTAAATGTATTTATTTTTTTAGTTTTGGTTTTTGGGCCACAACCAGTGATGCTCCGGGGTTACTCCTGGATCTGTACTCAGGAGTCATTACTTGGTGGTACTCAGGGGACCATATGGGATGCCAGAGATCAAATCCAGGTAGGCCACATGCAAAGCAAGGGTCTCACCAGCTGGGCTATCTCTCTAGCCTGTGTCGGCTTGTTTAATGTTGCCAATGAAGCTTCAAAGAACAGTCACAGGTGGCCACATGGCCCAGTTCTGTTCTGAAGGTCACCTTCAGCCAGCAGGGGCCAGCAAGGCATGGTCACCTGGCATCTCATGGTCACCTTCAGCCAGCAGGGGCCAGCAAGTCGTGGGGCAAAGTCTGCATGTCTTCAAGTCTGGGGGTCAGTCTCTGCTGGGCCGGGAGCTGGGGAGGGGGTGGGGCGGGGCGGGAGGGAGTCCCTCTCTCTGGGCTCCTGCAGCCCAACCCAGCCCCAGGGCTGACACCCAGAGTCCCTGCCACTCTCACCCGCCTGGCCTGCCATCACCTACCACAGATGATGGGAGTGAATATGGCCATGCCTTTGTAGGGCTGCTTGGAGATGGTCTTGTTGAGGATGAGCCCCCCGAAGCTGGGGAGAGAGCAAACGGTCAGTCTCTGAGTGTAGCCTCCTGCCGGGAGCCAGAATGTCAGTACAGCCTGACCTGCAATTTAGGAACTAATTTCTTATTGGAAAAATGTTAGAATACATTGTGTAAGTTTCTAAGCTATGCCCGAGATAACTGTCATGGGCCTGCCGTTAGGGCTCACACCCTGATTTACTGAATATCTTCATGCTTTGTGAGGTGCAAGAAAGGGGACCCGGTGTCCCAAAGCCTAATGATGGCGCAGGGACAGAGCGTGGAGGGGACTCAGCGCGGTGGGAGAACAGACAGACCCTCAGCTTCCATGAGGGAGCCGGGGAGGGTCTCCTTACTTCTGCGCCTCACCCCTACGTTCCCCCCTCCAACTCCCAGTCAGGTGGACAGGAGCAGAGGCAGAGCTGCTGCGCTCACGGACTCACCTGCTGATGACCATGGCCAGGATGATGGGGACCCACCCAAACTTCAGGATCTTCAGGATGGGGGGACTCTGCCTGGCGATGAGCACCCACACGGGGGTCAGGGCGGTGAAGCACACGCAGACCAGCGGCCGCAGGTACCGGGTGTCTGCGGGCAGAGGGGACACGGGGCAGCACCCATTGCCTGAAGGTCTGGGTGCAGAGGGGCACCAGCCATCCGGCATTTTGTGCTCCCGAGGGTGCACCCGCCCTGCGGCCACCGCACTGCCCCATCGGATCCGTCCTGTGGCTGCCCCGATGGGTCTTCTGTGTCCTGTCCCGTGGTCCTCACTGGCATTCTTCTCAATGGTTCTTTCAAGGGGACCATGCCTGCAGCCGGCTCAGGCCACCCACATAGGCTAATCACGTGCTCAGTGACTCCTCAAATCCCGCCGGAAGGCAACCAAGGAGCAGCCGCCCTCCGGCCACTAAGGAACCCTGTCCAGGTGCCAGTCTTGGCTGTGGCTGGACCAAGGTGGCCCCCCTCCCACACACATCCGTGCCTCTCGCTAGGCCACCACCAGTCACTTCCCTCCCACTGTGGCCTTCTCCAGCGGTGAGGAGGCTGTGTGCTGTCCACTCCCCCCCACCCTCGGTCCACCAGGGACTGAGACTGCACGTGGACTCCTCTGACCACGCCCACTGACCGGCCCTCTGGCCGCACCAAACCACACCCTCCAATTATACCCTCCCACCACACACCTTGGCCACGCCCCCAACCACCCCCCATCGGATCCTTTGGCCATGCCCCTGACCACACCTTCTGATCGGACCTTTTGGCCACGCCCTTGACCACACCCCCTGACCATTCTAGTCTCTCCCTCACTTCCCCGCCACCCAGACTCTAGCCTGTCCCTGCTGCCCACCTGAACGTGTCCCTTGCCCCTCTCGGCGTCCCTACCTTTGTGTTTATAGAAGAAGCTGCTGACCAGCGCCAGGATGGACAGGGTGACCAGGTCTCCCAGGCTGGCTGCGATGGGGGTGGCGATGTTGTCGGGGTTGACCCCCAACTTCCGGGCGCCAATCACTATGCAGATCATTAGCATGCCTGTTGGGAGTGGAAAGAGAGGGGCGTCGAAGGTGCAGGGAGCCAGGGACCCTGGATGCTCAGTGGCACAGGAAGCAGGCCACTCAGCATGACAGGGCCTGGAGGTTGTCAGACACCGTTCACAGGTGTGTGAGTTGCGGCCCATCCTGAATGCGGGGGTGTTTCTCGCCAAGCACTGAGCCTGCTTGTGGGTGAACTCAGCTTGGTTCAGGCCTGGGCTAAAGCTCCCAGGAAAATGGGGAGAGAGTGGGCAGGTGGGTTTTGGGGGCCGGAGACCCCTGCGATGACAGGTGACACAGGCAGACAACAGGCTAGCTTGTGAAATCCTGGGGAGACGAAGTTATTGGTGGATGTTTTGGGGTGTTTTGTTTGGGGGCACTCCTGATGGTCCTCGGGGCTGACTGCTGGCTCTGTGATCACAGATCATTTCTGGCAGGACTCATAAAGTCCGGGGAATAGAACTGGATCAGCATCAGACATGGTAAGCACCCTGCCCGGGGTACTACGTCTCTGTGCCTGTGGATATTTTTATGTGGGGAGGCCTGGGTTCTCCCACACCCCATGTTTGTGGGTCAGCTGCCCCTTTAGACTCTCACTCTCACAGTGCTCTCCAAGGCAAGCAGAGCCTGGTGCTTGTGTGAGGGTTGGTCTGGAGAGACTTCTGAGGGAGGAAACACCGGCAGACCTGAGTACTGTCGCTCAGTGACTGCAGAGCCCAGCACAGACTCTGGCTGGGACACAGCCTGACTCCGGGCTTTTCCACCCACACCCCCTTGCTCAGCAGGCTGCAACGAGGCTCCAAGCCAGGCTGGAGCCTATGATTTGCAATGGGAGGCTCATGTTTGAGCCCTGCCCACCCCCCACCACCACCATGGCCCCCTGAGCACTGCCAGGGGTGACCCCCAGGGAGAGAGCTGGGAGTAGCCCCTGAACCCAGCATGAACAAACAAATCACTCCAGGGCAGGAGAGATAGTAAAGGGGTTAAGACGTGCGCCTGGCATGTGGCCAGCCCATGTTAGATTCCCGGCATTACAGATGGTCCCTGAGCACAGAGCCAGAAGAAAGCCCTGAGAATCTAAATCCCGCTACTCTCTCAAAAAAAAAAAAATCATTCACTGTCCTTTGGAAATACACATTATTTTTTTTGGGGGGGGGGTTGTTTTTTGGGCCACACGTGGTGATGCTCAGGGTTTACTCCTGGCCCTGAGGTCAGGGATCACAGGGTTTGGGGAAACATGCAGTCTGGGGAATCGATCCCAGATCAGCCACATAGACGGTAAGTACCCTAACTGCTGTACTATCTTTCAGCTCCCATTTTTTAGGGGGAATCCACCTTAAATTAACAGAAAATCCCCCCCAATTGTTACTACCAATCGCCCCACCCCATCAATCCAGTGTCCCCTGACTCAGCCCGGCGTGGGGGTGAAGGGGTCACCTTCTTGGGGAACACTGGCACAGAGGCCTTGCCGCTGAATGGATGTGTCCCCGGGGGGCAGGAAGGGAGGTGGCCCGCCTTATCCTGCCTGGAGCGGAGGCTCCCCATCCTCCCTAACCCCTCTGCCCCAACCCAGGTACCTATGAGCACACCACAAGCTCTTTCCCCGCCCCCTGACAAACTCCCCCCCCCCCCCCCCCCCCGCCCCACTCTGGATGCCCATGGGTCACTCCCCAAGGAGGGCTATGGTTCAGGTGCCAGAGCGAGCTGAGGAACGCTGGGCAGGGATGCAGCTCACCGAGGGTAAAGGCGGCGAGAAAGGCGGTGAGGACGCTGCTGGCGCACAGCAGCTCCACCTTGGCCAGGTCCAGCTCGTCCCGGGACACGGCGCCCAGCAGCAGTGCGGCCAGCGCGGCCAAGAGCCCCACCACGGTGGCCTGCACCTGCGGGGGGAGACGGTCAGCACGGTGGGTAACAGCACTAGGTCCTGAGCTGCAGGGCATGCACTGTCTCTCCTAAACTTTGCCAGCAGCCCACGCACCCCAGGAAAGCAGACCCCCCGCCCCTTCCTTCAGCCCTTGATTCTGGGCAGGTGGAGGGGGGGTGGGAATCAGATTTTTCCTTTTTTTTTTTTTTTTTTTGCTTTTTTGGGTCACACCCAGCAATGCAAGATGCTCAGGGGTTACTCCTGGCTCTGCACTCAGGAATTACTCCTGGCGGTGCTTGGGGGACCATATGGGATGCCGGGGATCGAACCCAGGTCGCCCATGTGCAAGGCCAACGCCCTACCGGCTTGTACTATCGCTCCAGCCCCAGGTTCTTCCTCTTCCCTCTTGCCCCAGCCCCTCTCTGCTGCCTGGGCATCCTGCCTCCCCACCGCACCCCCCCACCCACCCAGGATGGGCACCAACTGACTGGCGTCCTCTTTTGAGGGACGCAGAGAGCATTTAAGGCACACGGGCTAGAGAGCTCAGGCCAGGGGTAAAGCATTTTGCCTTGCACACGGTCTAAACTGATTTGGTCCCTCACACTGCATGTGGTCCCCAGAACACTGCCAGGAGTGACCTTGAGCACAGAGCAGGAGTAGTAAACTTATGGGGAGGGTCTCATAAAGGCTCAGCAGGGGGGCAGGAGCAGGGCTAAGGGGAAGGGCCCTGGAGGAGGGGTTCCCCAAAACCTCAGAGAGAGGAAGCAGGATCACAGCACAGGGCAATCACAGAACTAAGAAAGCGGATACTACCATTGGCTGAGGCAGGGAGAGAAAGGCGGGGAGCAGGCCTGGAGCAAGAGGCTGGTAGATCTTTCCAGAAGCCTCCAGCCGGTCTGGTGGGTGAGTGGGGAGGTACTGGTGACCCCTGGTCCCCAACTTCCGTGCAGGGTGTGGGACAAAGGCTCACATTGCCTGTCCCCTTCTACCTAGGCATGTCAGGCTACAGGTTTGAAAGTGGGGGTGCGGGGGGGGGGGGCGGGTAGCATGCTCCGAAGAGTAGAGGACGCGTCACCTGAATGAGGGCCAGGTTACTGCTGATGACTCTGTGCTTCTCCCGGGGGTCATCAATCTGGCCGGTGTTGGCCTAGGAGAGAGGCAAAGGGCACAGGGTCAGTCTGGCTGGGCCCAGTGCCCAGAAGGGCAGGTCACCCAGGAGAGATCTGCAAAACTGAGCCACGGAGATCAGAGCAAATCACGGCCCAGTGAGCGAAGCAGAGACCTGGGGCCAGGGAGGGAAGGACATTAGTCCCTTGGGTCCTGGACCAGTAGTCCCATACCTGGACCACCTCCCTCAGTACTTGGGTTACCTCCCCCCCATATACAAACTCATCCCCAGACCACCACTTCCATACCCGGAGCAGCTGTTTCCTATGCAAGTGTGTGAGTGTGACTGCTGTCAACTACTGAGGACCATCGGATTTCCAAGCTCATCTGCGGACTGCAAGGTCAGCAAGGCTCCTGCTGAGTAGCCAAGTCTCGGGTCCCCCCTCCTGACCAACACCTGCAACCCCCATTCTCCCTCCTCCAGCAAGTCACATCTCAAATGACCACTAATCACTGCAGTGTCTCACCTCTGCCAAGGGTCCTGTTTACAAAATACACCAAGTCTGACTGGAAATATGACCCTCTCCTCTAACACTGGTAGTTAGCTCCTAACATCAAAGTAGCTGCCAGCAAAATTTAAGTTAAAGGTAAGAAAAGGGTTCAGGGCCCAGAGATGCAGCTGAATGATAAAATGCATGCTTTGCATGCAGAACTGGGTTCATTTCCGCATTGAAAAAAAATTAATTAAACAAAAGTTCCTAAGGAAAGGTTTCAGGGGCCAGAGAGATAGTACAGTGGGTCAAGCACTTGCCTTGCACACAGCCAGTCTGGGTTCAACTTAGGGTTCTCCTGAGACCTGCCAGGAGTTATCCCTGAGCACAGAGGCAGGAGTAACCCCTGAGCACCACCAGATGTGACCCCAAACTAAAAACAAACTAAAAAACAACAAAAAAGTTTCCATATTCATAATCTTCTTTGGCTTTTTGTTCTGTGCTCACTAAACTTTTGAATTTCTCTTTTGAAAAAGCAGAATTGCAAGGCTGGAGTGATAGCACTGCAGGTAGGGTGTTTGCCTTGCACACGGCCAATTCAGGTTCGATTCCCAGCATCCCATATGGTCCCATGAGCACCACTAGGAGTAATTCCTTTGTACATGAGCTGGGAGTAACACCTGTGCATCGCTGGGTGCAACCCAAAAAGAAAAAAAAAGCAGAATTACTTTTCATTGTTCCAACTAAGGAACTGTTTCTTGTTTTCAGCATTGATGGATATCCATCCCTGGTCAGATTCCTACTTCATGCAGGTACACTAACACAAACGTCAGGTGTCCTCATGAGATTGAGGGAATCAAGGGCAAGAGAGCAGAGCCTTGGGGGCTGGGCTGAGGAGACACAAAGCCCTACGGGCAGTGCCCTATAGCTGGTCTGGGTACCCTCCACACTGCCTATTGATTGTCTCCTACCAACGACTTCAAACCCTAGAACTCACCCTTTTATTTTTGTTTTGAACCACACCTGGAAGTGCTCAGAGGCTATTCCTGACTCGTTGCTCAGGAGTAATCCATGGTGGTGCTCAGGGGACCATATGTTGTACTGAGGATCAAATCAGGGTTGGCCATATGCAAGGCCAGTGCCTTGATCCCTGAACTATCTCTCCAGCCCCCAGATACTTATTTTAAGAAACAGTGCTTTAAAGAAAGCTCTTGGAGACACGGAGGAAACAAATAACTACATGGTAATGGCATTTTTTTTCTATCAGTAATGAGTTAAATGTCAATGCATTAAAATCTCAAATCAAACCGCACAAGAACATGAATGAGGTCCCGTTTTAGATTCCCAAAATTCATCTGTCCCCCTGGCCTCTCAAAAAACCACGCGAGTTAGCAGAACGAACTGGAGCGACAGCACAGCAGGTAGGGTGTTTGCCTTGCATGCAGCCGACCTGAGTTCCATTCCTCCGTCCCTCTTGGGGAGCCCGGCAAGCTACCAAGAGTATTCCGCCCGCACAGCAAAGCCTGGCAAGTTACCCGTGATGTATTCGATATGCCAAAAACAGTAACAAGTCTCACAATAGAGACATTACTGGTGCCCGCTCGAGCAAATCGATGAACAACAGGACAACAGTGCTACAGTGCTAGCAGAATAAAGATAAAAGGATGCAATGATATACTTTCTCTAGAATATTTGCTTCGGCTTTAAGACCACATTCACATTAAGAGAGTAAGACAGGGAAAGCTGTTAAGTAGAAAGCGCAGCTGAGAGAGAGCAGGGCAGCTGTATGTATATCAGACCACTGTCACTGTCACTATCCTCCCGTTGTTCATCGAGCTCAGTAACGTCTCCATCGTGACACTTGCTACTGTGTTTGTCATATCGAATAGGTTATGGGTAGCTTGCCAGGCTTTGCCGTGTGGGTGAGATACTCTCGGTAGCTTGCCGGGCTCTCCGAGAGAGGGGCGGAGGAATCGAACCTGGGTCAGCCAGGTTGGCCACGTGCAAGGCAAGTGCCCTACCCACTGTGCTATCGCTCCAATTCATATCAGACCAAACATAATTTATTTTTAAATGGTTACAAGAGACACAGAAGGGCATGCTCTAATGAAAAAAAAAAATCTTCCAGCCACCAGGAAAACACGATTGTAGCATATAGGCATCATACATCAGAGCTGCCCAAGTATATTAAATAGACATAGACAGAACTGAAAAAAGTAGCAGAAATTTAGAATAACAGTTGGAAGTACTGGGGGACCATATGTAGTAGCTGGAATTGAACCCGAGTTGACGACACGCAAGGCAAGCTCCCTAACCCCTGTACTGTCTATCTCTCCAGACCCTCCACAAATTTAAAACAATTTTTTTTGGGGGGGGGCTAGAGCAATAGCACAGCCAGCAGTAGGGCATTTACCTTGCATGCAGCAGACCCGGGTTCATTTCCCAGCATCCCATATGGTCCCCTGAACACTGCCAGGGGTAATTCCTGAGTGCAGGAGTAACCCCTGTGTGTCGCCAGGTGTGACCCCCCCCCCCAAAATTTTTGTTTGTTTGCGGACTCAGGGCTCACTCCTGGCTCTATGCTCAGGGTTCACTACCAGTGGGTCTCAGGTGCCCTTGTGCAAAGCAAGTGTCTTACCTGCTGTCCTACCTCAACAGCTCCCACCAAACATTTTTTTGTGTGTTTTGTGTTGCTCGTTTTTAGGTTTTGTGCCACACCCAGTAGTGCTCAGGGCTACTCGTGGCTCTGCACTCCAGGATCTCTCCTGGTGAGCTCAGGGGACCAGATTGGGTGCCTGGGATCGAACCTGTGCCCTTCCTGCTATACCACGGCTCCACACACTGCTCCCCTCAAACACTTAAAGGAGAACTACACCAATCTTCTGCGAATTTTTCCAGGAACGAAAAAGAAAGGAACACTCCACCTTCATTTCAGGATGCCACATCACTGACAGAAAAGCAAACCAAGATACTACGAGGAAACTATAACTATAGACAACAGTGCTGATGTATAAGTACTGATGCAAAAATATTCAATAAAGTACTAATAAACCAGACCAAGAGCATGCTAAAAGAACTAGGCACCATGATCAAGTGGAATTTATCTTTTTTTTTTCTTTTTGGGTCACACCCAGCGATGCACAGGAGTTACTCCTGGTTCATGCACTCAGGAAGTACTCCTGGCGGTGCTCAGGGGACCATATGGGATGCTGGGAATCGAACCTAGGTCGGCTGCGTGCAACGCAAACGCCCTACCCACTGTGCTATTGTTCCAGCCCCCTCAAGTGGAATTTATTTCTTGAAATAAGGAGGGTGTAAACTTGTGGGAATCAAAAATATTAGCAGAATAAAAGGGAAAAAAAACAGCACAATATCACTTCAATCGATGAAAGAAAGCATTTGATAAAATTCAACATTGTTTTATGAGAAAAACAGTCAACAAAGTGAGAATTGAAAAAGAAAAACCAAAAGAAGATAATAAAGGTCACATATAAAAATCTCAGGGCTAATATCTCATTTAAAGTGAAAGTCTGAAACTTCTTTTGATAAAAAAAAATGTACAAGGAGGCCCATAGTTGCCACTGTTGCTTAACACGGTCCTGGGAGTGCTTGCCAGCTCAGAGAAAAATAAAGATGCAGATTGGAGACAAGTCAAATTGTTTCCATTTGCAGATGACATGATCTTAGAGTGCAGAAAGCCACAGAGACTGCACATGTACACATACACACAGAATTAATAAATTCAACAAAATTGCAAGATATAAAACCACACGAGAAATTAGTCTTGTTTCTATATACAACAGAAAATCTGAAACTAAGAACAATTCTATTCACAAGAGCATCAAAAAAAAAAAGAATAGAATACTTAGAAATGAGCATAACCAAAAAGGCAAAAGACTTTCTCTCTGTCTCTGTCTCTGTCTCTGTCTCTCTCTCCCTTCCTCCACCCCTTTCATTATTTTGGGGGTCTTCGGGCCACATGGCTCTCTACTCGCTGATTACTCAGGAACCATAAGCAGTGCCAGGGATCGAACCTGGGTCAGCCATGTGTAAGGCAAGTGTCCTACCTGCGGTACTATCTCTCTGGCCCCAGATTTGTATAATAAATACCTCAGGAGTCAGAGAGATGCCTCAAAGGGTTAGAGTGCAGGTTTGCCTATCAGAGCCTTGGGTTCGATCCCCCTATGGTCCCCTGCCATTACTTTTGTCCCAGATCACTCATTAGGGGTCCCCTGGGAAGTTGGCACCCCAGCACTGTTGGGTCAAAACAAAAACAAACTACATACACTGTTGAAGGAAATTAGAGAAGACACAAGGACAGAAAGACAATACATGCTTGTGACTTGGCAGGACTTATGTCATTAAGGTGGCTATTACCCAATGCGGTCTATAGATTTAATGCCATCCCTATCAACATTCCAATGGCTTATTTGCAGAAATAGAAAAACAAATTCTAAAATGCCTACCTACGCAATCTCAAGAAACCCAGAGTTGAGCAATATTTCAAAAAAAAAAATCCCAGGAAAAGAACAAAGTTAAGACAGGGCAGGGCAGACTGTCCCTCACACCTTCAGAAGTAATCAACCCTCAGAAACCAACCCTCGGTCTTCCACTCACTGCCTTGGGTGTTTGAAGTCATGTGGTAGGATGCCTCTCATTCGGTGGCCCTCTGTTTCAACGGCTCCGGGATCCTCACAAATTAAACACAGATTCCTACTGACTACAGACCAGCCGATTACTTATCCTGTAGAAATTGTCTGATTTATTTTCTTTCTGTGACTTAAAAGCATTTTGTATTAACAGATTCTGAACATAATGGCATGTTTTCTGGGCACGTTTCACTTAAAGTTACTTAATCTATTCAAAACACATGTTGAGAATGGACTCACTCATACGTGGGATGTCAGGAATCAGTAGGAGAGTAACTAATGCTCAAAGATAATAGAAAGAAAGGGCAGAGGATGGGTCCTTGGTAGGACGTCTGCCACTGTGGGTGGAGGGTGGAGAGGGGACAGGTCAGGGAAGAGACCACCATGACAGTGATAAGGGGAGGCGGTCACTCTGGATGAGGACTGGGTTCCGAAACGAGGGAAAGGGAGTGACATACATGATGCCCAATCAGGATTTGTATTGGATACCACAATGCTTAAGCAGGTTTAAAAAAAAAAAAGGAAAAAAGTACAGCCATTGAAGCAGGGAACAGGAGTAAAACTGGGGACATTGAAGGACGCAAGTGGACACTGGCAAAGGGATTGGTGTTGGAGGGTTGCAAGTTTAAAAATAAATCATGTGGGGGCTGGAGCAATAGCACAGCGGGTAGGGCGTTTGCCTTGCACGTGGCCAACCCGGGTTTGATTCCCAGCATCCCATATGGTCCCCTACCTGCTACCCCTACCCCTACCCATAAGATCCCACCGCCAGGGGTGATTCCTGAGTGCAGAGCCAGGAGTAACCACCGTGCATCACCAGGTGTGACCCAAAAAGAAAAAAAAAACTAAATCATGAGGGGCCGGAGTGACAGCAAGGTGCTTGCCTTACATGTGGCTGACCTGAGTTTGATCCTCAGTATCCCATATGGTCCACTGAGCACTGCTATGAAGAATTCCTGAGCACAGCCTGAGGAATAACCCCTGAGTATCACCTGTGTGGCCCCAAAACAAGAGAAAAACAAAAAAAATCATATTTAAAAATTTTAAAAATACTAAATCATGATATAAAGTAACAAAATAGGAGATTAATACCCAAGAATAGCCGAGATCTGTACCAGGAGGATTACTCCATAGCTTAGAGGCCAGCCGGGCATTCTAGGGGAAAGGGCAGCTCAGATAGAGAAGGGAGCACCAAATAAAGGGTGTTTGAAGGATCCTCCCAGGATGGGAGATGCATGTTGAAAGTAGACTATGGACTGAACATGATTGCCACTCAATGCCTCTTTTGCAGACCACAACACCCAAAAGGAGAGAGAGAACACAAGGGATTGCCCTGCCACAGAGGCAGGGTGCGATGGGGGGTGGGTGAGTGGGTGGGAGGGATATTATCCATGGTGGTGGAAAATGGGCACTAGTGGGGGGATGAGTATTTGATCATTGTATAATCGAAACCCAAGAACAAAAATTTGTAAATCTACAACTGTACCTCATGGTGTCTCACTAATTAAAGGGAAAAAATACTAAATCGTGAACAACTTGATTTAGTTATAAAATTAATTTTTTTCAAAAAAAAACAAAACAAAGTGCATGAATAAAAATAAACCTATAGAAAATGAACCAACTAATCTCAATACTTTTTGGGGGGGTTGGAGGAGCTTTTCAGCCACACCCAACACCCAATACCCAACATAGCTCAGAACTTACTCCTTGCTCTGTGCTCAGGAATCATTCCTGGAGGGGTTCTGGGGACCGCATGAGTCAGACCCAAGTCGGGAGCATGCAAGGTGAACACCCTACCTGCTGTACTAGGTTCCTAGTTTAGTCTTTTTACTGATTTAAAAGCGCCAGTATCCTACAATAGTTTGCATGCATATTCATCTGAGTGTATCTCTAGATGCCCAGTTTTTTCTCTGATACACCAATGATCCTATTTGCGGTTTTTTTTTAAATTATAAAGCTTTAGACTACATTTTAAAATCAAGGTTGACCCTAAATCTTTCTCCTTTTTTCTTTTTTCCTACCATATCTTCTTGCCTTTTCTCACTCATTTATTCCTTCCACTTTAAAACATGCAGGACATAAGAAACAGAATAAGGGAACAACTAACCAAATGTCCCCATAATTCCATTCGGCAGATAGATAACAACTGAGTTAATTTTATCAACTGAAACACGGAGAACTGATAACTCTGCGATGTTCATGTTGCTCTTTCTGGCCTTAATCTCTTCTCTTTATAACATTCTGTGCAGCTCTTACAGTCCCCTGCCATGGGGTGCAGATGGCTGAGGGAGTGGGGGGCCCAGAATGTCCCCAACATTCGGGTTGAAAGAAAAATAAAGGTGATATGGGTGCTCCGCCTTGAGAGAAGGCCAGTTTGGCCGTGGGAAAAGGGCTGACTGACTGGGAGGGGGGACACACGGAGAGCACGTTAGAGGGATGTACCCCAAGCAACACTGGTCTATACCCCAGACCCCAACCCGACCCACCAACTACCTACCTGTCTCAAGGGCAAGCTGGTGGTGGGGACATATGCTCTGGGGTATTGGGCACCAGATAACACTATGGGGGTGGACAGCACGAGGCCAGTGTACTGGGGTACAGAGTCAGCTCTGATTGCGGTAGACAGGCATGATGGCAGTGGCTTGGGGCACTGGGGCCCAGCTGTTACTTACTGCGGTGGACAGTCGCGATGCCAATGTCATCTCCAGGTTCCCCTTTAGGCCCACCAGGGAGGGCACCAAGGTCAGAAGGTCTTGCACTTCCGTGAACACGGGCCAGTGCTGGTGGGGAAGAGAATGGACATGAGTCCCAGGGTGCAGATGGGCATCTCGGAAGCTTCGGGCAAGCCTCACTCACCCACTTTTCACCACCAATAACTACAACTGACCAGTTTTTTTTTCTCTTCTGGTTTTTGGGCCAACCTAGTGATACTCAGGGTTCAGGGCTCACTCCGGTCTCTGTGCTCAGGGCTCATTCCTGGCAGTGCTCAGGGAGCCATATACAGTGTTGCAGATCAAGCCCAGATCCTGTGCATGCAAGGCAAGTCTCTCTCTCCTGCTCTAACCAATTTCTTTTGGGGTGAGGGGTCTCCCAAGTGGTGATCTGGAGGCCCAAGAGCCCCTCCTGACAATTCTGGGCCAACCAGGCAATTCAATGGAGGACGGAGGACACAGTGCTGGGGGAGGTCCTGGGCCACCCACGGTGCTCAGGGACACCCAGGGCTGCACCCAGCAGTGTTTGGGGACCATGTGGTGCTGGAAACTGAACCAGGGCAGGCCATGTACACACCTAACACCTGGACTATCTTCCTGCCTTACCTGGTCTCTACGTGGCTGAATGTTTCTGTGACTCCTGGCTCTGTGCTCAGGAATTATCAGGAGTTCCTCAGTGATACTGGTGATGGAAACACCACAGACCACTTGCATGTGGTCTTAACCCCTGTGCTATCTGTCCAGAACAAGGTGGTCTTTGACTGTTTCTTACAGGCTTTGGACTTAGCACCTGCTCGTGAGAGGGCAGGATCAGACTCCAGGGTTCCGCTGTGAACCGCAACCCGAGGAGGCCCGTCCTGATCAGGACAAGGTAGGTCAATGTGCTGCCACCCCCACACACCAGACAAGTGCTCTACTGCTAAGCCACACCCTGGCTTAAACACCAGCTTCCCTTATTTCTTCGGAAGAGGGGGGCACAGCCAGCAGTGCTCAGGGATCACTCCTTCAGATGCTCATGGACCATACATGGTGGCAGGGGTGGGTCTGAGTGCCAGCCCAGCACTTTAAACCTGGCCCTAACTCCCTAGCCCCATTGAACACTGGCTTTCTGCCGGCAAACTGACCAGTCCAGAGGGGACTTGTCCATGGATGGGGCCATCGTGAGCCCTGTTTGGAGACCAGGAGGTCTCAGGCTCAGCAGATCAACTGTCTCCGGCTCACGGACAGACAGGGAGATGGCGAGTGGCCACCCAGAAGGACAAGGCAAGCTCGCAGAGGAGAGAGGGGGAACAGTCTGGCCACCCCCGGGACAGAATATCTGCATTCACCAGGTCAAGAGACAGCATGACAACATATGAACCCACGGAATGTACGACCCCACGGAACACAACGCCCTCCTCCCTCATGCCTCTTCCCTGGTCACTCTAGCCCCCGGCTCTGGAGCAAAGGGGGGAGCGGAAGGAAGAAGGAAGAAACTCTCCAGGATTCCAGCACATTCTAAGACGAGTCAGAGATTCAAAGACAAGCCTGGGCTGAAACCGACGCAAGTAGGAGACGGGAATGTGGGGTGGGAGAGGGCGAATGTGGGTGGGAGGTGGGAATGGGGGGGGGAGGTGGGAATGGAGGGTGGGAGGCCCACCCTCTGCCCATGCCTCTATTTCTTGGGGACCTCCACCCCCAACACCCTGCACCCACCAGGCTCCTCGGCTAGCCCGAGTTTTGTCTTCCCCTTGGAAAAGACCCCCAGGGCCGGTGGGGGATGAAAAGGTCATGGACAATCTCGGTCAGGTTCTCTAGATCATCCACGGTGGGTGCTGACAGATGGGGAAACTGAGTCAGAAAGCCGGGTCAGTGCCCTGTGAACCTTAAACATGGATCCCCTGAGGATAGTACCATGGAGGCCGGGTCAGGGCGGCTGTCCGGGAGCCTGATGGGCAGCTCCTTCCTCTCCCTCCCCCCCGTCGGTCCTTACCAGGACGCCCAGGGACTCTGGTCCTCTGCCCCCACGCCCTGTCCATCCCTCGGACACCCATACGCACTTGGATGGCGTTCATGACGAGGCCCGCGGCCATCATGCCCAGGCCCGACAGCAGGATGGGCACCACGATCTGGACCGTGATGGTGCAGACGTTCTCGGGGACGACGCCGTGAGGGGACCGCGTGAGCTCGCAGCGGAAGCCTCGCAGCTTCCTGCCCTGGAAGCGGAACTCCAGATTGAGCTCGGTGACCACCATGACTGGGCCGTGGGGGTGCTGTCCAGGCCCCGCTGACCGCTCCTCCTCACCACACCGGAACTCGAACACTCGCCTGCGGAAGGTGCAGGCGGCTCACGTCGGCAGAGGGATCGGCTCCCCGACTTCCTGAGAGTCAAAGGGGGGTGAGCCTCAGCAGGACCTGGACAGCTGGCCACTGGACACACCCAGCAGATTTGGAGCTCCTCAGACACTGGCTGCTGTGTCCACCGAGACCTCCCTGGCCCGCCCTCCACGAAGGCGCTCCCTGTCCCTTAGCCTTGATATCAGCGGGGGTGGAGGAAGGGTGGCACACTGGCTTGTGCTGAGTCCAGACGATATGACTGGAGTGACGCCTGGCCTTGGCCAGCAACACCAGGGGGGTCTGTCTGGAGGGGTGTGAAGGCCCGGAGTTTCCCGTGCTCTGGCAAGATGAGGCCCGAGAGGTCAGCGTACAGGACGTGCCTGGCCGCTCCTGCCCCAGCCCCAGGGCAACAGCAGGAGTTTCATTTCATTTGATTTTGATTTTTGGTTTGAGGCCACACTCGGTGATGCTCAGGGGTCACTCCTGGCTCTGCACTCAGGAATCACTCCAGGTGGTGCTTGGCGGCAGATGGGATGCCAGGAATTGAATCTGGGTTGGCCGCGTGCAAAGCAAGAGACTGACTGCTGTACTTACTGTCTCTCCAAGAGAATTTTAACCCTTGTGGTTGAATGGGGGTGGAAGATGGGAATGCCGGGTGGGATATGGGAATTCAGGTGGGAGACGGGAATGCCAGGTGGGATATTGGGATGCAGGGGGATACACACTCTGGCGGGTATGGCCAGGTTGTACCTGCTCCTCCCACATGCCTGCTCAGACCCTGCCTAATGTTTGACAGGCCTCAGGACCAACTCAGGGGGCTTCAAACGCTGCCCCAGTTTCCCAGACAGAGCTTAGCACCCTCCTCTCAGGCCTCAGAACACTTTTTCTTTGTCCTCTGACCACAGACTGATAATCCTCCTTATCTACCAGCTCATGAGCCTGGTCACAGCTAAGGCCCTGTGGGAGAGAGTATGAGGAGGAGGAAGAGGAAGAGGAGGAGGAGGAGGAGGAAGAGGAGGAGGAGGAGGAAGAGGAGGAGGAGGAGGAGGAGGAGGAGGAGGAGATGCCTCTCCTGTTTAGCCTGACCCAAATGTAAATTATCACTGTCACTATCCTCCCATTGTTCATCAATTTGCTCGAGTGGGCACCAGTAACATCTCCATTATGAGACTTGCTGTTACTGTGTTTAGCATATTGAATACACCAAGGGGAGCTTGCCAGGCTCTGCCATGCAGGCAGATACTCTTGGTAGCTTGTCGGGTTCTCCGAGAGGGATGGAGGAATTGAACCTGGGTCAGCTGTGTGCAAGGCAATCATTTCACATCCAATGTGAATCATTTCACATCCAACCATCACCAGACACTTCCCATAGCTCTCGATGGTCCCAGGAGGCTCAGGAAACTGCAAAGTGACAAAGCCCTCCACAGGGTCACACCCCAGACTGACCCAGAGGCAGGAGCCTGGCCCTCGGTGACTGAGCCCAACCCGCCCTACCCACTGTGCTATAGAAAAAAAAAACGAAACAAAACAAAACAACGCCCCCATTCCCACCCCAACACACACACAAGCACATGCACACTCACGCGTGAGTGCACAAACCCCCCCCACACACACACCTTTTCTCCCTCCCTCCATCCCAACTACTGTTCCACAGCTCTATATTATTCCCCTTTTCTGTCCATTAGTTGCGCTTCTCTCAGTAATAACTCACTTGGGTGAGTTGATCCAACCCCAGTCTTTCTCTTCTGGCCTATTTCACTTCACATAATCCCCTCTCTTTCTTCCACTTTTGCTATGAGTGGCGAGATTCTGCCTAATTTTATTTCATTTTATTTTTATAGCCTAAAAAGGATTCCATTTTTTTAAAATGGCTCTCATCTTCCTTCCCCGATCATCTATTGATCGGCTTGCTAAGGGAACACACCTTCTGCTTCCATATTCAGCTCTTGTAAATCACGCTGCAGGCTCTGTGTCGGCCCCCACACTGCCAAGAGCGCTCCAAAGCACGTTCCTGTTCCTCCTTTCTATCTGTTTGCAGTGCCTGGGGGTGGAAAGCACACTCTCCCCTCCTCTGTTCGTGCGAGACCCCTGAGCCCCGAGGAAGCGCGAGTTGCTTTTGCCTTTGAGGATGAGCCTTTGGGATGCCCAAACACAACCCTCAGAGCAGGGAAGTGATTCGGTACATCGCTCCATGGAGGAGCGTTCAGGTCTGATCTTGGCTAGACTTTGGCCTAAGCTCTAAGCTGTAAACTCATCCGATGCACGCAGAGTTCCTCTCCAACGAGCCGACCATCCTAAGAAACAGAACTCAGTCAGGAGTTGTGGGACGTGCTTGTCAGTGAGTCTCTGGCTGGCCAAGAACACGGTACAACACCCAGTGACCAGTGATGGATGAAAAATGAATGAATGAATGAATGAATGATTGAACCATCATTGTTCTGTGCCCTGAGCTGCTTTACAGCACCTTCCTTTGTCGAATCATTTCACATCCAACCATCACCAGACACTTCCCATGGCTCTCGATGGTCCCAGGAGGCTCAGGAAACTGCAAAGTGACAAAGCCTTCCACAGGGTCACATCCCAGACTGACCCAGAGGCAGGAGCCTGGCCCTCGGTGACTGAGCCCAACTCAGGGTGCCCCCGCATCCCTCCCCAACGGCCACTCTCTGGACCGCTGCCTGTCTGCTGTGGCCCTCCGACTAGGCCTCGCTGATTGTTCATGGGCTGGGGTGACAGTCCAGAGGGTGGGGTGC